AAAGATAACTTGATAGCAGTGAGACTTTTTGTAACTCTTCCCCATAAAGCGATCTTTTCCCGCCAAGAAATACAGCATCTAAAAAAATGGCAAAGAGGTACCTAATGGGAAATTACCCATGATTCCTAGACAGTCGGTTTACGGTGAAGTGATAATCCATGATACGTATTATAAGGAATTTTCCATGTTTGGCCTCATTTTGTTCAGATTTACACCAGGATCACGAAAATATACCATATGTAAATGTGGGGAACTAAAAAATTCCTCACAAACTGAATGAGCCCCATAACGTTGGTCCTAAGACTGCTGAGAGTTCCCCACAACGTAGCGTATGCTAACACCCCCCCCCCTCTCTCTCTCTCTCTCTCTCTCTCTCTCTCTCTCTCTCTGTCTCTCTCTCTCTTTCATTATTGAGGGTGATTTTTCGTGATACTATACAAATTTGTGCAATAACAGAAACTATATAAAGAAATAAAGAATTAACTCAATTTTAATGATTTGTTATTTGTGTTCAGTAAGTGTATCTATATTGTGGTATTGGACTTAGGTCATCAATGGTATTTCTCTGTGTAATTAATAAATCGTGTCATTGTATTTACAAAATTTTACGCTCTTCAAATTGGAAGATATAAATTTAATAATAACAGATTACATCACATCAACTAGGATTTGTGTAGTTATCAGAATTTTTAAGATTTTACACATTACATTGTCTTTTTTCCGTGCTGCCTATCCTCCTATCGGTAAATACACCAGCTATCGATCGGCGGTAAGCCTACATTACTTGTCCCCGTGATTCCGCTTATTAGCAAAAGATATAGTTAGAGTTGCTTCCCTTACTTAGCCATCGGTCACATCCGGTTAGAAAAAAGGTCACGTTTCTGAAAATTATCTTGTTTTTATGATTTTCTTGTTTTTCGATGGATTAAATCAGATGGAACTTAAATGTATTGTGAAATATATGGTCCATCCATCAACTCTGAATTGTGCTGAGACGCTTTGAAGATTAGGTAATGGCGAACACTTGTTGTATTCATTTTCCCGAACTAACTGTCACAGGAACTGTCATGGATGTCACGAAACTTTTAGATCTGTTATGAAACTGAAAGTTCCTTTTAGATATACTCTAGGTTTACCTTATATAATGGTTAAACTTACTTCACCGAACCTTATTGTGTATTTTTGAATTGGTTTGTTTCAGCACAAAGATCGTATTTTGTATACATCGGTGACGTGCATGTTTTTTTATGTTGCCTATTGGCAAACATGTTTGTATAGGCCTATGTCTATGAGATGCGCATATTACATGTGAAATCAAATCTCTCATATGTTTCGTACCATAGGCGATGGTTTATTGAACACATGCTGGCTTATATAGCAAATAAAAATGGACAAAATATAGCATACTGAAATATGTAAGTAAAGATGCTAGGAGTAATTATTGAAAAGCAAGAAGAATTTGATGTGGTTAGACAAACCAGATATGTTAGCTGTTTGAATAGTCTGATTAAACTCATCATAATCACAGATTTCAAAATTTGTGATCAGTCACCAGTTTGATTTTTTTCTTCAAAAACTTCATAATCACAGGCTGATGTTTCACAGTTAAGGGTCATATCGTCTTAATGTTGCAAAGTAGGAAGTGAGGTGAATGAACTCTGCAACATTTTGGCAAGCGTTCCCGCACCACTACCATCCACCCCATCTCTCAACCATTCAACATTTGAAATTATTCAGATCTGTGAAGTCAGATTTGGACTACAATCTCCGAGTTTTAAGAGCAGAATGACCTATAGTTGGCCAAGAACAATTTTGTATTCTGAGATTGTGGTCAGTTTAAGCGATGGTTAGATTGTTGTCACTTTGTAAACGTGTTGTAAAATGTTTGCAACAAAAATGATTACTGATAACAATGTCTCCTCTATATACAGGGTTTTCCATAATTTTGTTAGTAGTAGGCTGTGTAGTGAAAGTAGGAGGCTATCAAATTGGCCGGCGATTGGCTCTTATGGAAAACCCTGATATATGTAAGGATCACATAAACCCATAAATTCTTGCATACTAACTATATTCTTACATACAAAGAAATCAAGCTCATTAAAATCACTCCTTTGATTTCCATCTATCCTATACCCTATTTTCTTCTGGCGTGAAAGTGAAAACACTTATTCTATTTTGAATCTTAAAGGCATAAGTTAGAAAGGGTCCAGAGATCAGGTTTGGTTATAACCTGTATAAATCCAGGAAATGTTTTAGAATGAATTATAATAATTATAAAATCATTATGCCATACTTAAAAATGTACAGAATAGTGATTTATTTATTTAATAATTAAAAAAAAGAAAAAAATTGCATGTCCCAAACTCTAGGGATTTTGCCAGGTATTTTGGAAATGGGACCAGTGATTTCTGCACTAAAGTTGTGAAAATTTTTCAATGGTTTATTACAAATTGGTGGAATTGCATCAGTTGTTTGTCTGTCTGTCTTATCAGACTGTTAAATATAAAATGAATATAACACAAATACCACTATTATATATACATATGATGTGTATCATTGCAAACAGCGTTGTCCAAAATTTTTTGAGTTATGTGAATTAGATTAAAGATCTCACATTTGTTAAAAATGTAGAAAAATTATCTCACTTTTTTTGACAAATCCTGTCAGTTAAATCATGCTTAAAAGTATATTTTGATTTGTTCAAAATAGTGAGTCTAATATGGTTGCCTGTTCTCAAATTACATTATGATACAACATTAAAGCTTAGTTTTGCATTTTCTATGCTATCAAATAAAAATTGAGAATTTCTACAAAAAGACTATGACTTGTAAGTTTTATATTTAGGTAATCTGACCAAAAGTATCAGTATGGGTGGTCTATAGTCATCATGTCCTCTTCTTCGTCGTCAGCTGTGTGTTAACTTCTTACACTCGAAACTTCTTCTCAAGTTCTTCTTGTGGGATTGAGCTGAAACTTGTCTGAAATTATCCTGACTAAGTGTTGTTATTTTTCAGGTTGATCTGAAATCTGATAAGGCTGTCATCTTTTAAAGATTATTTCAAACTTCTTCCAAAGTTCAAATATTACCACTGAGCTCAAATTCCGACCTCTATGAAAGCAATTTGGTAATATGATTGTGCAATCATTGTTTCTATGAACAATACATTTTTAGACTTCTTCTCAAGTTCCACAAGAGCCATTGATTTGGAACTTGTCTGAAACAATCCTGACTAAGTGATGTTATTTTCAGGTTGGTGAAAAATCAGTTATTGCCACTATTGCCAACATTTTGAAAAACACTTCTTAAACTTGTAAAGTTCCACCATTGGGATTGGGCTAAAACTTGCCTGAAATGATCCTGAAATGGTTCTGACCATATTTGTTTTTATTTTTTGGGTCAGTGCAAAATCCAATACAGGAGTCATCTTGAAAAACACAATTTGAACTTGTAAAGTTTCACTGTTGCAATTTAGCAGAAATTTTGTGGGACAGTTGTGAAACTGAAAACACCGCTGCTGTTATATATAGGTCTTTAGTCAGTTGACTATTACAGCCCGTGGGCCTCCATTTAGACTGCTTAATCAATTTATGAAAAAATAATCCTCTTAAAAAACATCAGTCACCCAATCATATTGTCATTAAATGTAAAAGTACATGATCTGAAAAGTTAGCTGAGGAAATAAGAAACTTCATCTATGAATATATCATTGCACGGACCTGTACAGTTTTGATGAAAGAGCATCTAACATTAATCTTAACATGTCCAGAATATCACTTGAAGTGGTTCTAATTAGTAACACTCTTATATTTAGTTCAACTAAAATTATAAAAAGGAAGAAAAACAGAAGCAAACAGACGAATGGTATTAACCAACAAATACCTGTATTCAAGGTAACAGGGTCACAATTGTTAAAACTACTCAAATAAAATGTAATGATAAACAGTCAGTTATCCATTAATTAAAGCAATACAAAGATTTTTGCTGAAATTGAAGCAAGGTGTGTGACAAAAATAAAATCACTTTAATTTTGCACCCATGTTCAAGGTGACCAGGTCAAATAGAAGTGAAATCCCAAGAGAAATGGTACATGGGCAGGAGCTAGCTGACATAGATATAGACACACATGGTCTCTTACACTCAAACAAGTTCTTCTGAAGAACTTGAGGACCAAGAGTCATGACCAGCTGTGGTTTTTCATCATCAGATGCAATAAATATTTGTGACCATATATATAAATAAATGAGTAATCTTGAGGCATGTGTAATGTCATGTCAAATCAGCTCAAACTCATGAAGAAGTTATAATTGGAGAACTGAAAGGCCAAGAGAGCTTCTTAAGCATCTGCTTGGAATTTTGGGACCAACAACAGGCCCCATTGCCTTACAGATTATTTTATATTTAAACCAAATTTCTAAATTTGTGATCAACTCCTGAAAATTTCTTTCTGAATTCACCTATTTTCTCCCTAAAATAAGGCAAAACTGCCCCATCTCTAACCAATGGGAAAAACTTTGCATCCAGGGGTTTTACCAATATCAATGCCTGCTCAGTAATTTATAGGATAGATTTGAACAATCCGAGGATTCAATCCAGCCAGTTGTTGATCACAAGTGAAATTTTTAAGTTTATGATACCAAGTGGTATGTGTAAATATGGTCAAAACCACAGGTGATAATTACTTGGTGTTACATTTCAGAATGAACATCTGTTTATATGATAATAACTACAGGGTTTATGATCCAGGTTAGCCTATAGTTTTCTCAGCCTTATCTTGGTTCTATTGGAAGATGTGAAAGTAATGTCAGTTGTTTCTATTAAAAATTCCGAAGTTTTAACCTGTGAATTGAGATATACGACAAACATGTATGAGAATAATCAGACTTACTGCAATTCTCAATCAGTCATTACATATTTTGGTTGATAATATCTCCATGTGTCAGTATTTCTTATTTTCTCTTTTTGCAGATTTTTAGCCATTACGTCCAGGCCGCCTTCAAAGATGTATGACACGCCAGTGAGTTTGCAGAACTGTTGTGTTGATTTCATATGTGATAATTTATCAACACTATGCATGGCCTCAGCAGAAACGCCACCAAAACTTACATTCAAAGATTCAGAGATTTATTTTCATGGTGACCTATCTGAGCAGCTATTATTCAGTCTGTGCGAGAAAGGAAAACTTACGGATGAAACACTGAGTTTATTTGATCCAAGTGTCACCAATTTAAAACGGGTTTGTATACATGATGCACAGCAGCTAACAACAAAAGGTCTGAGAACATTGAAAACTCATCGCATATCGGAACTGGAAATAACAGGGCTGAAGAGCGTAACGGTGAATGACGCAATAGGCTGTCTCGGAGAATGGACGTTATGTAATCTAAGATCACTCAATGTCAGCAATAGTACATTTTTAAACAGTACAAAATTCTGTGTAGTTGTTTCATTGTCAAAGCTGAGAAATTTGCATAGTCTGAATGTAAGTCGAACTGAATTTAACAAACATGGTTTGGAGATTATAGCAGAAGACTTACCTTGTTTAGAGAGCTTGGACATCTCATGTACACAGATAAATGATATTTCACCACTCAGGAAATGTAGAGACCGGTTAAAATCCCTCTCCATGTATAATTTACGGGCATCAAACAAAGACGACGTAGTTCCAGTTCTGTATGACCTCACAAAGCTCGTCCACCTGGATGTGTCCGATGATTCTGTGATAACGCCAGTACAACACACCTTCATGGGTGGTGATTCACAAGCTAAATTCCCCATACAGGATCTCCTGGAAAGATCTAACTGTCTGCCATACTTGACGTCTCTTGATATCTCAGGGAAAGAAGGAGCCGTAGAAAAGACACTGAGGTAAATACACTGTCTTCTACTATGTACAATTTGAAGGCATTTATAAACATCAGTTTAATTTCGAAATGAATTACATTGGAATCAAATAAAACTTTCTAATATATCTTTCAGATTTGGAGTTTTGATTGTGGAAACATTTTTTGTAATCCCCTCAAATTTACAAAAACTGAAGAGATCATTGAGGGGATATATAGGGATCTGTCTTTAATAAGTGGTTGTCTTGAAACTAATTCCACGCTACAGTCATCACCTCTTGTAGGAGTTTGTGGTTAGACATAGGCATGTTTGGGTCTAAAACAAGATCACTGCAGTGTTTGCATGTTTGAATTAGGATTGCAAGTAGTTTTGTATGTTAGAGGGATTGTATTACCTACAATGTCTGGTTTATCTTAATGATAATTGTGACATAAAAGAATCCTAGGATACTTATAATATCCATAATTTTTACATTCAACAACACTTTATGTTACCTGTACATATGCACATGCATATCATATAGATTATATACATCTTTTATCCAAAGAAATGACACCAACAATTTTGTTTTAATCCACAAGACTGAGATTAACTGGTTATAACTTAAGGTATGCATGTATAGATAATGTATTTGTAGTTTCTTTTTAATTTTCAAGCTGAATATGCGAGTGATACTGTTATACTTCTATATATTTGTAGGAAGTTTCTAGCAGAACACAAAAATATGAAGTTCCTGGGATTGGCACGGACAACTTATTGTGAGATGCCGATGTTCTGTGACGATGAATGTGTGGATTTCTACTGTGATATAGTGGTATGTGGTAGCTGACTCAACCAAGCAATGACTAGCAGTATTTCATCACTTTCTCATTTTGTCTGATAGTGTGTACAGCTGCCTGGTATAAATTATATGTTTCATTGAAGACTCAAAATCATAGTAACTACCCTCTTGCATAGATTGTTTTATTGGAGAAAACAGGATATCTGACTTGTAATGATGTACTATAGATTTTATATTATTACAGTTGTGGGATTTCACAACATCATACAATGTGTGATGTATGCACTCTGTATGCATGATGGGAAAACGGTATGAAATAAGCTATCACACACGTGTACACATGTTTACAGTTCTATCATAACAATGTGCGATTCTATTGGGGTGGATGTAAATCTAGAAATGACATAGTAATAAGTGTGGGATAGATTTTATTTATTTTCTTAATGTATGAGAGTGCCACTAAGTATATTTCCTAATTTAACCTTAGTGTCCAGACACTCTTTATACATACATAATTTATGTAAACATGAGATGGACGTCTCTTTTTGTCGTAGCATTGATTCATTTAAAACCTCAAACTATGAGAAAGATAATTTTATTTTCATTACTTCTGTATAACTCTCATTTTTTTATCATTTTGTAAACAAATAATATGGACCCAAGTATATGTTGTGTTTGTTACACATATATACTCAGGTATACAGGTAATTTATTGCCTAAGGCACACCACTCACCACTCTCTGATGTTTGGAAATATGTTAGAAAGACCAGTTAATGTAGGATCCAGTGTTATTCCAAATTTTGAATTAAAAATTACTTTCATAATAACCAATCAATTTTAATACACCTGTCATTGCTGTTTAGTCATAACTACATAAGTTTCCATTAAATTTTCCATGAAACTGGACAAAATGTGCAATCCTATCACACAGTTGCGTGCTATAGATACTGTAAAGTGTCTGTGCATTACCACAACTGTATATTCATGAGGTGTAATATCATTATCTAGCTATTACTCATTGAAACCGTGTCAGTTTTACTTGATATTGACATATCTAGTTTACACCATACATGTGTGATCCATATAATTCTACATACATTGTATGAATATGGATTTGATACTGTCATATATACATATGAAATTGGTCTGTGTTTTCAGATTAGTGGTGATGCTAATGAACGGCAGGTACTAGAGGCTTTGAGACGATATGTCCAGCGTGTTGTATATGTACAGAAGTCACTCTACACACTGTTTAGACTCACTCAGTCCATGGTGGAGCCTAGAGAGGACATTGTCAGGGTAGGTACAGACATACATAGTCTATCGTGGGGCCTAGAGAGGACATTGTCAGGGTAGGTACAGACTTGCATAGTCTCTCGTGGGGCCTAGAGAGGACATTTTCAGGGTAGGTACAGACATACATAGTCTATCATGGGACCTAGAGAGGACATTGTAAGGGTAGGTACAGACATACATAGTCTATCGTGGGACCAAGAGAGGACATTTTCAGGGTATGTAAAGACTTACACAATCAATGATGGGACCTAGAGAGGACATTGTCAGGGTAGGTACAGACATACATAGTCTATCGTGGGGCCTAGAGAGGACATTGTAAGGGTAGGTACAGACATACACAGTCTACCGTGGGGCCTAGAAAGGACATTGTCAGGGTAGGTACAGACATACATAGTCTATCGTGGGGCCTAGAGAGGACATTGTCAGGGTATGTACAGACTTATACAATCAATGATGGGACCTAGAGAGGACATTTTCAGGGGAGGTACAGACTTATACAATCAATGATGGGACCTAGAGAGGACATTTTCAGGGTAGGTAAATTCATTATCACAAACAAACTTGTCTGTAAAGGTTTAAAGTGGCTGTAGCTGATGGTCTTTACATAGATCTTTTTTGTTTGTTTTTTTCATCACCACTTGAACAGTGAGGGTCATTTAGAAGTGGTAAGGTAAAGGGTTTTACCCAGGACACAACAGGCAGGCTTTTGTTTTACCTTGTTAATGGCCTTGAAAGAAAGTGTGACTGAATAGAACTATTTCAGTGTCCATATTTTCTTTGAAATTTGATCTGAAAATTCAAAACTTGACAGATAATGCACTTCAGAAATTACAGAGATAAAAAAACTGCTTACTTAAAATTTGATTTGTTTCAATGTCCATATTTTCTTTGAAATTTGATCTGATAATACAAAATGTTGTGACAAATATCGATTGTGCATGATTTATTAACATGAATTACTAGTATATAATTGTCAATGTCTGTAAGAGTTTTCGAAATGATTTCAAAATTGTAATTAAAATTTCTTGTCATATATAATGGTTATCTTTAATACAAATTATATTGTGATAGCTTGTCCTGCCAGCTATGAAGAGTCATCCTAAACAGTTGGGGGTTCAAATGGCAGCAACGGCCTGTCTATACAACCTGTCTAAGGGGGAAATCGGCAACAAGGTGCACCCAGCATGTCTCAAACATGTGGTCAACTTGACCTTACTGTCTATGGACAATTTCCCCAATCACCAACAGGTAAGTCATCATGTTCACAGTGAGCATAGAATGAAAATTTCATTAAATGAATACCATAATTGATTTTCATTCACCTGACCAAAGGGTAAAAATATGAACATCTTGCAACAAGATCTATGGATTTGTGGGAAAGATAATATGAAAGTTGAAGGTAATGCACTTTTTACTCTTTGTAAGATGGAATTAATGAAATGTAAACAAAAAAGTGATATACTAATAATCAGAATTACAATATTATCTCTTATTATGAATTTCAGCTTCAGAAGAATGCCCTTCTCACACTGTGCAGTGACAGGATTCTACAAGATGTGGTATGTACATGTTAATCCTTGATCTATTTATGTGTAATAACTAAATAGGTTTGTACTCTAGGAAATCACTGTAAAATGTTCATGATTGATATTCTCCAATTTTAGCTTATTATTTTAGAACAGTTTGTATAACAGATTACCATGATAATGTATAGGTATAACAATCACCTTTTTTTCAAGAGTAAAATACCAACATTGCAATTTAATAGTACTGGTACAATCAAAGATAGCACAATGCTTTTATAAAAAAAACAAATAAAAAAAGAGATAGCACAATGCTTTCATCAAAAAAACAAACAAAAAGATCAGAATGCTTTCATATAAAAAAAAAAAACAAAAAGAGCACAATGCTTTCAATGAGGAAAAAAAAGACAAAGATCTGAAGTATGTAATTAACAGTACACTGTACATGTATATTTGTATATATTTGACATTTTGTTCGCTTTGAGTCTTATGAAATTTATTGAAAATAAAACTGTCTTAATATCGAGACAGCATTAACAATATTGTTATTATTCTCTGTATTTACTGTTTGTCATAAACCATTTACACCTGACAACCGTTGGACTGAAATGTCATCTATAAATTTTATATGATGAAATACAACCTCAACACACCACAGCCGATTCTTGTATTTATTCGCATCTTCACCGAAGATATGAAACTGGTCAATCACCACCATGTAGCAAAGAAATAAAAGAATCAGCTGTTGTGTGTTGAGGTTATACTTCATCATATCTTATTCTCTGCATACAACCCCTCTGCATAACTACAGTATCCCCACTTGGGACATCAGAAGGAACCTCTTGACACCCTGGCATTGGTTCCAAACTTCACGTTTTATTTATCTATAAATTTTGATAAATCGAATAGAAGTATATTTACACAGACAGAAGACCAAAGCTTAGGTAGAGTGATTTATTGAAGAGACTTAAGGAGTTGCCAGAACACTGACATTCATCGATGAGACAACAAGTAGTGACAGGAAGAGACCTAGAAACAGAAAGTCTATAACGAAAAAGTTTATTGTTAATTAATGAGATGTTATATTGAATTTTCAGTCATTTGACCGTTACCGATGTGCCAAGCTGGTGATGGAATGCCTTTGTCAGTTTGATGATCCTTCCATGAATCGCATGTCCGTCGCCATCTGCTCAATTCTTGCTGCCAAAATTTCCACAAGCCAGACCTCTCTTTTGGGAGCAAAGACCAAATACATGCAGAAAATGTTGGAACTTGTGCGAGTGAAAGTAGAGGATCGGTCCATTGACATCACCCTCAAGTTTACACTTAGTGCTTTGTGGAATCTGACAGGTAATGCATTTCAGAAATTACAAAAATAAAAACTGCTTACTTGAAATTAAAAAAAAATTAATTGCTTGCATTAAAAAAGCCAACTGAACAACATTACAAATAGTTTGATTATTATACATAATATTTCTAATTATGACTGGAGATCTCTACCACATTTACCAAATGTCTTTCTGAATGCATCACGTCATCCTTTCAGTTAATGATAAATTTATTATCAATAATTCAAGAAATAATGAAGATTGGTCATGGTTTTTGGAGTGATTATGAAGACGATAAAAACAGAAGTGAAGACCATAAAACCATTACTCTTAACAGGATGTAATTTAGGCCAGTGTCAGTAAAATGCCCTGCCAGTGTATCTTGTATACCGAGTTATTCTTGATATTTTTAGATGAATCTCCTCCAACATGCCGTGTTTTTCTCAAAGAAAAAGGTTTGGACCTCTTCATGGACACCTTGATGGTATGTTATGTTGTTTTGGTATTTTTTTGTTGGACATATTTTGGAACAGAGATTCTTAACTTCATTAGCTTCCTTGCTCTACATGTACCAAATATCATAATCACATTTTGTGTAAATCTTGGATGGAAAATTTGAAGGAAAAGGATATGAGTTGTGCCTTTGTGACATAAGTATATTGGTTCTGGTGAAGTTCCAGTCAATGATACAATATACAATGTATGTTTCAAACAAAAAGACTGTATTATCATTTGATTATTGTATTACACTGTATACAGTCTATTTATCAGATAAATCAGATTCGTGCTTGCATTTTCATTTTGTTGTAAGCAAAATTATTGTGTTTCCTGATTATCACTCTGTAATTGATGTTTTGATGATGATGGTTTTTCTGTCAAAGGTTGTAATGGATATGGAGACAGATGTTAGAGTTCAGGTGGAGACAAAGATATTAGGACTTCTGGTAAGTTGGTAGCAACATGTTAACCATAAATTAAGCAGGTTTATCTTTGAAGATTTTTCTAAGACATTTGGTAAGCAGTCATTTAGTTTAGGAGACAATTAATTAGTAAGCAGTCATGGAGTTTTGGAGACATTTAATTGGTGAGCAGTGTTTGAGTTTTCGAGAAATTTAATTGATAAGCTGTTATAATTGAAAATTAAGTCAAATTAATTTTCACATACTATAATTTGGTAAATGACTGCAAAGTAAGATTTTTACATGCAAAAAAGTGGATCAATGATGTGATGTTATTATACTGAAGGCTTTCTTTAATATCTGTCTTTGTATTCATTTATCTATAGAACAACATTGCGGAAGTTCGAGAACTGAGAGGATTTCTGATGCGGACAGATTCCTTAATCCTTTTGAAGAAACTGATGCATGCAGAACAGATTGATGTGAGTTACTTTGCTGCTGGAATCATTGCACATCTGGCTAGTGATGGTGCGGAGGCGTGGCTCGTCTCCTCGACTGACCGAGAGGAAATACTCGAAGAATTGGTAAGAATGTTGATTTATTACCGTATGAAATACCCTTTCAACAAATTTCACACTGATCGATGATTTTTCATAAAGATGGATTGGTGGGAAAAATTTTTTTAAAAATGTTTGGAAATTGGGCTCTAATGAACAAAAGCTTGTCCTGTCTTTCTATTAAGTTAGATGTTTTGTAAACAATTCATAAGATATCAGTACAGTAAAGGAATAACACTCTTCTCTGCGTGTTTTATCACAGGGAGAAGTTGTTTTGAAGTGGGAGCAGCCGAAAGGTGAAATGGTTGCTTATAGGTAAGTGTGATATTGATTTTATATCCTCTCATCATTCAGTGATTGATGTTCACAGATCATTTATGATATATAATGTAGGGTTCCACCACAAGGGTGCTATGTGTATAAAGATATGAAGAACTGTACTCATAATATATTACTCATCTGGCTTAAAATTACTACCAGAGCTTGAATGACAATATTCTGAATACTAAGTACCGTTATGTTTTTGATGAAAGCAAAATACCCTTTTGGATGTGTCTAGAGCTGGTCTCTTTTTGCTTTCCATGTGAAAATTTACCACAAGTGTACCATAGGACAAACATTGAGAATCTCTCTAACATTTAGTTGTCAAGCACTATGAGTTATTAAGTGTTTTAGATATCAGGTTTATTATTCTAGTCTGATTGATACATTGTTACTTTCTCACCCAATGCAGGTCTTTCAAGCCATTCTTTCCACTGTTGAGATGCTACTCTGTGCCAACAGTACAACTCTGGGCTGTTTGGGCAATACAACATGTCTGTACAAAAAATGGTAAGGCTAAATACATGTCAGTTTATGATAGATGTTTACTGAAGGTAAAACTGCTGTTGATACAAAATCTGCAAATTAGATAATATTCACCCTCTGTATTTTCAATTGATTTGGGCACTTGTATCAATAATTATCATGTGTAGCCAACATTACATCCATCATCTATTTTTTAGTCAAAATATTTATAAAGTACATGAGGTCTAAACTCATTCAATAATGTGATAACTTTTTGTCAACAACAAAGTGTCTGTTGTCTTTTCATAATATACCTGGTAGATTTTTTGTGTGAAGTGCAATTTTAGAAATTATATGATTAAAGATGTTTTTTTCAGATTAAAATTATGATATTATAATGGGACATAAAAATTTGATTTCTTATTGAACTTTAACAGCATATATAATTTATATATTCTTCAAATTTACACATTTAATATCAATGTGAAAATAAAAAAAACAGTCTTGTGAATACTTTTAAGTGAATGAGAATGGATAGTAGAAAACCAAGTGATGTTAATTGGGATAGTTTACAGTTAGTTTGTTTTGTAGGAGATCGCTATTGTCTGATGTTTATAGTTAGGAACGATTTGTTTTGTAGGAGATCGCTATTGTCTGATGTTTATAGTTAGGAACGATTTGTTTTGTAGGAGATCGCTATTGTCTGATGTTTATAGTTAGGAACGATTTGTTTTGTAGGAGATCGCTATTGTCTGATGTTTATAGTTAGGAACGATTTGTTTTGTAGGAGATCGCTATTGTCTGATGTTTATAGTTAGGAACGATTTGTTTTGTAGGAGATCGCTATTGTCTGATGTTTATAGTTAGGAACGATTTGTTTTGTAGGAGATCGCGATTTGTTTTGTATTATTGTCTGATGTTTATAGTTAGGAACGATTTGTTTTGTAGGAGATCGCTATTGTCTGATGTTTATAGTTAGGAACGATTTGTTTTGTAGGAGATCGCTATTGTCTGATGTTTATAGTTAGGAACGATTTGTTTTGTAGGAGATCGCTATTGTCTGATGTTTATAGTTAGGAACGATTTGTTTTGTATGTGTTTATAGTTAGTAACGATTTGTTTTGTAGGAGATCGCTATTGTCTGATGTTTATAGTTAGGAACGATTTGTTTTGTAGGAGATCGCTATTGTCTGATGTTTATAGTTAGGAACGATTTGTTTTGTAGGAGATCGCTATTGTCTGATGTTTATAGTTAGGAACGATTTGTTTTGTAGGAGATCGCTATTGTCTGATGTTTATAGTTAGGAACGATTTGTTTTGTAGGAATCGCTATTTGTGTTTATAGTTAGGAACGATTTGTTTTGTAGGAGATCGCTATTGTATTATGTTTATAGTTAGGAACGATTTGTTTTGTAGGAGATCGATGTTTATAGTTAGGAACGATTTGTTTTGTAGGAGATCGCTATTGTCTGATGTTTATAGTTAGGAACGATTTGTTTTGTAGGAGATCGCTATTGTCTGATGTTTATAGTTAGGAAGGATTTGTTTTGTAGGAGATCGCTATTGTCTGATGTTTATAGTTAGGAACGATTTGTTTTGTAGGAGATCGCTATTGTCTGATGTTTATAGTTAGGAACGATTTGTTTTGCAGGAGATCGCTATTGTCTGATGTTAGAAGAGGAGGGAGGATCAGAAATCCTCCAGCAGATGATAGAGAACCCAGAGACCAACAATGATGTTAAATCCATTTCAGTTAATATTATAGCTCTCAGCAAAGAAAAACGAGGAAACCAGTGACCAGACTTTTGGTGGCAGAATCACACAGCCTGCAGTTGGAGTTATGGAAGGGTTCATCTGTTTCTGGCACAGGGTCCAATTGTTATTTACAAACATTGGCTGTCTGTATTATTATCATCATTAATGCTATTTGATTGATTTTATACTGTTAAATCTGTTCTCTAATTCAAATGTGTGAGTAATACATTGTATGAAATTCTATATTTAATAACAATGAATTTTCATGTAATTTTCACCCTGTGTTTTAAATGTAAATCAGAGAAATACTGAAATTTCGCCTGTAATTGTCATCTATTCTAATGTTTAATATGTTGATGAATTATCAGTCAGAATTTGACAAAATTCAGATTTATTGTACATTAATACTTGGACTGTGGTTTTGTTAGTAAGCTACAAGGACTAATTGAGGTGAAATGCGAATTTAATCTTTTGAATATGAATTTCCCAGATCATGTTTGAAGATTTAAGCAGCATGAGTGGTGAACACATCTACAATTCTGATTAGTTATGGAACTTTAAGAAGGTTGAATAATATCTTGTTTCACTCTGGTGGTATGTTGAGACATTTAGTAAATGTGTTATTTAGTGGCACATAAACTAGTCAGACATTATATCATTGTGCCAATGACATCAGTTATCAGTAGATTGTTATAATTTCGATCAAACTGTACGAGACTTGTGTTTAATTGTAGACTAAATGTCTCCCTATGTAATGCCTTAGTATCACATGTTGATATATACATATTTGTATATCAGATGTATATCTAAATGTTTGTTACCTATCAGAACTGGTCATTGTTGACGAAATTTTTCCAGACTGAGTGATGCACTGATGGAGAAGGTTGTTTAAAATACATCTAGATTATCATTTGACTTCACACAGAAGACAGAGTATAAAAGAGTGACAGAACTTTAAACGGCTTTGACCCCAGTCCTGAATTTCTTCATACCTTTGTAAAAGAAATGTTCGGAGATGAAAATGCTTTGTATAGCTGATCCTATACACAGTGAAACAGTGTGTAAATATTGACATGTCTCATGAACTTTAGAATGTAATGACGTAATTTTCTTTCTCCTGAAGTTATAATTTCTTGTCTTCATATTTACAAATTTTGGTTATTAACCATACCTAGATTGTTGTAATGTTATGAGTGTTTCAGTTTGTAGTTAATATGCTTGCCTGAACATTCTTCATTCATGGTAGAAACCTAAATGTGCTGGGGCATTTTAAGTTCCTGATAAACTGACAAAGTCTGAAATGGAGTCGGGGAACAGTTTATAAACCAGACACCAAAGAGTTCCTACAATATCAAAAATGTTATGCCATACTCAAACTCAAAATGAAAGTTTTGATTTCCATTTAAGTTTTGGAAGCTTTCAGTTCAGGTCATGTTGTCTGTTATTAATTGTTTCTTGATTTTGGAGACGGCCAAGGGAAAAACTTCTTTAATTGACGTAAATCTAAACTTTTTTGAATGATCAAGCTTGCATTACCTGTTATCATGATAACTTACAAACACTGAAACCTGTTATTTGGTGAAAAGATACATTGTTGTTTGTTTACAGAAATGTGTGCTACCGTTTTGTGTTAAAAAAATATAAACTTGATATCAGAATGATGCATATAGCATATAATTTTGGTAATTGGTCATGCCCAGGGCATAAAACATATATAAAGAAATGTAATTTGATATACATGTACATTTAGTTAATCATTCATTAGTTAGTAAACATGTCACAATTAAAAAACTAAAACGAAATTAGTGAGTAATTAAAGATCATGGTATTCTTTTTATAATCAAGATGAACATTTGTACAGTTTCTGTGACAGGTGCCAGCTACAAGGAGAGTTAGGAAACATATTGGAAAAAAGGTTCAGAATAAACATCAGTGGTGTACTGGTTTGCAAATACTAAATAATAGCTTTTGCTGATAAATTTAGAAATTTTATGAAAATATGATGCTCAGGATTACTTATGAAGAATTTTTCAAAGCAGTACAAATTTTTGACATATCAAGGAAATCTTCGAGTCATCACTTTGTTATAATCTGATGACCAGATGCTATACCGTAATTTTTATTTCACCTAATGTTTAAAGTCCTCTAAACTCTTGGGAAAAAAAGTATTTGAAATCAGAAATCACTTTTTTGTAGCAGTTTACTTGGGTTTTTTTTTTAATGAAATTGGGGTGCATTGAATAAATATACAGTAAATACCACATTCAGCCTAATAAATTCTGAGGTGTTTTAGAATTTAGGAGTCTAACCTTGCCAGTTAAGCAAGGGTATTGAAATTTTATGTTAAGATATACATTGGTCATTTTCAGACAATTGCACTGTACCAAATTCAAGGTTAAGCAGCGTCTCAATTATAAGAGTTATTGCCCTTCGTACAAATTTGTGTCTGGAGCATACCTTTAATTGCATTCAAATTCAATGAAATTTGGCGTGTACATTTTTAATACTATAAGGATGTGTAATTTACCAAATACAGGGTTTAAAACCTAATAGTTATAAAGTTATTGCCCTTTGTTTTAATTTCATGTTGTGAGCATAACATGATGTTGCGTGCATTTTAGCTAGGATAAGGAAATTAGTTGTATACATTGGTCATAATAAGATGATGTGCAGAGCACCAAAGTCAGGGCCCACAACCCCTTACTTATCGAGTTATTTACCTTTGTTAAAATTTTATGTCCAGAGCGTACATTTACTTGCTTTCAAACTAGGATACTGAAACTTGGTGTAGAAGTTTGTCATAGTAAGAGAATGTGCAATGTTCCAAACTCAGGGCCTGCAACCCCTTAATTACAGAGTTATTGTCCTTTGTTAGATTGTTTTGTCTAATAAACTTGTTTTTTTGGGCGCATTCATCAGTTTCATCGATGTCCTTGTAGTTAATATGCTACAACATATCATTTATTAGAGATCTTTCCAAAATTGAAATCAAAATTAAGAGGCAAGTTACATGCAGGATTGGTACAATAAAGTAATCAGAAACTGGTACATACCAGTATTTTTGAAGTCAATATTTTATTGAACTAGAAATATTTTGAATACAGTAATAGCTACATGATGAATACCTCCAAGAGTTAGAATTTTAATATGACTTTAGATATTTGTGCAACTGGTGAAATGTGATCAGGGAATTGTTGTTGATGATTATTTGTAGTTTTAGTTTGTAGAGTAAGGATGTATTTTATCTGTTGTTAAAGGCTGAATATTGTCTATTGTACATAGGCTTTGTTACTTGATATATTTGTTAAAGATACAACTACTTCAAAACTGAAAGAAAACATAGATATTATAATTGAATTTCAAATTTCAAAATAATGAACAGCTCTCAATCATATTGTATGATATTAAGATTTTTATATCTAGATATTGCTGTAAGGCAATTAAGGTGGAAATCATACTACTGAACAGATTTATGAGCTAAATTATTTTATCTTTATTGATCAAAACTTGTGTTGTTCAGGGGAGATAAACATGCTTTTCAAGGGAGATAATTACACTGTTTAAGTTAACGAAGAACGAAATTCAATATGAAGTTTGGTTTAGAATATTATTGTCATGAAGCTTTGATTTGTACTTATTGCCTTTAAAAAGATATTTCTCACTAAAATACTGTAGTTGACTATGTGTTCTGGTATTATCAAAAACAAGTACATTCAGCGACTGCACATATATGTATTAACAAAAAATTGTATTTTGTTTGGGTGTATTTATCAGCAATCTTATCTTTACTTTGTTGTTGTTGGGGTTACAAGGCTTTCAAATATTTGAAGCCAATATTGTCAGAATAAAATAAATAATTTTAAATTGGAAAGTGAACATTGCCTTCAGTTACAGGCACTTAGTTACTAGTGTTACCATTGGTAACACAAATAGTGTCTGTGTGAAGTTGTCAGAATATTTCAGTATAATGTGTGTCAGAATATTTTAGTATAAAATGAATGTTTGTCTTATGTAGTTAACTGAACTTAATTCTAATGATGTTATCACTTGATGGAAAGTTTTGTTTTGTTTTGAATTGTCTTGTTGATGTTTTAGATTTTTGTAATTTTAGGTGAATATAACAACTATGTATTGTTTATGTTTTGTTGCTCTGACTAATCCTGGTTTTATCACATGTCTTTGTTTTGGATTGTATGGCCAGTTTGATATTGATGTAAAATAGTGTATGGATTGACCTCTCTGGTTTGACCTGTGAGGTTGAGGTCAATGATTGTTCTGGAGTTGACTTTTGACATTGACCTAAGCTTGAACAAGCAATTTTAGATCATGGGCTTTACTTCAATATGGAGATTAATGTACAATATGGAATGTAAAGCCATCTTGAGGTCATAGGTCATGGTGAGTGAGTGCTTGTTTGGCTAAACATGATGACGTTGTTGGAAGTGAAAGGTTGGTATTTTTTTCTGTGATCATTATTAAGATTTTCTGTTGCGGGTACATGGACACTGATAACAATGCAGTTTATGCTTTAACTTGTGGACGTTTTGCCTCGCCAAAGTTTTTTTTCAGTGGGCCTTTAAAAATTAATTGCCCAGTGTTGTATTTATCCAAGAATACTTACATATATATACTACATATATCTAGGTACATGTAATTTATACATACCATTTTCTCCACTTTCAATTCACTGTCTTATATTGAGGTGAAAATCTCTACTTTCTCTTCTCACTGAAGAGATGGTAACGTATGTATTTATTCTTCTGTTGATATATCCATTCGTGATGTTAATCTTCATTTAATAGTCTTTTCCAATAAGGTTATATGGAATATCCTGTACATTGTATATTGTATATATTTGTTGTAGTGCAAATCGTTGAGGTCATATTAAGCCCATTTGGCACCATGTTAAATAAAGCTGTGTACATCATTTCAAAGGTATGCTAATTATGGAATTGTATGGTGGCTTTCCTTCAAGGCACTTTGTAACTAGTTAATAATGTTGTTGATGAAAAAATATCGTACATATAACAAAGTATTTACTGTTATACCTCAATAAATCATGTTGTCTCTTTTCTTCATTTGACTGTCCTGTTCAAGTGCTAGCTGTTCTGACAAATAAAGCAGAGTGGTACACACACAGGTCTCGCATGTACATGTAATTGTCATTGAGAGCGATGTAGTTTGATGTTGTTGAAAGCATGATTAATATATTGCTAAATATCCATTTGTGCCAAGAGAAAGGTTTCATCAATAATCACTAATCTCCTCTGTGATCATGCTATAGCGTCTTGTCTAATTTGCTGTATGAATTCACTGTAATATAGGCATGCGAAGTAGGTATGTCATTGTTTACCTCATGTTCCGGTAGCTTTGGAATTTTGACTAACTTTGAAATTTTGATCAAACTTTGGAATTTGGTGAACTTTTGAATTTTTTATTAAATTTTTGAATTTTGATTTTAAGCTTACACAATCATAATGATTTTATTTTCTTTTTATCAGTGGTATTAAAAATTCAAATAGTTACTGTGAAGGTTGTAATTTTCAAAGGTTCTGTTTCTTTTTTTATTTTATTCTTGAGGATGAAATACAATCGTGAAAAGAAAGATTAATTGAGAATAAAATCAATTAAAGAGACCACTTCTTGACATCCACAAAAAATACTGTATAGCCGCTTATTTTGGCGGGGATTCTATTTTTCGCTGTTTAGCGGTACATTTAGGTGATCAAGCATATTAAATCCATGAAATAATGAGATGTGTGTATAAAATAACCTTTCACATCCAGATCAGGAAATTTTGATTTGTTGAAATATAATTAGATCACTTTCATAGGAAACCGTGAAAATTTTGACACATGAAAATTACCAGCCATACAATTTATTTTTTTCATCTTTAACTTTTGGTACTAAACCTTCAAAAAATTGGAACCAACATGAAATTCCTTAACAGTATGCATTATATATTGGTGTTATCGGGTAACATTGTGAGATTATAGATGTCATACCCATGTTGTAGAAATATGTTTTTGTGTATGTTGATAGTTTAGAATTACACAATGCTTATGTATGATCTTAGTTTCAACCGTGATGAAAATATCCTTGATAGTCATCGTACAGCAATCTCTGATTAACTAACAAGGCTTTAAAGACAGTCTGCAGATCTTCATTTATCAGTTAGCATCTAATGAATTAACATTGAGATTAAGAATCAATTAAGTTGACATTATTTTCTAATTTGATATTTGTGATTTGTTTGTAATTCAAAAAGCTTATCTGAAAGTGTAAAAATTATTTAGAAAACAAGAAACCAAAAACAGTGGCAAAGTCAAATTTTCATTATCTAAACTTGTCACTTTGTTTGATATTGTTTCATTTCTTCTAAACTGATTTCTTTAATATCAATTTGATGGGATAAGTTTTCTTCTCCAAACAACAATGGAGCAGAAAAAGTATCAACTTATTGAATTTGCATATTTTTTTTAATCACACAGATGTTTTAAACAGATAAATTTTTTGGTTAATCCATGACATGTATACTCAACAAAAAAGGAAATACATGATTAAAATATGCAATGGGATACCCTCCACATCAAAAAAAAATTACTCTTCCCTGCCTCTTATGGGCATCTCTGCCCTGCCTCTTGTGGGCATCTCTACCATGCCTCTTGTGGGCATCTCTACCCTGCCTCTTGTGGGCATCTCTACCCTGCCTGTTGTGGGCATGTCTTGCATGAATTCCTGTATGAATTCTCTTCTGCATGAAATTCATGAGAATGTTCATTTACCTCAAGAGAATGTTATTCCATGTTATTCTATGCCGTGAACCTTAGATTTGCCATGTCCATCCATTAATGTCACAATTACTCTTAAAATTTGTTTTAAGCAAGTCATCTTAGTCAATGGTGAATTCAAAATATTTGCATGGAGAATAGATGTGGCTTAACCCAAAGTTTTCATTGAAATGATTGAAAATAATCTGGCCTAGCTTAATCAGGTGATGGGATTTGATCTAAAAGTAACAAAGACAGACAATGACATTGCTACATTGGGCTGATTTATCAGAAATTTGTTGAGAAAGATCATCCATGCTGCATTGCCTGACCTAATATTTCCTTTTTTTCATGATAGGCCAAAGTGAAATTTCATGCACTTCTATTTTTGTTGAGTATATGACACATAATGGTTTAACTTTATTAACTCTGATTTGTGACTGATCAGGATTGTAACAACAAGAGATTTATTATAGACAATGGAATCTTAGAATTTACATTCAAACATCAAATACTGGTCAATATATTTTGTTTAAAAATAATATATAGTATATGTACCAAACTCTTGTACATTTTATGTCATACATAAGCATGCTCCGAATTTAGTCATTTCAAGGTCACATATGTAATATCATTATTAAGTTATTCTGTCAACAGAATCTCACCTTCACAATCACGATTGTCAATGAAATTCCATGGATGTTAATCTTGTTATCTGCATGATCGTCATTTTGTGTCCATCTTGTAGTGTTCATCTTAGATTTGTCTCCCATCATTAACTGATACACTAATGGATCATAACGTAGAAAAACGTGCATATCTAGCCATTTTCATGACAAATAACGGAAATAAAGCTAACTGTTTAAGGCATGAAAATTCTCTCGTCTTGTCATTAGTATGTGTTTGTTAAGAACTTATGATTCATCATCATCTGTTATTTCTGCTTTACTATTTTAAAGATGAAATGTGTTTCTTTAAGTTCGTTCAGTAGACATTCTAAAGAAAAAGGCCAAATGGGCTACAATCGTCTCTTATTTTTGCATTTTTTCCAAAAAGAATGTCAGTTCATGAAGTCAATTTCTGCAAAGTTGAAAGCAAATTCCTTAAGAATGATGCTTAGCAAATACCATGACCCAAAGCGTACTAGATATTTAAAAGAAGATGCTTAAAGTACTCAACATATTTAACTTGTGCACTTTGAAAAGTGCTTCTAAATCATTCATCAAAACAAACTTGGTAGCCCTTCATCCCAGCAAGTTACTAACCAAATATAAGTATCCTGGGCATCTTGGTTATAAAAATGATGTTTCAAGGTTATACCACATTTGATCCTGGTGACCTAGAAAGTGGGTCAATGTCATTCATTTGTGCAAACTTGGTAACCTTATTCCCAGCATGCTACAGGCCCAGTATGGATATCCTGGGCATCTTGATTAAACAGAAAATGTTTCAAGATTATAACGCATTTGATATCTGTGACCTTGAAAATGGGTCAATATCATTCATTTGTACAAACTTGGTAATCTTATTCCCAGCATGCTACAGACACAGTATCTGTATTGATTATTGGTTATTGAAACACTTTACACTAATTGCTTTGGACGGCTTCATATAAGTTGCTTAGTGTAGTAGCCACTGGTTACTACAATGAGACTCTGTCTTAGTGTAGCAGCCACTGGTTACTACAATGAGACCCTGTCTTAGTGTAGCAGCCACTGGTTACTACAATGAGACACTGTCTTAGTGTAGCAGCCACTGGTTAAGCTACTGGTTACTACAATGAGACCCTGTCTTTGTGTAGTAGCCACTGGTTACTACAATGAGACACTGTCTTAGTGTAGCAGCCACTGGTTACTACAATGAGACCCTGTCTTAGTGTAGCAGCCACTGGTTACTACAATGAGACACTGTCTTAGTGTAGCAGCCACTGGTTACTACAATGAGACACTGTCTTAGTGTAGTACCCACTGGTTACTACAATGAGACCCTGTCTCAAAATCACCATTTTGGATCCACATGACAATAAACCCAGCAAATCAGAATATGTTCTACTACATAGAATGCTGCAGACCTAGATCTGACAGCAAAGAATCCATAATCCAAGAAAATGAAATAAAAACCAAAACACTAAGGAGGCTCTCACATACTGCAGTCTTGTATTTTTAACTTTTTTAATTCCGGGTAATGAAACTTTATAGTATCAAATAAACATCAATTCAAAATGAAAAATGTGAAATTATCTCTACTTGATGTGACAGTCATTAATTGATTGCAATATAAATAATTGTTCAAACATTTGTAATTGATATTTACTTCCATTAGTGAGGAAGAAAACAACAGTTGTAACAAATGCTCGTGTAAAATGTGTCTGGATATCAATTTCAACCAGTCAGTGAAAAAAAAGTTATTTATATGACATGATTGATCCAAACAAAATTAGAACTACTGTTATCCTAAACACGCCAAAGTTGCTAATCCTAAACATTTCGACCATTCCGGTCACAAGTTCTTTTCAAAACATTGATATCCAGTTAAGATTTCCAGAATACCAGGTTATGCATATTTTCTTTTCTGACAGGTAACAGTACTTGTCAAACAACTAGTACTTTCTTGTTACTGAGAAAAGAAATACAGAAGTATTGGTGTGAATCTTCTATCCAACACAACAATTACCCTAATGTTGCTCAAAACAAACACAACTATATGAAAATAATTACCTTTTGAGATCTTTTATTCAAATAAACCAGTAATAATATCAGTTTTACTCAGTAAATACAGAAACAAATAGATCGTCTAACTGTATGCTAAAACACTTCTTCAACAACACAAGAATTCTGTGCATCATATTATTTTTACTTATCTTTTATTTCTTGCATTTTTAAGCAAAATTTTGCTTATTTGTAATCTAAAGAAACTGTATATTACCATTAACACAATCATTCTTCATCTTGTTCAGATGAAGTTCCTTTCAATTCATTCGTTGGGGCAGATTCAGTGATTACAGTGAAGTGTAAACTGTTACATTTTGCATGGATGACATTCTCTATTCTAATGATTCATATTACTTTAAGGTGTAGAAATTCTCTGGCTGATTTAATAAATGTGGAAACTTTTCTACAAAACTACCATTTCTTTGCTTATCATATCAAGAACAATGTTTATCACCTGTTTTAACAGAGACTTCCTACTTGAAACTGTCAAATCAAGCATCACAAAGACAAGAGCACAAATAGTCACTGTTTTCTATCACTGTTTTGTATCACAGGATAACGTTAGTAAGGAGTTCATATATTCAATCAGTACTTATACTGTAGACAGGAAACTTATTCTCTAGAAAACATTTCCTAAGGTAGCAAATTTCCTCAATAAACAAAGTGAATTCTACCAACAGAGTGTAGCACTTCAAAAAGGTATTCCATGTACAAAACATGATTCATAAACAACATTACATGGGAAAGATCATGGCAACAAGGAAAAAGATGTTCAGCACTTCAAGTAAAAATTGTAACAAGTCCAAGATATATTTTTTGTGAGAAATGAAATCACTTTATAGATGTTGTAATCTTTTAATAATGTTTAAAGAAATAATCTTCTCAAGCTTTCATTGAGAAACTTAGATTATATTGTGTTGATGAAACTAGATATGGCTGATTACTGAGTACACAAAACTTGACACAGATAATTGCGAAGTTCAACTGAACATGACTTGGTCATTGATCAGTCAATTGTTTCTGACATCTATAGGGAAAGATATGTTAAATCAATGCATAGGGAGCTTAGATCAGGAGGTGGATCCCTGTACTGATTTGAGCAGTTCCTTGGCACTATCCTTCAGCTCTGGATTGACTTCTCCTTTAGCTGTGACTGTCAGACACTCTGTTATTTGTTGTTCAATCGCATTTGACAATATTCTTAAATTACTGCTTTCTGCAAAAAAAAAAAAAAAAAAAAGAAAAATAGAGAACTGTGAATAAGCAAGCATTGTAAGCTCATCTGTATTACTATTTTTCCTCCAATTTTAAAACATACAAATAAAAATTTGTATATTAAAGTAAATATATAAACAATTTTTGTATAGATCCAATGTACATGTACTAATAAATATTTAAAGTAGATCAGTTTTATTACATACTGTTTATATTGTCGATAAACAGATATGAAAAATACTGTAACATATATAAAAATTATCAATATATTTACTCAGAACTTAAAACATTACCTTTAAGTCTGTTAACAATAAGTTTTATCACATTCAGCGCCTCTGTTCGTATCACAGTGTATTTCAGATTTTCTGAAAAAGATACAAATGCTTGGAATTAATTCATAATAAGTTAAATTGTTGAAATCAAAATATGAAGTATTTATGTCTTTAAAACAATGAGTCTGTCTTTCATAAACTGAACGTTGGTGGTTCATGAAAGACCAAAGACCAACTTTTTGTCAATAAAACAGACATTATACCGATAGACCACACAGCCTTTCCATTTTATTTTATATAGAAAATGTCTTTGGAGCAAGACAACCCAGAGAATGAAAGCCTATGAAACCCAACAACCATCCTCTCAATTTAGAGGAACATGTATTCTGCGAATTATTCTTCCTAAGTGTTGAAAAGCATTTCTTGGAGACAAATTCATGACTAATACGAATGGATGAAATTTATAATGACCTACATCATCTTCATTGATCAAAAAGAAACCAAAGTTATCTCCCCTTGTATGGTCAGTATTTTATCGTAAACATACTTAATTACACAATATCCTATTAGAGTTCATTATCATTGTGTGGCAAATTAGCACAATGAATTAGCAAATCCATAATGGTTGCAATATGAAAAACATTTAGTACCTGTAATTAGCAGGGTCATATTTTAGCACAAAAAGTGCCTAAGTAGTATGTATATATACAGTAACTGCACACAAAGAATATAGAATGTATCTCAATTAATCATAACTATTATTTTTTACTTAGTGGTATTTATAAGAAAGTTAATTAATTTACAATTTTGATCCCTCCTGCAATTTTTTCATGCAATTCTTTTATTGTGCTTTGAGTAACGGTAACGCCATGATGAAATACATACTAATGACTTAATGTCTTACCCATACATGGAATGACCACCTCCAGTGTTCTCTCTAACAAAGGTTTACACTGCTCAGGATGCTCCGATACACGCTTGGCACAGAAACAGCAGTGTCTATAGAACAATGGCAAAATTCTCGATTTTAACATAGCATTGTAATCAGAATGAAATTACAATGAGAAGAACTACTTGAATTATATTAATACACCATTGATATAATATAAAGAACATCTATTAAGTAGCAAAATCCATCAAGTTGAAAACTTGCAGTAGAATACTGTACAGAACATGTTCAATGATATAGTCTACTTCCTACCCAGTGGGTTATTGTGGTGTGATTACCAGTGAATAGATACAATGATAGATAAATGATGACTGTTTTAGCAACTCCAACATTTTTTGATGAACCATTGTTTGTATCATTCAACATTACAGAAATGTAGCAGAAACTGAAAGACTATCACTGAACACCACATAAAGCTTTCACAAGTGTGACAGAGTATACTGATAAGTTTCACTAATGCACCACACCTGCGAAATCTATTTAAAACCTACACTCTGCCATATCAGTGAAATACAATGACACTCAACAGGAAGTGTAACAGGTACAAAATCGTACCAATGAAATTTATAATATAATTATTTATGATAACAACCTGTCAAGAAACTTGTGTGTGGTTTTCAGTAAGCTGGTCTGGATCTTCCAGGTGTTTCTTGGAAGGGAAGAACACAGTAGTTCATGGAATCTTTGTGAGTATTCATCTAAAACATTCAAAAATTGCATAATATATCACCTGTATTTTATGTATTAAAAAAATTCATTATTGGCTATAATGATCTACAACCTAACTGAAAGTTATGTTGGATGTTTAGATATTACTCAAGATGGCTGGATCCTGCAGTAGTAATACATTCATCTTTCACCAAGGTGACTGGGGTTCAATTCTTGTTTAAGACATGAACAAGTATGGATTTCCCAAAACCATCCTGCACATTTCCATTCAGGTCAACAAGATTAACAACTAATAAAGCTTGTTTCATATACCCTGGTTTATAAAGATGTGTTAAAGTTAAGAGAATTTTCCATGATTATCACACAGTAAGTAATAATACAGCCTACCTTGAGTAGACTGTGAGTAAGGCCAGGCTTGCCCTAGAACATCATAATAACACAACAATTGATTTTGTTTCTGTTCAGGTTTGATCTCGTCATCGTCCTCTTCCTTGTCTTCTTTGTCTTTCTGTGGAGACATGAATAAAACACAGAGTTGACAGAGTAACAGCAACAAGTTACCAGGGTATCAATAATGAGTGACCATTACCAGGGTAACAAGTTACCAAGGAAGCAATAATGAGTGACCATTACCAGGGTAACAAGTTACCAAGGTAGCAATAATGAGTGACCATTACCAGGGTAATAAGTTACCAAGGTAGCAATAATGAGTTAACAGGGTAACAATTGTGAGTTAATAGGGTAACAATAGTGAGTTACCAGGGTAATAATAATTAGCTACAAGGGTAATAATGATGCACTAACAGAATATGGTAAGAGAACAAGAATTAATTCCCTGTCTGAATTAACAGTGTAACAATATTTAAAAAAACTGGCCAACAATATTGGTAATTTATCTTTCAAATTATCAAACAGAAACATGGAAGAATCTGCAAGAGAATAGTTATGTTCTTACCTTGAGAAGGGTTGGGGATAGAATATCCCACATATCCTTGAAGTGGTCTAGTTTGTACTCCTCCAGTATACTACCCATACACTGTAGGGCTTCTAGCTTGTAGGCCAGTCTCTCCTTCCTACATTCCTTCATTACAGCCTCTACAACCTTAAAGATTTTATAACTATTATACACTGTAGAGCTTCTAGCGTGTAGGTCAGTCTCTCCTTCCTACATTCCTTCATCACAGCCTCTACAACCTTAAAGTTTATAAATTATTATACACTGTAGGACTTCTAGCTTGTAGGTCAGTCTCTCCTTCCTACATTCCTTCATCACAGCCTCTACAACCTTGATGTTTATATAACTATTATACACTGTAGAGCTTCTAGCGTGTAGGTCAGTCTCTCCTTCCTACATTCCTTCATTACAGCCTCTACAACCTTAAAGTTTATATAACTATTATACACTGTACAGCTTCTAGCTTGTAGGACAGTCTCTCCTTCCTACATTCTTTCATCACAGCCTCTACAACCTTAAAGTTTATATAACTATTATACACTGTACAGCTTCTAGCGTGTAGGTCAGTCTCTCCTTCCTACATTCCTTCATCACAGCCTCTACAACCTTAAAGTTTATATAACTATTATACACTGTACAGCTTCTAGCTTGTAGGCCAGTCTCTCCTTCCTACATTCCTTCATCACAGCCTCTACAACCTTAAAGTTTATAAATTATTATACACTGAAGGACTTCTAGCCTGTAGGTCAGTCTCTCCTTCCTACATTCCTTCATCACAGCCTCTACAACCTTAAAGTTTATAAATTATTATACACTGTAGGACTTCTAGCCTGTAGGTCAGAGTCTCCTTCCTACATTCCTTCATCACAGCCTCTACAACCTTAAAGTTTATAAATTATTATACACTGTAGGACTTCTAGCCTGTAGGCCAGTCTCTCCTTCCTACATTCCTTCATCACAGCCTCTACAACCTTAAAGTTTATATAACTATTATACACTGTAGAGCTTCTAGCGTGTAGGTCAGTCTCTCCTTCCTACATTCCTTCATCACAGCCTCTACAACCTTAAAGTTTATAAATTATTATACACTGTAGGACTTCTAGCTTGTAGGTCAGTCTCTCCTTCCTACATTCCTTCATCACAGCCTCTACAACCTTAAAGTTTATATAACTATTATACACTGTAGGGCTTCTAGCTTGTAGGCCAGTCTCTCTTTCCTACATTCCTTCATTACAGCCTCTACAACCTTAAAGATTTTATAACTATTATACACTGTAGAGCTTCTAGCTTGTAGGCCAGTCTCTCCTTCCTACATTCCTTCATTACAGCCTCTACAACCTTAAAGTTTATATAACTGGGAATCTACACTTTTGCTGAACCAATTTTTGATTTATACACTGTAGAGCTTCTAGCGTGTAGGTCAGTCTGTCCTTCCTACATTCCTTCATCACAGCCTCTACAACCTTAAAGTTTATATAACTATTATACACTGTACAGCTTCTAGCTTGTAGGTCAGTCTCTCCTTCCTACATTCCTTCATCACAGCCTCTACAACCTTAAAGTTTATAAATTATTATACACTGAAGGACTTCTAGCCTGTAGGTCAGTCTCTCCTTCCTACATTCCTTCATCACAGCCTCTACAACCTTAAAGTTTATAAATTATTATACACTGTAGGACTTCTAGCCTGTAGGTCAGAGTCTCCTTCCTACATTCCTTCATCACAGCCTCTACAACCTTAAAGTTTATAAATTATTATACACTGTAGGACTTCTAGCCTGTAGGACAGTCTCTCCTTCCTACATTCCTTCATCACAGCCTCTACAACCTTAAAGTTTATATAACTATTATACACTGTACAGCTTCTAGCGTGTAGGTCAGTCTCTCCTTCCTACATTCTTTCATCACAGCCTCTACAACCTTAAAGTTTATATAACTATTATACACTGTACAGCTTCTAGCGTGTAGGTCAGTCTCTCTCTTCATCACAGCCTCTCCCTTGATACATTCTTTCATCACAGCCTCTACAACCTTAAAGTTTATATAACTATTATACACTGTACAGCTTCTAGCGTGTAGGTCAGTCTCTCCTTCCTACATTCCTTCATCACAGCCTCTACAACCTTGATGTTTATAAATTATTATACACTGTAGGACTTCTAGCCTGTAGGTCAGTCTCTCCTTCCTACATTCCTTCATCACAGCCTCTACAACCTTAAAGTTTATAAATTATTATACACTGTAGGACTTCTAGCTTGTAGGTCAGTCCTCCTCATTCCTTCATCACAGCCTCTACAACCTTAAAGTTTATATAACTATTATACACTGTACAGCTTCTACAGTCTGTACAGGACTTCTATAAATTATTATCAGTAGGACTTCTAGGTCAGTCTCTCCTTCCTACATTCTTTCATCACAGCCTCTACAACCTTAAAGTTTATATAACTATTATACACTGTAGGACTTCTAGCTTGTAGGTCAGTCTCTCCTTCCTACATTCCTTCATCACAGCCTCTACAACCTTAAAGTTTATATAACTATTATACACTGTACAGCTTCTAGCGTGTAGGTCAGTCTCTCCTTTCTACATTCTTTCATCACAGCCTCTACAACCTTAAAGTTTATATAACTATTATACACTGTAGGACTTCTAGCTTGTAGGTCAGTCTCTCCTTTCTACATTCTTTCATCACAGCCTCTACAACCTTAAAGTTTATATAACTATTATACACTGTACAGCTTCTAGCTTGTAGGTCAGTCTCTCCTTCCTACATTCCTTCATCACAGCCTCTACAACCTTAAAGCCTCTACAACCTTAAAGTTTATATAACTATTATACACTGTACAGCTTCTAGCTTGTAGGTCAGTCTCTCCTTCCTACATTCCTTCATCACAGCCTCTACAACCTTAAAGTTTATATAACTATTATACACTGTAGGACTTCTAGCTTGTAGGTCAGTCTCTCCTTTCTACATTCTTTCATCACAGCCTCTACAACCTTAAAGTTTATATAACTTATACATACACTGTATGTAGGTCAGTCTCTCCTTCCTACATTCCTTCATCACAGCCTCTACAACCTTAAAGTTTATATAACAAGTAAACACTTGACAGCTACTATCAAGTAGGTCAGTCTCTCCTTCCTACATTCCTTCATCACAGCCTCTACAACCTTAAAGTTTATATAACTATTATACACTGTAGGACTTCTAGCTTGTAGGTCAGTCTCTCCTTCCTACATTCCTTCATCACAGCCTCTACAACCTTAAAGTTTATATAACTATTATACACTGTAGGACTTCTAGCTTGTAGGTCAGTCTCTCCTTCCTACATTCCTTCATCACAGCCTCTACAACCTTGATGTTTATAAATTATTATACACTGTAGGACTTCTAGCTTGTAGGACAGTCTCTCCTTCCTACATTCTTTCATCACAGCCTCTACAACCTTAAAGTTTATATAACATTATACACTGTCTCTCCTCTCCTCCTACATTCTTTCATCACAGCCTCTACAACCTTAAAGTTTACATAATCATTATACATTGCAGGGCTTCTAGCTTGTAGGCCAGTCTCTCCTTCCTACATTCCTTCATCACAGCCTCTATAACATTAAAGTTTATATAACTATTATACACTGTAGGACTTCTAGCTTGTAGGTCAGTCTCTCCTTCCTACATTCCTTCATCACAGCCTCTACAACCTTGATGTTTATAAATTATTATACACTGTAGGATTTCTAGCCTGTAGGTCAGTCTCTCCTTTCTACATTCTTTCATCACAGCCTCTACAACCTTAAAGTTTATAAATTATTATACACTGCAGGGCTTCTAGCCTGTAGGTCAGTCTCTCCTTCCTACATTCCTTCATCACAGCCTCTACAACCTTAAAGTTTACATAATCATTATACATTGCAGGGCTTCTAGCTTGTAGGCCAGTCTCTCCTTCCTACATTCCTTCATCACAGCCTCTATAACATTAACATATAACATAAATACTCATTATACATTGTTGGGCCTATAAGTCTTCAGCTTATATGCCATCCTCTATTTCCAACAATGTCTTTCATCACAGTTATTTACTCCAGGGAATCTACACTTTCGCTGAACCAATCTTTTGACTAACCATGTAAAATCCTCAACTCATGCAAAGTTCTTTATTTCACTGAAACTTTAATTTGTAGGAAATCTAAATAAACTTCTAGTTCTTACAGTATATGATAACACGATAATTATTGGAATTTTACCAACTCCAGGCAAGAAGCCTAGAACAATGTACAGAAAATTTCACTCCTTAATTAGTCTTTACTTACCTGTGAAATTGAGGGTTGACCTTCTGTGTCCGAATTCTCTATAGATTTTCTGTTCAAATAAAGATTTGTTTTTGAAAATTAGCCACATTTACATAGACTTGAAGAATACATGTCAAAGGATGCCCCATAAAAAACGTCAAGAAGCTTCATATCAATAACATTAATTCTAAAGGTATTAAACGTAAAGCAAGGCTGACAGGATACCACTGTAATGTCCTTCCATACACAGAACAGATGTTCCATCAATTGAGTTAACATCCTCTTACACACACAGGACTGATGTTCCATCAATTGAGTTAACATCCTCCAACACACAAAACAGATGTTCCATCCACTGAGTTAACATCCTCTTACACACAGAACAGATGTTCCATCAATTGAGATAACATCCTGCAACTCATAGGACTGATGTTCCATCAATTGAGTTAACATCCTCCAACACACAGAACAGATGTTCCATCCACTGATAACATCCTCCAACACACAAAACAGATGTTCCATCCACTCAGTTAACATCCTCCAACACACAGCACTGATGTTCCATCAATTATGTTAACACCCTATCACACACAAGGCAGATGTTCCATTCAGTTTACATCTCCTAACACACAAGATAGATGTTTTATCAATTCACTTAGTTGTAAAGTAAGTCATTTTGCAACACACCATCATTAACAAAGATTTTAATGAAACTGATACGTACTTGCATGAGGTACACACTGTTTTAACAGCTTGTAATAGTGCCTCCTAGAAAAAGTAGGGGGAAAAATAACATCAGCAACAGTGTTTCTATCAGCAGACTCAATAGAACTAAGATCAACAGGTCAAATGGTCAATTTGATAGCATATTAGAAATACTTCATATCCTAAAATTTTGGGTCTGAAAGGTTTTTGTGCCCAAGACTTCTTAAAAAACTTATTCAGTCTAATGTTACCTACTGGCAATACCTGTCATATCTTGTTTGAATTTCCACACTTGTTCAGCAAAAAAAATTTTAACTTCATTTGAAAAAATAGCAAAATGTACTGTTGACATCTCTCAGATATTTTGGCCGGAGTGAACTAAAATTTGAATCCACTATTCATAACTCCACTTATCAAGCCCTACATCCTAATGTACCTTTCCTGTCCATGTCTTGCCCTGTAGACCAATCAGAAGAGCTGACAGCAGGTTGCCTAGGTGAGGTGGGCCTAATTGGGCCTGCAGTTTAGAGGCAACTGTTGCCATGGAGAGTGCTGCTTGTGCCTTGGTGTTCCAGGACTGGGACTCAATGCTCTCTCTAAGGATCTGGACAATTTCCTGGATGTAAAGACGAATTCCAGCCTCTGTACCTGTCGACAAGGCCACATCAATTCTGTTACTTATAAACAAACATATAGACTTAAGGATATAAATGATTTTACCTTTTAATACCAATGAAGCTTATGGAATTCTTCAAAAGAATAGATTTGGATTGTAACAATTTAAGTTTATTAGATAATTATTTATGATGCCTGTAAATTGCCTATACCTGGTGTGACCTCCAGCCACACTTCATCCCAGATAGACAGACTGTCCTCTGGATTCTTGGATTTTTGTTCCTCTGAAAAAATCAAAGGAAATTCATAGGGCAGAGTATTAAAAACACAATCATATACAATTTTCCAAAAGCAAATCAAAATTATCAAAAGAGAAAATATACACCCATGATTATATTTTTTGGGGAGGATTTGAGGTGAAGACAACAGAAATACCATCACTGTTAATTTCATTCACATTCTTATATGGAAGGTTATTTTAAATAGCAAAAACAATTTGATAATCTGATTTTTTTTTTCTTCTGATTCCGAACAAAAAATTATCATAAAGTTTAAAAAAAAGATGTCTGTTACATTATGACAAAAGATTCAATTTACAGAAGACAAAAAACAATTTGATAATCTGATTCCGAACAAAAAATTATCATAAAGTTTAAAAAAAAGATGTCTGTTACATTATGACAAAAGATTCAATTTACAGAAAATACTTACCAGGCTTCTGTTCATGCATTGCAAAAAAAGCAAGTGGCATGGCCAGAGTGGCGTGTCTTTTTAAAATATCTGGACTGTGTTGGCTCATGGAATGAAGTGTTAATCCACATGCCAATCTTGCTGACTCCTCTGTCAAGGAAAGGCATGTAAAATAAATTTGTTTCACTTAAATACTTGAAACTTTATGTGATAAACAAATACTTTGAATTCCTCTTACTTCTTTAAATTTATTACAGTCCAATTTTGAAATACAGAGATTTGTAGCAACAAAAGTCTTGCTATGCTTGAATTATATTTACCATCTTGAAGATTTATTGAAGTACAACTAAATCAGAAATTTAATCTGATCACAGTGATATTTTCAATCGATCACAGTTACTATTATAATATGTAGGATAAGTATTCCTTCAGTATTAACAACACACAGTGATCAATCAGTATTAACAACACACAGTGATCAATCAGTATTAACAACACACAGTGATCAATCAGTATTAACAACACACAGTGATCAATCAGTATTAACAACACACAGTGATCAATCAGTATTAACAACACACAGTGATCAATCAGTATTAACAACACAGTGATCAATCAGTATTAACAACACACAGTGATCAATCAGTATTAACAACACACAGTGATCAATCAGTATTAACAACACACAGTGATCAATCAGTATTAATGATCAATCAGTATGATAAATAGGCATTACACAAAACAACAGTGATAAATAGGCAGTGCACACAACAACACAGTGATCAATAGGCAGTACACACAACACACTGATCAATAGGCAGTACACACAACAACACCGTGATAAATAGGCAGTACACAGAACAACACAGTGATAAATAGGCAGTACACACAACAACACAGTGATAAATAGGCAGTACACACAACAACACAGTGATAAATACGCTGTACACAACAACATAGTGATAAATAGGCAGTACACAAAACAACATTGATAAATAAGCAGTACACACAACAACACAGTGATGAATAGGCAGTACACAACAACATAGTGATAAATAGGCAGTACACAAAACAACAGTGATAAATAGGCAGTACACACAACAACACAGTGATAAATAGGCAGTACACACAACAACACAGTGATAACTAGGCAGTACACACAACAACACAGTGATAAATAGGCAGTACACACAACAACACAGTGATAACTAGGCAGTACACACAACAACACAATGATAAATAGGCAATACACAACAACACAGTGATAAATAGGCAGTACACACAACAACACAGTGATAAATAGGCAGTACACAAAACAACACAGTGATAAATAGGCAGTACACAAAACAACAGTGATAAATAGGCAGTACACACAACATCACAGTGATAAATAGGCAGTACACACAACAACAAAGTGATAAATAGGCAGTACACAACAACATAGTGATAAATAGGCAGTACACACAACAACACAGTGATAAATAGTACACACAACAACACTGATAAATAGGCAGTACACTAAACAACATCACAGTGATAAATAGGCAGTACACACAACAACAAAGTGATAAATAGGCAGTACACAACAACATAGTGATAAATAGGCAGTACACACAACAACACAGTGATAAATAGGCAGTACACACAACAACACAGTGATAAATAGGCAGTACACAAAACAACACAGTGATAAATTGGCAGTACAAACAACATCACAGTGATAAATAGGCAGTACACACAACAACACAGTGATAAATAGGCAGTACATACAACAACACAGTGATAAATAGGCAGTACACAAAACAACAGTGATAAATAGGCAGTACACACAATAACACAGTGATGAATAGGCAGTACACACAACATAGTGATAAATAGGCAGTACACACAACAACACAGTGATCAATAGGCAGTACACAAAACAACACAGTGATAAATAGGCAGTACACACAACAACACAATGATAAATAGGCAATACACAACAACACAGTGATAAATAGGCAGTACACACAACAACACTGATAAATAGGCAGTACACACAACAACACAGTGATAACTAGGCAGTACACAAAACAACACAGTGATAAATAGGCAGTACACACAACAACACAATGATAAATACGCTGTACACAACAACAAAGTGATAAATAGGCAGTACACAAAACAACACAGTGATAACTAGGCAGTACACACAACATCACAGTGATAAATAGGCAGTACACACAACAACACAGTGATCAATAGGCAGTACATACAACAACACAGTGATAAATAGGCAGTACACAAAACAACAGTGATAAATAGGCAGTGCACACAACCACACAGTGATAACTAGGCAGTACACACAACAACACAGTGATAAATAGGCAGTACACACAACAACACAGTGATAAATAGGCAGTACACACAACAACACAGTGATAAATAGGCAGTACACAAAACAACACAGTGATAAATAGGCAGTACACAAAACAACAGTGATAAATAGGCAGTGCACACAACAACACAGTGATAAATAGGCAGTACACAAAACAACACAGTGATAACTAGGCAGTACACACAACAACACAGTGATAACTAGGCAGTACACACAACAACACAGTGATAAATAGGCAGTACACACAACACAGTGATCAATAGGCAGTACACACAACAACACAGTGATAAATAGGCAGTACACACAACAACACAGTGATAAATAGGCAGTACACAACAACACAGTGATAAATAGGCAGTACACACAACAACACAGTGATAAATAGGCAGTACACAACAACACAGTGATAAATAGGCAGTACACACAACAACACAGTGATAAATAGGCAGTACATACAACAACACAGTGATAAATAGGCAGTACACAAAACAACACAGTGATAAATAGGCAGTACACACAACAACAAAGTGATAAATAGGCAGTACACAACAACATAGTGATAAATAGGCAGTACACACAACAACACTGATAAATAGGCAGTACACACAACACAGTGATAAATAGGCAGTACACAAAACAACACAGTGATAAATAGGCAGTACACACAACAACACATTGATAAATACGCTGTACACAACAACATAGTGATAAATAGGCAGTACACAAAACAACAGTGATAAATAGGCAGTACACAAAACAACAGAGATAAATAGGCAGTACACACAACAACACAGTGATAAATAGGCAGTACACACAACAACACAGTGATAAATAGGCAGTACACACAACAACACAGTGATAAATAGGCAGTACACAAAACAACAGTGATAAATAGGCAGTACACACAACAACACAGTGATAAATAGGCAGTACACACAACAACACAGTGATCAATAGGCAGTACACAAAACAACACAGTGATAAATAGGCAGTACACACAACAACACAGTGATAAATAGGCAGTACAGAACAACATAGTGATAAATAGGCAGTACACAAAACAACACAGTGATAAATAGGCAGTACACACAACAACACAGTGATAAATAGGCAGTACACAACAACACAGTGATAAATAGGCAGTACACACAACAACACAGTGATAAATAGGCAGTACAGACAACAACACAGTGATAAATAGGCAGTACACACAACAACACAGTGATAAATAGGCAGTACACACAACAACACAGTGATAAATAGGCAGTACACACAACAACACAGTGATAAATAGGCAGTACACACAACAACACAGTGATAAATAGGCAGTACACACAACAACACAGTGATAAATAGGCAGTACACACAACAACACAGTGATAAATAGGCTGTACACAAAACAACACAGTGATAAACAGACAGCACACAAAACAACACTGTGATAAATAGGCAGTACACACAACAACACAGTGATAACTAGGTAGTACACAAAAAAACACAGTGATAAATAGGCAGTACATACAACAACACTGATAAATAGGCAGTACACACAACAACACTGATAAATAGGCAGTACACACAACACAGTGATAAATAGGCAGTACACAAAACAACACAGTGATAAATAGGCAGTACACACAACAACACAGTGATAAATAGGCAGTACACACAACACAGTGATAAATAGGCAGTACACATAAATAGGCAGTACACAACAACATAGTGATAAATAGGTAGTACACAAAACAACTGATAAATAGGCAGTACACACAACAACACAGTGATAAATAGGCAGTACACTAAACAACACAGTGATAAATAGGCAGTACACAAAACAACATAGGCAGTACACACAACAACACAGTGATAAATAGGCAGTACACAACAACATAGTGATAAATAGGCAGTACACAAAACAACAGTGATAAATAGGCAGTACACACAACAACACAGTGATAAATAGGCAGTACACAACAACATAGTGATAAATAGGCAGTACACAAAACAACAGTGATAAATAGGCAGTACACACAACAACACAGTGATCAATAGGCAGTACACAAAACAACAGTGATAAATAGGCAGTGCACACAACAACACAGTGATCAATAGGCAGTACACACAACAACACAGTGATAAATAGGCAGTACACACAACAACACAGTGATAAATAGGCAGTACACAAAACAACACAGTGATAAATAGGCAGTACACACAACAACACAGTGATAAATAGGCAGTACACACAACAACACAGTGATAAATAGGCAGTACACACAACAACACAGTGATAAATAGGCAGTACACAAAACAACACAGTGATAAATAGGCAGTACACACAACAACACAGTGATAACTAGGCAGTACACACAACAACACAGTGATAAATAGGCAGTACACACAACAAAACAGTGATACATAGACAGTACACAAACAACACGGTGATAAATAGTCAGTACACAAAACAACACAGTGATAAATAGTACACACAACAACACTGATAAATAGGCAGTACACTAAACAACACAGTGATAAATAGGCAGTACACACAACAACAAAGTGATAAATAGGCAGTACACAACAACATAGTGATAAATAGGCAGTACACAAAACATGCCTCAAAGGAAAATTTCTGGGCGAGTGTACTTGTAACCAAGCCAATCGGCGTTGGCGATGCGCAGGAGTTAGGGGCAGACCAACATAGGGACGTCGGGCTCTTAGGCCATTGACGTGTAATCGGTTTTGAACCTATCAGGATGAATATAGCGGTTATGACTGCCTATAGTGTTATTTGCAGTTTCGGTAGCTGTGAGATGGCGATTACATAAGTGAGAAAGTCTTATATACCGATCCTGATGTGGCGTCGTGACGCGCGGACGTCCACTTCGCGGTCGGTCGATGACCCTCCCCGTCACTCAACAAGACGTTGAATTGTCCGAATATGCACACCAAAATGTGCAGCAACCTGAAGTTGGCTCTGACCCTGCAAAAGCATTCCTAAAGCCTGTCCCCGCTGGACTTCCGTCAATCGTGGCATGGATGTAAGTTGCTTAATTCGAATCAAACTTTGAAAAATCAATCCGAATACTTGAACAGTATCAAATAGACTGAAAATTTCCATTGGCGAACTCAATGACCTCCCCCTGCACGGGATTCTTGTATTTTAGCACGGAGCGCGGAGGTCTGGTATTGTGTGATTTTAAACACGTGTACCTAGTGACCGTGAACAACACATCAACCTGACCGAGTGTCATTATTCTAGGCCAAGCAATAAATCATTTGTAGTATATTTAGTGTACCCGGCGTTTCTTTTTCATGTTAGTATATTTTCTGTTGATAGATGTACAACATTAAATTAGGGGTCAGGTTTTCTTGATGTCTCGTTATTACATTATGCGCATGCCAGTGAACATAAATTAAGGCCCCAACTCTGTATGTGCAAGCGATCAATATAGGAGCATGGAATGTACTGTAGGCATGAATATGTGTATTGTAAAAAGAGGAACGCCGTTTCACTACACATTTTATAGTTACCTGCATGTGGTGAGAGATCTTTGGGACAGTGATGCACAAGTGAGATTACAAAGCTGGAACATCCGGCCTGGAAATCAGAAAGATGACTTAAAAAGATTTCAAAGCTTTCATATTCACAATGTCAGTCTTGACATTAAGAATGAAATAAAATGTTCACAGAGCAATTTTCTAAACACAGTTAAAATGTTTTGAGTTCTCACTTTCATCCAATGAAAGTTAAGTGTCACAAAAAGAACAGTAAAATCATTTATTTCAGGAATGGTTAAAGGACAAACTGAGGTCCTATCATTAAGTAAGGTGATATCAGGAAGTATCTAGAGAATAAAATCTCAGATTCTCCAACGAGTGTGGAAGATTTAACAGATTACTTTTGTATCTCAAGAAAAGGACACAAAAAAATCTCTTATAACATGCTACCATAATGCAAGCAACAGGTTTATTCTTTTATAATTTACTTTACCTGCAAGGATGCGGCAAACTAAATATATTCAGCAAGGATGTCCTTTGTGTTTATCAAATCTTAACAGACATTCTAGTAAGGAACACCATTTACCTAGCGCATATCATCAATACCCAGCTTCACACAACATAAAAGCTACATGGTACCCTCATCATACCTTTGTGCCAATGCCGATTCCACTTTTAATGAGATCTGTAATACGAGGAACTAATTCTGTCAGCACTTCTTCATCTACATACTGGACACACTGAAACACAATCATACTAACATCAGGGATATGTCTTCAAGTTCTTAAAATCATTTCTGATCTACCTACATGAAAACTCTTTCTTTAATATCATGAGAGCTTATCAAAAGATGCCTGTACACAATAGTATCAATCAAAGTGCTGTACTAGAAACTGTTTAAAACTCCTAAAAGCATATTTTAAAATTAGTGACAAAAATTATATTTACACATTTGCTCAAAATTTTTAAATATTTATGCAAAATAATTCTCAATGTTTTTGTTTTTATCTTTGTTTTTTGTTTTTGTTTTTGTATGACCTTAAACTGTCACATATTTTTTTATCATATATTTGTAATTTTGACAATGTAGATATCGTTATACCAACCAAGTTGACTGTTTCCATCATGGGGGACATCTTAGATGCAGCTATTCTTGCACTGTCCAACTTCAAAATAAATAATCTTTCAATCAATGTAATTTTCCCACCATCAGAAAAGAGAGAGTAGGTAAAGACGGACACAATAGAGTCCCTATCTTTAAACATATTAAACATGTTAAGCATGCTATGTATTATTAAGGATTCCATTCATTTAATGTGTAAACAGTGGCATGTGCAGTTGTATTGTGTAGTACAAAAACAACAGTCGACATTAAAATCTATGGGTCCTCATTATTTAGTTAGATTCAAATCCCCTAACATGTACCATTATTAAAAACAGTCTTAAACATGTTGTTAACACTTTCCATAGGTTTTTAATGAGCCTTACCATCAGCATAGAAGGCAATAATGGTTTTGCTTCAGATTAATTATTTTCGGAATTGAATTCCATAGATTATATTTACAATTAATTAATTACTTCTTTATTTTGGAAAAAAGTTGTTTTACATGCTTTCCTTTGTGAAATATTGCTTAATTTACAAGTTTTAATGTGTCAAATCTAAATAATAGATTTTCTGGCCAAACAAATTGAATTTCAACAGTGTCCAGTTACAGGGAGTACATGCAGGAGAAAAATCTGTAAATAACCATCTAAGAAGAATAAATATGAATTTTTCAGTTCACATAGGCATGTTAAAAGCTGTTTTAAATATACACTCACCTGATCTTGTGCTGCCTGACTGTCGGAGACACGGAGACTGTAGTAGTTAAGGACCTGAGGCTCCAAACCACTGACTGCCTCCAGCAAGGCTGTGACCAGAATAGGAATGTGTGGCTTCAACAGGGATCCTGCATTCTTACTAATTTTCAGTATGGTAGACAACCTACAAAGATAAAGCATGAACACAAATGTACCACAACATACTGTCATCATGTCAGTACAAAACCAGCCAAAATCATAAAAGCGGTGCCGCGACCAGGATAGTAGTACATTTTCAAAATGAATTGCATATTCCTACTTATCAAGAATAGCAAAATTGTTCTGCATTAGGATTCTGCATTTAAACTGGATTTTACTGTTGCATTATCAAACACATATCTTATAATTTGGCTTTAGAGCTTCATCATGTCATAATTATCAATGTTAACATAATTTCAACACAATGATGTAACCAACACAATGTAATTAAATCAATCAAAATAGCAATAGTGTCTTATTGGAATTACTTACCCTATTGCCCTGACTTCTGACACCGAACTCTGAATGCTGTTTTTCAATAAACAAGGAAGTACTGCTTTAGTCGCCTGCTCTCCTACCTTGCCGTAGTTGACATCACATATTTTAATAGATACCTGAAAAGTTACAATATCAATGTCAATGCTACATGTTTATTTAAGCTCACCAGTAATAACTATTACTGTTAAGCTCAATCCTATTCCATTTTCCTTTAATAGGCCCACCTCCTGACCTTGAATAAGAGGTTATGTCTTGGCCCTTATTATCATTGTAGCATAAAAAGTAATTTTTAATGGAATCAACTGATGTGTAAAAGGTTTTTGCATCCTACAATTGTGTATAGAAATCTCAATCAACATGAGAACATTGATAACTTCATCAGAAATATGGTGTAAGATGTCTTATTTCTGTAACTGTGAGAGTGAATTACATGAGAAGGATAGAGACTTTTATAAGAAAAAAGATACTCACACGACTAAGACTTCTACAAGCCACATCTGCTGCATTCCGAACAGACTCCTACAAAAAAAGACAATGAATGTGTGTCTACTAGGTCTTTGTTTAGACAATCAGAAGTTCAACAAGAGAACACAAATAATTTTGCTGTGAATTTTATCTCAGCACTATTTCATTCAAAACTTCATCTAAAAGATGCAGTTCTATCTGTGATGACATCTATGTTGAATGTGTTAAACTTGTGACGTCATGATTTCATGTGCGCTACACTACACACATATCCGCCTGCTCTGATTTGGCTTTCCCGGGCAGGTGCAAACTGGGATGATTGACAGGCCATATCATCGGTCATAGTGGATCAATTTTCACATGGTTTTCGACATTTTATTTAGATTATAACGTCTTTCTTATTTAAATATTGTAGAACGATACACTAACACTTTAACATCAATATTAAAAACTACCACATTTACTTCTTACAGCCACTCACTTCTGAAATATATGTAAGAGATTCAGTCGTACCTTGATGTCATCTCTGACCCGAAGACAGTTCTCCCACAAGTCAGGTAACAGATCTACAATGTCATCTACAGGGCGTCCTCGCAATAAGTCACTCACCGCCAGACAACTGGATGCATAAAACAGAATTAGGCTTGTCAAATGAAATAACAGAAGGGGATGTCTTGCTGAGATGTACAGGTTAAATATGAGCTCCAGTGTTAATGTAGGGGTCGCTTTGTCATTAACAGAGGACATTTGATGTTTAATTGGCTGATGTGAGAAGACATTAAATATACAGATGCTCATCTACTGACTACATACCGGTATATTGTCTTTAGTTATAAAAAAAGTGATGTTCAAATCTTTCTTTCATCAGTATCATTATGCAATGAGGAGACTTGACCATCAACAGACACTAATGAGTCCACTCATCTTGAAAGGCTTAAGTTGACCATTACAGGCTCAATTAAGTCTTGATCATTTGAATCTCTGAACTTAATTGGCTACTGTTACTGTAACAGTAACTTAATGAAACGACTAAACTTAACCATTATAGACAATGGTATGTCATACACATCTAGGAACAATAGACTTATGACCTTCTAGAAACAATAGACCTATGACCATCTAAAGACAATAAACTTGACCTCTATAGTTGCTGGTAAGTTTTAATCATTACACAATATCTAGACTTGATTTCTATAGTTTCTGTGAAGCTCTAAACATTAAACAATCTCTAAGCTTGATTACTATAGTTGCTGGTAAGTCCTCATCATTACACAATCTTGACTTCAATAGTTGCTTGTGAGTCCTAAACATTAAACAACCTCTTGGATTGACTTCTATAGTTGCTGGTAATCTCAAGATCTTAACATGATTGCTACAAATGCTGATAAGTCCCCATCATTAAACAATGTTTAGACCTGATTGCTACAGATGATGATAAGTCCCCATCATTAAACAATGTTTAGACCTGATTGCTACAGATGATGATAAGTCCCCATCATTAAACAATCCATAGACTTGATTGCTACAAATGATAAGTCCACTCACCTTGATTCTCTTATTCTCCACTGAGTGTTGGTAAGATTCTTTATTAAGTCTTTTGCAATTTCTTTCATGTACTTTTCTACCTAAAATAACACAATATGATAAAGCCATGTACTTTTTACACTCTATATTTTTACACTTACTCTCTGTGCACTAAAACCTTGTTGCAGGTCCTGAATTTAGTACACTGCACATTGTCTTTGTATGATCATTGTATACACCAAGTTTCCCAACACATTATTTTAACAAAAGGCAATAATTCTGTAATTAATGGGTCAAGGACCCTGAATCTGGTCGCAAAAGGATGGACAGACAGATGGACAAGGTGGCAACTATAACCCCCCACGAAAATTTTCGGCATAAAAAACATAAAAGCATCTGATGGTAGTTTTGTCATGAAAAATAATAAAACTCATTGCTAAAATTCCAAGCTTTTTAAGGAAGTTTTTATATTTGTTACCTACATGTAATTCTCAAAATATCATTTCAATATTTCAGATGGATTTGCCATTAAAGTTTAGCTCACTTTACTTACTGTGTTATTGTTATCTTGTACAACAGCCTGCCAGATACTACTCATGGCCAGCTGAATCTTTGGGTTAGGATCAAACTGGTATCTGTAAAGTCTGGGCACCAACTTGTGTAAGTATGGTGCTAACTGTTCACCAGCCTGGGCAGCTATGGTGCTAAATCCAAAAGCTGCTCCCTGAAAATATAGTGTACATTAGTGAACTCTATTTTTTCCTAGATTATTTTTTTCATAATAATTCTTGTGGAAGATAGCTAATTTCTCTTCATACTGCCAAACCTTCTATAATCCCAAACTTTGGTTATACAAATGATGGTAGTAGATTAATATTTAAACTCTCATTCCAAGCATACATTCTAATAGCAAACCTTTTTAGAGTTCCACATAGCATTGTGATTGGCCAAGTGCATGAACTTGTAGATCAGGTCAGGTTGGTTGAGATCATTGGCCATAGAACAAAGCTCTTTATATGTTGACAGACTTCCACTGGAAAAAGTAACGTGAAAATTAAACATGATATTACACTTGACAACTAGCATTGACAGTATACATTAGAAATTAGGAGTAAAGGACAGTGGTCACAGGAATGAGAAAGCTACAACATCCAAATATTTACCCATCGGGAGTTTTTCCAATGGATCCTTGTTCAAAGATCTTGCTTTCACCTGTTACTTCTTGTTTTGCTCTGTAAATATAAAACCTCAAAATGAATACATAAAGAAAAAAATTGAACTATTGAATTATTTTTTGCTTTGCTACTATCAGATAATATTTGTTCACATTTTGTTCATGCATAAATATATTTTTTACTGGATTTATCATTTTTTATAGTTTATTTGAAATATACGATCTTCATCATTTCAGACAGGAAATAAGGGTACTTACCGCTTGCCTGTCATTAGAGTGTCAACCAATTCAGCCACAAGCTGGTCCTTCTGTTTGGAGGAGCAAACCTCATACACCAGACCAAGACCTTTAGATGCTATGTCCTGAGTTACATCTGAAATATAAATGTACACTACCATAATATCATAGAATCATCATGCATTATAGAAAGTAAAAACACAAATAAACCAGCATGAGATCCCTGTTTCTGACTCCCAAAAATGAGTTTACAATCTTGTCTTTGAAGAGACATGTCCATTTTATATATGACTTGATATTCATATTTGTAATTTGACTTTTGAAAAAGACATTAGCTCTGACACATATTTTGAAGCTAAATATTAAAGTTTATGATAATTTTTGAGACATAGATAATAAATGTACCATCATTTTCTGACAACATCTTCATGAATGCTCTCTGGATCTCCAGAAGATTTGACTGAAGTGCCTCATGCATGTTGCAGCTCTTTACTAATGCCAGCAGCCATATACAAGCAGCCTGTAAATGGGATACAAAACTGATCTTCATGAAAATATTCACACAAGCTCTGTTGAAAGAAATATCTCTAAGCAATATTCCTTTTCTTCAGAGATTCATCCATCTTTCTGATTACTTATCCATCCTTTTCATAATATCTTGTTTCTATTCCTGTTATTCAACAGCAAAAATAATTTGATACACAATCAATTTCAATAAATTGAGATTTCAGTTATTAAAATGTTCTTAAATTATTTTAAATGTTTCTCAACATTGGAAAGAAAAGATTACAATTCAAAATACATATCCTTAAAAAGATGGCATAAAACTTCCAGGTGTTTGATAGGAAATTAAAATGTAAATGTATAAATTCCTAAATCTCCATAAAATCAATGAGACTTGCCTGTCGCAGGTGTGGGTTGACATTGACAATGTACTTGTTGAGTAGCAGATCCATGTACCATGCCACCTCATTCACACTCTTACTAGTCCGGCTCTAAAGAAAGTGATTACGTATAGTAAATGTAATAACTAGTTTCATTCAATTTTTCTTTTATTAGGTGAACTACATATAAACTGTGAGAGCCAAAATTTGCATCAGAAAATGTAGCATATATGTACATATAAGGTTATGGGACAAAACTAGCTCTGAAGCTTCTTATGAATGCATTTAATTAATCAATTGTTGTATGCATGGAAAATATTTTCTTGAATTCTGAGAAAAAACAAATTGAAAAAAACACAAAATGTTCCATACCTTTACACTAACTGTATACTGCCTAAAACCAGTTTTACAAAATTGTAAATAAAATAACTATCACTTGATATGATGATGATGATAGCAAAGTATGATAATTTTTTTCAGACAATCAATAAGACACAGATGTCTCCACTGCCTGACAGCAGAGGAAAATCCCAACCTAAGACTAGATTCTTGAACTTGAGTCATCTTGGTTTAGACAATCAAGAATCTCTCCTCAGACAGAGATAGCTCTGTTCCTTCTATAAGCTAGAGAAATCACTTCAGGAAACACCAACAGAAACAATCATATACCTTTGTTGTTATGTATTGACAGTATAACAATCACAGTCTGGTGTTAACTTAGTTATCATCAATAAGTTGTCATTAACTGTTTTAAAATCAGTTACAATATTGTATTGAGCTATATTGATAAAACATTTGCTGACATTACTGGAGAAAAGGCTATTAAATCCTCATTAACTTTGGCAATTAAAATACTTCAAAAACAATAAATAATGGTTTTACAATATTATATTGACTTCAAACACATTTGCTGACATAATGGTACTATTAAATCCTCATTGTTTTTAAAATACTTCAAACAATGAATAATGGTACCATTGTTTTTACTAGTTCATGGTTCATTCATGGGATTTTAAAATAAAATAAATGGCTCAGGCTGTTGGTAGTAAGTTCCTATAAGGATTTTCATGGTAATTGCTTATCATATCTATACATATAAACAGGAAAGATAACTTGACCTGACATACATACATTGAATTCCTCAACTGTCTCTGTCCACACATTTCTGGCTGCAGCCGAAGTGATACCCTGGGCACTGAATACCAATGCGTCCCCAATTGTCATATTCAACTCTATCTGTTTAGCCTGTTTGGAAATTATTAATTCTCATAACAAACTACAATCAAACATCAGCATCCTTTCTTCAATATTATATCTAAGTACAGCACATTTAACTGCTGCCTCCTAAAATCTTTGACTGATAGTTCAAATCTTACCAGTAATCTCCATCACATTTTCAGTAGATCTGGGTCAACCTTTGTCTTACATTTTACAACAAAAATGTGCATGACAATAGCAAAACAAATCAATGCTTAAAACATTACAGAAAAAAATCATTAAGATTGGCAGAAATTTCTTCATATCATTTTAAAATATAAAATGAAGATGCGTTTCTCACCTGAGCAGCTTCCATCATTTGCTCGATGACTTTCCTACGATAAGGAAATTCTTCTTCACCCACACATATGTAGCCTAGACAGAGTGCTGCTTTTTCTTTTGTCTGACAACAGAGGTGTATTATTTATTAGGTAAGTAGGAAAACTATATATTATGTATTTTAAATCAGTTGGCTAAAGGTTTAATATACCAACACAGGAATGCAAAAAGTAGGAAATGATCTCTTTTCTCCATAACATGATATTTCTAACTGCCATGATTGATCAGGGATCTAAACTTACCTTCAAGTACTGTCTTATATCAAATTAAAACTGAATTACATCAGCAATCAAAGCTCATAAGATTTTATTTGAAAAAGAGTCACATTTATCAGCTTTTCAATGTTTCTCAAAATTATGATATCCAATCAAACTCGAAAAAAAAATATTTGTGAAAAAGAAAGAGCTAGCAGGGACATGACATTTTTCAAAAGACAAGAGAAAAAGAGAAAACAAGAGGTCTAGTGGCCTTGACGTTCACCCAAAAGAAGAAATGTTGAATATAGTTTTAAGGATAAATAGCTTTCAAGTATCATGAAAAAGCAATTGTGACATTGATGATAGTAAGTCAGTGTCAATACATAAATACCATCAAAACTATCATCCAATATCAATAATTCTTACAAAGTTACTCCCAATGGAAAATAAATGTTATATTCGAAATTGCAATTCTTTTATAAAAATTATAGTAAGGATGACCTCCTCACCAGAAAGAAATGTAAGACCCAGCTTGGAAAAAGCACCTTAAGGCGTTTCCATCCATGAAGAGCATTTTGCATATTGAGGAGAAGATTTTGAAATTGAAGTCAATTTGACCCCATTTGGCACTGCCCATCAGACCCTGGGGGTCAGTCAGAATGCATATATGCATAACATCAAACTGTCATCCTTTGTTCATAATTCTAACCAGGTTTGGACTGTTTCCAATAAAAATTCAACAAATTATGCTCAGAAATCTATTTTTCCAACATAAACTATTGTAAATTTACCCCCTTCCTCCAAGGGAAATGTGAGATCCTGGGACCATGAAATTCACATTTCTGGTAAAGCACCTTTAGGATGCTTCCATCCATGAAGAGCATTTGATTCTACTATATCTGGGCGTTGAGAAGAAGATTTTTAGAATCTGAGTCAATTTAACCCCTTTCCCCACCGCCCATCAGTCCCTGGGGGTCAGCCAGGATCAATATGGTCACACCATCAAGCCATCATCCTTTCCAATGGAAATTAAACAAGTTATGCTCAACAATCTATTTTGCATATATGAAATATAGTAAAATTTACCCATCCCGAGGGGAAATGTTAGACCATTGGGTCATGAAATTCACAATTTTGGTGAAACACCTTAAGATGCTTCCATCCATGAAGAACATTTGATTCTATCATATCTGGGTGTTGAGCAGAAGACTTTTGAAATTTGTCAATATGATCATTTTGGCCCCATTTCTATAAATTGGCTCAAGATTTTTTTAGAAGTAGTTGAAAGTGTTAAAAGTTTAAGGATGCACAACAATGGACCTAAAAAGACTGCCTTCTACTCAAATTATACCTTATTGGTCTCCTTTCCTGATGTGACCATTTTTAATAGTACTTTAATCAAAGAAAGCTTGGTTATCTTTTCCTGACCATCTCCTTCTGCACCAGATGGCAGCAGCAGTGCTGAGTTCCTGCCAATCTCCCCAATGGCCAGACATATAGAAGGTAATAAAGGATCGGGGACCTCATCTGTTGGCTTCAGAAGTTTTACTGTTTAAAACAAGAACGGATGATATTATTTTGTCTGTGAAATGAAAACGGAAATGTGAAGACAGATATAACTCTAAGTCTTTCATTCTTCATAGGTATAATGTAATACAATGTTAAAGGTAGTGAAAAATAATATAAAAAGTATAAAGTGAAACCTGCATCAATTATTATGAAGTTGGCTATATATTCAATAGTTATGAAATGTAACAATGCAAAAAATTTCACAAATTTCACAAATTTCAATGAAAGTAATGAATTCTCCATCATACCATCAAACCTATAGAATAAGAATATATCATGGCAGCTACTACTGACCTATATTATGTACAGCAGTACCCATGGCAGCTGAGAGCTTGGCATCCACACTACTGTCAGTCTCCATACCATTGGAGTTCATCCTCAGATATTGACCAATCAGGTAACCCAGGGCGATGATTGACCCCTGCTGTACTTCAAAACTCTAGAGTGATGAAAAAAACTGACATTTTAAAACACCTTGTCAAACTGATAGCATTTATTACGCAAATTTTAGACATAAAAAAATTGATGTCAATAGGGAATGGGTACAGAAAGTGAGAAAAAAAACATCTCAATGCACCGAGAGAAAGTAAGAATACAAATGAAACAATATTTGAAGAAGAATAAAATATACATGAATATTAATGAATGTGATATAAGCCAGAATCTCCTGCTGTAATGTTGTAGAAAACTTGGTAATCTACATTGAAGAAAGAAACGGTTTTAAAAGCATTATGTGAAGAGCAGTATGAGAAATCAAATAAGAAAAGATTTAAGATACAGGTCCAACAATGATGAGAATGAAGCAAAATCAGGGAAGTTCACAACCTAAAATTTGTTTAAAGTGGCCTACATTTAATATAATGGTGAAGTATTGGTAAATATAAAACATATGTAACATTTCTCAAGATACATCGAAATATGATGTTTGATGACTGTGGATTCCTAAACTAAAATTATTGTAACAAAGCAAAACACATAGAAATATCATGAATGCTACCAGACACACAGCAATGGAAAACATTATGTTCCCTTCATCACTTACATCCAATTTTGAAAGTTTTTGTACGTAGGAAACCTGACTCTATCAACACACCAAATATTACCACTATAACAATCTACTCATTGGAGGACCAAACATATTCTTGTTGAAACAATTATTCAAAGGCCAATAAAAATATGATTTATCATAAACTTCATAAATTCTTACTTTGCTAGAAATTTTGTCAGATAATTCTAAGATGGCATCACTAATCTTGGTCTTGTCCGCTTGATGACAAAGGACTGTGGCATGGAGCTGGCTGGCATATGTCTTCAGTTCATCCTTACTAGAGAAAATGTAGCGCTGAAAATGCATTAAAATACAACAGTTTAATTAATAAAATTTATAAATTTTTCAAAAATTAATTCTTATACTTGGCATGAAGACAATCATTTACAAACATCATTACATTTCAACCTATTAGTTCTAGTACTAGAGATTTGTAGCTAAATATTAAAACATTTGGGGGATGCTACCAATGAATGACTGACATGATTTTTAGAATTCTTATCAACTTAACTCTGGTTGCTGGGTCAAATTAGAAAAACACAGCTATATTAAAAGATTAGAAAATATTTCATATTCATGACAACATTGTACTTATCTTACAAAAATTTAATTTGTTCAAAAATTGAAAGTAATTGTAACTTTTAAATTCTAAGGAAGAATGTCAAATTTTACTAGGACTCGATGGTATATAGAAATGTATGTTTAGATCCATCTTCCCTATTCCATACTCAAATGAACATTATCTGTGATAATAACTTCATTAAGTCTTCTGTATGGTGTCTTTTACATTAGAAACCGACCTTTATCCAGTCCAGGTTCTTCATGAATTGTGAGGAAAGTTTACCAGGTGCCATGGACACAAGTTCTAACAGACAGTACATACTGGATGTTCCTAAAACACATCAAACAAATGACTGTGTGAGTTGATACATCAGGAGAGACAGGTTTTTCTTTTACCTATTTTCTTCCTACTTATGGGGAGTTACACTATTTGAAGATTCCATTGAATGGGTATGTAGAGTTTTGTGACCTTCTGCAACAATAATTATTTTTCAAATTAGTATACAAATACTCAAAAAAGGCTTATGGGCCTTAATGGTTATCGGACTACAAAAACTTTCAGCAGGGAAAAGGGTTCTTTTTTTCTACTTTGAATGAAATCTTACTAAGAAGCTGTTTCCTATGATGCAGGTGGTAGTTTTGGTGAGGAGTAGGTAACTGAAACAAGTGTTACCTATCATTTGAGAGTAAAGTTGGAGCTCAATCCAGCTAGTGAAACAGGTATTGCACAGGAAAACCATGATTGCACAATCAGGTTACAAAATAACCTCCCTGACTGCCATATCCAAGTTTAGACCCGGTAAAAAAAAACACTTTATTGGCTCACATTGAGCCAGTATCCTTACCTCCAACAACTGTGAGTAGGTGTTTGATGAAGTCAATGTATGTCTGTAGCGAGTCAGAATTCAGCATCCCCAACAGGAATTTGGATATAGCAGGAGCTTGGTCTTGCATGTCACTTAAGGAATCAGTATTGGGGATAACACCAGCTTCACAAGCCAAACAGGACCTCAGGTACAGTACCATCTGGAGGAGGAAAGTTAACACTTCAGCTATGAGATATTTGTCTAAAGATGTTTATTAATTATTTATAATGAAATAGTGGAAACCACACATTATTTATGATGAGATATTCTTAATTTTTAGCCTTCTGAAAAATCTCATTCATAGTTGTTCCAAAAACTACCCACCATCTCAAATCAATTTATTAGCATTAACACATCAGTATTTTCATTCTTCTGTTGAAATACGGTTTCATGAATGGCAAAGAAAACCCCAAAAAATTTCAGGAACTGCATGCATAACTTTAAATTTTAACAAAAAATGAAGATAATATGAAAAAAAACCCCAGAAATTTCATCAAATGAATATAGTCCAAGAAAACAATACATGAAAGGGAACCTTCATCTTACCAGATCAAAAAATACTTTTTCACTGGCCAACTGCATGAATCATAATTACAAAAGCAGCTTTCTTACACTATTCACATATGTATCAGACATGTAAAAGTTAGCATTGGATCAGTATAGCCACCTGTTCATAAGCTATGGAGTTGAAGGCCATCACATGGTTCCCTGCCGTCACTTTATGCTGAGTCAACACTCTTTGGTCAGCCTGAAAGAGATGTCCACCATTTCACATCAAAATAAAAACATTTGTGTTACAAGCAGTTTTACTATCTTAAATATAATTAATTTTTTTTTTTCATAAGAAGACATTGGCTGAGGTGCGACTTATTTGTATACATGTTTGATACAGATCAATCAAGAGATATTAAAGACATGAAATAAGCCAGATGATAGTTATACAATAAATGAAAACCAATTTAATTTTTTACTATATTAATTCCAAAATCTGGTCACCTTCACACAAATCAAAAGTATCAAAGAACATGGCAAAAACATTCTATACAATAAGTTAATCTATAATGAAACAGTCACTATTTATTTATCTGATACACATAAATTAACACTCAATGGTTTTAGTTGATACCTTTTGTTTGATATACATCATGGCACTGGAGAACTTTGGCATCTTCGGTAGTTCCTCTTTAGCTGAGGATTTAGAAGGGACTTTCTCTGTTGTTTGTTTAGATTTTAGTGCCTTCATAGCTTCTGTGCGTACATCTTCCTTACTAAAGTAAGAAACACATACAAGAAAAGCCCATGTTATCAGGAGACAAATAGGAAGACACCATGTTACAGAATCAACAAGTAAGAATATCAACTGACCAGGAGGTGAAGTTTTGATGAACATCAGAATTTGAAAACAAAAAATCTTCGTCGGCAGTCTTTTTTTTTTTCTTCACTTCAACAATTTATCACAAAACAATCTTTTCAACACTCAAATTCTACATTGTTACTCATAATAGGCTTTGATCTCTGAATAATCATATAAAAAACAAAAGCGATACACCCTGTAATGTAACATTGCAACACTGATGTCTGGGTATTTAAATTTTATTACTTTATACATTAAAAATTGATAATATTTTTGATGTTAATAATCTGATTCTCGTAGATTACCTACTGTGACCTTGGACACTTGATCTGGTGCAGAATTTCCTTACTGTCAATACCCAATAGTAATACCTACTGTGACCTTGAACACTTGACCTGATGTAGAATTTCCATACTGTCAGTACCCATTAGCTAATAGTAATACCTACTGTGACCTTGGACACTTGACCTGATGTAGAATTTCCTTACTGTCAGTACCCATTAGCTAATAGTAATACCTACTGTGACCTAGGACACTAGACCTGGTGTAGAATTTCCTTACTGTCAGTACCATATGTTTAACAGTAATGCCTACTGTGACCTTGGACACTTGACCTGGTGTAGAATTTCCTTACTGTCAGTACCATATGTTTAACAGTAATACCTACTGTGACCTTGGACACTTGACCTGGTGTAGAATTTCCTTACTGTCAGTACCATATGTTTAACAGTAATACCTACTGTGACCTTGGACACTTGACCTGGTGTAGAATTTCCTTACTGTCAGTACCATATGTTTAACAGTAATACCTACTGTGACCTTGGACACTTGACCTGGTGTAGAATTTCCTTACTGTCAGTACCATATGTTTAACAGTAATACCTACTGTGACCTTGGACACTTGACCTGGTGTAGAATTTCCTTACTGTCAGTACCATATGTTTAACAGTAATACCTACTGTGACCTTGGACACTTGATCTGGTGTAGAATTTCCTTACTGTCAGTACCATATGTTTAACAGTAATACCTACTGTGACCTTGGACACTTGACCTGGTGTAGAATTTCCTTACTGTCAGTACCATATGTTTAACAGTAATACCTACTGTGACCTTGGACACTTGACCTGATGTAGAATTTCCTTACTGTCAGTACCATATGTTTAACAGTAATACCTACTGTGACCTTGGACACTTGACCTGGTGTAGAATTTCCTTACTGTCAGTACCATATGTTTAACAGTAATACCTACTGTGACCTTGGACACTTGACCTGGTGTAGAATTTCCTTACTGTCAGTACCATATGTTTAACAGTAATACCTACTGTGACCTTGGACACTTGACCTGGTGTAGAATTTCCTTACTGTCAGTACCATATGTTTAACAGTAATACCTACTGTGACCTTGGACACTTGATCTGGTGTAGAATTTCCTTACTGTCAGTACCATATGTTTAACAGTAATACCTACTGTGACCTTGGACACTTGACCTGGTGTAGAATTTCCTTACTGTCAGTACCATATGTTTAACAGTAATACCTACTGTGACCTTGGACACTTGACCTGATGTAGAATTTCCTTACTGTCAGTACCATATGTTTAACAGTAATACCTACTGTGACCTTGGACACTTGACCTGTTGTAGAATTTCCTTACTGTCAGTACCCTTTACTTAACAGTAATACCTACTTGTCACCACTGGCCAATAAGAGAACATATCTTGATGGCATGTGGTCGGTAGGAAACACAGCCTTGGCATACTGTACTGCAACTAGACGAGCTTGGGGCTGTTCCTTAACATATGAAAAAAGATTTTCATTAAAACTAAAATGTTTAATCCTTGCAATTATCAAAATTATCAAATTTTGTTCAAAAAGAATTATTGGAGAAACCTTGAAATACAGATCTGACAATGAGTCAAGGATTCACAGTAAAACAAAATATCTATTTATCTATCTATAACTATACACTACTTGAATTCAAACAAAATTAATTGTAAACCAAATTATCAAACCATCAACCTTCATCTTCATGTTACATGTTTTTTTTTTCATGTGTTACCTTGTCAATATTCTGCATTACTAGTGCCTCCATGAGTGTTGCATTAGTACCACTGATGTCATGGAAAGCCTCTGACATCAGAGACAATGCTTCTTGTACTGATAGTCGTGTTTCTGCATCCTCCTGAAATAAAAGCACAGTATCAGAAAATGTCAACTCATTATGATACACAATGTCAATAACTGTAAAAGTGAAATTTTATTTCTTCATCAGTAAAGAGCAAAGGTTCTAGAAGTTGCAGTTGAGATGTACACTGGTCTGTACTAGCATGGTTGTGTCCTTGGGCATGATTTTTCCTTGTCATCTCTTCATGCTCTGGATGGCATGTGATGGGCCTCCTGTATGTTGTTCAGTGATGTGGTCATGAACTATTACAAGGAGACCTCACCTCTAAACAAGGGCCATCAGAAACGGGTTATACTCCCAGAAAGGGACAAAATTAAAGTATGAAAAAATGTAAGTGCAAGAACTCCTATATTTTGCAAAGTTATGGTTCTTGTACACTGCACTTCTCCTCATCGAGATCTATCTACCTATGAAGTTTTATGATGATACTTCTCATAGTATTTGTGTTATGCTCCAAACAAAATCTATGTATGCAAAATAATAAAGGGCAATAACTCCTAAGTCATGCAAATGACAGTTATTGCTCTTGTGCACTGCACTTCTCCTTGTTGAGATCCACCTGCTATTGAAATTTTATGTTAATACCACTTATAGTTTTTGTGTTATGCTCTGAACAAAATTATGATGAACAGACAAAACGGATGCATAAACACACAAAGCATCAACTACATGCTCTCCCTTCTGGGAGCATAACGATTCTGGCTGTTCATCATTGACAAACCCAGCAAATAAACAAACCATTTCATTAGCAATATGTAAAATCTGGTGAAAATGTTCAAGATATAACAGTTTTGCATGTCATGAAAATGAAATCAGACTGTATCATATGGAATGGCTATTTTGGCTGGGCATCCTATACAATCATCAGAATTCTCCTCAGTGTTCAAACACTACCAATAAAATGACCTAGTATCCCTATTGCATCACTAGAAATAACTCTTTGACAATACAATGAAGAGAACCTGAAATTAGATTTTACATGTCTTACATGTATTTAAACAGGAGACCTCCTTTTTTGTTTGACTTAAGAAAGCACTCTTTACTCAGCTATATACAACTGCTGACTATATGTATTCAAATTTACTAGAAAGCAAAAGACAAATTATGCACAATATGAGAAATCTTAAACAAAGAAGTAGGGTAAACGAATACCTGACACATGGCATCAAAAAACTTCTGGACAATGCCTATATCCTTGCTAACAATCTGTGGAGACCGCCTCACAATCTTTCCAGCAGCTACATAAGCCAGACCTCGTAACTTGGCATCCTGTTTGGTAAATAGAAAACATCATTCCATTCGTACTGCTACATAAAATGATGCAACCAGTTGAAAGTTTGAGCAGAAAAATAACTATTAAACATCTACTCTTGATTAGTCAATGGTAGAATATGGTACATATTAGTTACAGTAAAACATATTAGCTTAGCATTTTAGGTTAAGGTGACCTGGTAGTCACCTCCTTGGCTGCAAAATTCAGATTCTTTTCATTAATGATGAAGCAACTTTATGATGCAGTTCATTCATTGTTTGGATCTACTGTATCTAATTCTAAATTTGTATTTAAAAGTATTCATTTGTCTTTTGTACAATTCTAAGGTATTCAATTGTTTAGTGAAGTCAGTCTCAGATTAGGGTAAGATAAGTTTCAAGGGAGAAGAATTTGTTTTAAATTAGTGATGTTAACTTAAGGTTAACTCAGGGTGGTCAAGTGGCTCAATGGTCACTCGCTCGCCTTTCACTTTAACCTCTGGGATATCATTCTCTGATCAGATGTGAAAAGGTATGGCAGTCACCTGCGGGACCAAGTGAGTTTTTTTTAGGGTTCTCCAGTGTCCTCCCACAATGAGACCCCTTGCACGATTTCATGCAGAACAACAAGAGCATATTATATAAGCTGATAGCTTGATAAGCAACTGTTGTAAAATAAAGTTAATATGCTAGTTCAACAAGCATATCATAAAATCATCTGTCTGTTGAGTAGGTAAACAATAAAATTGTCACTCAATGTAATGTTGGATCAATTACTTGGATCTCATGACAACTCACCTCCTTAGCTTCCCCTACAAGTTTAACCATCCCAGACAGCAGTACTGGGCCTATTGGCGCAAATTTGTTATCAGCACAGCTGAAAAGATAAACACTGATCATTATCACACTTGAATTTTCTGTTTTAAAATGTGTGTCATAAAATCCTTACTACTCAATAATTTATAATTTTCATTGAAACAGACTTATGAAAACAAAGTATCTCCTTTTGATAATTTACCCTCAGGAAACCACCCTCCTAATCATCTACTTGTGGTCACCCTTTTCAGTCTCTACCAATTGTTGATGCTTTTATCATAACCATCATTTTTGGGTGGTTGGTTGGAGCAGTGGTGACACACTTCCCTTTCACTTTTGTAGTCTAAGCTTGATCAATTGAATAGACCTGAAAAAGGTATGGGCTAACTGCCCGACCAAGTGGGTTTACCCCATCTATTTGGTTACCTACAGTGGTTAAGCAAATTTGAAAGGCAACAAAAGTACTGAAACATATTAATTACAACAGTAATGCATGTGTTCTTTTATTCTTATTTCTTAATTAAGCACTTACTGTAGGCAAAGGTGGTGTACAAATTGGGTTGCCATCAGTTTCAGTTTAGAATTAGTTGTCTGTCCATACAAACAGTCAAATGTCACCTAAAATTAGTAAAAAGTAGTTTCACTCACAAGGAATTCAGATGGAACAATACCATTCACGTACAGTATAGCATTTCTTATAAAACATACCAATATCAGAAATAATATCCAACCTATTACCAATTCATTCCAATCCTAGATTTACTTGAAATAGAAATATTACAGTATAAAAGATAAAATTAATTTTTCAAAAGGACCATTCAATTCATTAACACACATACTTTATATTAGTTATACTATAATAAGCAAACCAATCTTTTAGGTCAAGCACAAAAGAGTGAAATTAGTACATAAATTTGTATTTATTAAAGAGTTTCAATCCATGTGACCTGAATAAGTGATATGAAGTCCTGTAGAAACAGTTTAAAAAGTTCAAAGTTATTGAGTTACATCATTCCTGGTAGTCAACTTTCACATGAAAGCAACTTCATGGCTCATCAAAACTGACTTCACTGATGTTAAATGTACACGTATTATGTTTACACACCTGGATGCAGGATGGAAATGTGTTGCAAGCTTCTCTTGATTTCAGGAAGTAAGGGAATATTTTCAGACGTATGCGAGTACACACTGGTTTTCTTTTTAATTCAGGCTTTGTTTCTGTCTGTTGAAAGAGGGAAAAGCTCGAACAATATTTTCACAAATAATGTAATTCAATGACAGTAATAAGCCATTATTTACTTGTTGTTTCCTTTAGGACTGAACCTCGGTTTTGTAAGTATAACTAAACAATAAGTTTGCAAAAATTGTTTTGAGTTTTCTTTTATCTTTTTGTAAAAACTCTTGTCAGTGAACAGTAATATATAAAGATTTATTATTTTTGGTGTTACATCTACATTATGACTATGTTGAGTGATAATTCACTGTCTTACTCCAGTGAACTCTAGGGACTCAGATAATAAGATTTATCTAATACAGTGTATAAATGACCTTACCTTGCCCTTGATATCCACTGTCCCCTGGAATACACTGAACAGTTGCTTTATAATGGCCTGATTATTCCAGTCTATACTCCTGTGTTGAAAATACCAAATAGAAACTTGACTAACATAAAAAGGGCGAAAGGTTCCAGTCATCTCTCAACATAGTGAGGTAATACGTTCTAAAATTGTACAATTTGTCACACCTTTAATGAATTATTCCCTTTAGCAACATGAAACAATCCATCCAAGGATCAAATTTTGATATCAAGTTCAGGAATTGTTAGACCTTGACTTCGGATTATCATCCCAGATATAGAAAGTTTGTATCTTATCAATACATCATGAATCATCAATTTATTCAACATGTAATTTAGACAATGAAATATCTTCAGGCAATGGAAGACAAATATAAGAGGTTGATTTCAGGAAACTGTTGCTTGTTTCAAATGACATTACATAAATAATAAAAGGTGAATCATTCTATTAGTATTCCAGTTTACTTGTATGGAATCAATTTATCTAATATAAATCTGTTCCCTGACATTTTCATATCTGCATTTTCGCATGGACATTCACAATTTTCTTAAATAAACTACTGTATATCACAAACTTACCCTAATATTCTTTTCAGTTCCATATCAGCTGCTGTTGCAACACTGAAACAACAGTCCAAATATTTTGAAAAATTATTCTCAAAGTAGGAAAAACACACCATTTTAAGATCACCAAATTTTCAATAAGCATTTAGAAATTTATCAATATCTGGTTAGGTGGTGCAGTGACAATGCACTCACCTCTCACCAAGTAGTTCAATTTCTTCTCACAGTCAGATCCTTCTGTGATTCCATTCAGTCCAACAATAGTGATTAATATAAGCTGACAGCTTCTTTCACAATTGTTGTAAAATAAATAAAGTTTATAGTTATATTTGTATTGATACAGAGTTACTAACAGAGACAGCAGGGAAATGACATTAATTTGTACCTCTGTTAAAGTATACAAATATCTTTTCTTAAGTCTGTTGCTGCCGTTTTAACCTTGTTTCCTGATCAACAACTTACCTGTGTCGTGTGTCAGCAGCTGCTACAATGTAGTGACAGATAACATCTTCCTCTGCCAGAATGCCTGCCCCCAGAAACTTGAGCACCCCAATCTTTGCCTTTTCAAGTGCTTCAGGTGTGAGTGCATTGTCTCCGGCCACTCTTCTGAAGGAGTATTCACTGAGGCCTGGTGGGGTAGGGGTAACTGGTGCTGTGGGTGGGGGCGTCGCATCAGGCTGGGCCGATGAGGGCCTGTTTTGAATGGCTGCCACATGGGCACTACAAAGAAAGACAATGTCGGGTTTCTTTATAGATAAAAGGTTTTACCAATCCACTCTTATAAGAGAAAATCTGAAGAATATTTTGCCATTTGCTATATTATATTTTCAATATGGGTAAATATCCTACAATTTTCAAGCATTTTGAAATTTGAAGTACATACATAATTGTTTAAAATTATCCATTAAATTATCAGGTTACTAGCATACAATAAATCATGTTTGATGTCAGTTTAACTTCACTTTACAATTGGATAAATAACCTACCTGTATGGTAGGAGGAGAAGATCCATCATATAATCCAGTAATACACCTGATGTCTGGTGTTGATCCGTCAGGCCATATACAGCCTGGCGCTGTTTGGCATCACTTGGGAATTTAATGTACTGCATAGCTGGTATCAAAAGCTGCAAGAGGCTAGAAACAAAAGCACCAAAACAAATAATATACCTAAGCTGTTTAGAATTCAATCAACGAAATTCTGCCGAAAACTGAGTTGGGAAATGTATTATTCATTAAAAAGGGGAATAGAAAAAATAAGAAATAGAGATTATACCTGTCTCTCTGTGATTGTGGCTTGCCCTTCAGACAGTTAATCAGAAGTGGAACAAGAGTGGCTTGCTTCTCCTTGTCCAGGCGAGGAAATCCCATCTTAATGTAGATGATGGAAAAGTTCTGAAATGAAAACATATTTCAAAATTTAAATACAAACATACAAATTGATCATAAAAGTATTTCATTCACATATTATTGAGATATAAACATGCAGATTGCTAAAGTACTATACATTAAACTGAGCTTACACATGCTTCCTTCACAAACAAGAATCCAAGATGCAATTTCACTAACCAGGTATCTTTTAAATTGAATTTTGTCTTCACCAAGCTGCACAGATCTATATTACACCATTAGAAACCAAATCAAGTATCCACATCCTTGTATAAAGTTGAATCTAATTACACTTAAAGCCTATCAATCCTTATCAGTTGGGGAACATGTATCCCATTCTTAGTATTGTAATGAGAGAGCTAAGCATTCACACAGATTAATGTATAATTCAACATAAATTATACAATACACAAAGTCTCTAAATTTACAACATAATCATTTGAAATTAAAAGAATATCAATTGAGTACATGGTAAACCATGAATTTGAATGAGCTACTTTTGTACAAACTAATGAACTGCTTCACTATCAGTTAGCCCTGAGTGATGATTTAGATTATATGTTAGCAATAAAAATCTTACCGTTATAATTGAGGAGGCTGAGGGATCCTGGAACTGTGTGATAAGAGTATCTACTGGAAGTTGTACATTTGGACGACTCTTTAATCGCTTATTGATGTGGACCAAGAGTTCCATCACCTTAAGAAAATCACAGAAATAAGATTATGGTTTCTGAACTAGAAGTGCTACAGTTTATCTTTACTTCAGATAACAAACAGTCAAGGTCAAAACACATTAATGCTTAAAAAATACAAAATAGTTTTATCAAGCACTTTTCATCACTGGATTATCAAGTAGCTTGTACCAGTAAAAATTGAGAAAATATTGGGATCTTTTTCTTAGTAATACTGAAGGTATTCCAAATTCTTTCTTCATTGGGTTTAATCAGCTAAATCAGTATTATCTTTTATGTCTCCTTTTCAAATTATTTTTTATCAATCTAAATACCGAACATGCAATACTACCACTGATAATATTGGTTTATATTGTTCTGAGATTTTTAATGTAATATCATCATCACTAACTAACCTTACTCTGATAAAGAAAGGGTTTAAAAACTATTCTCTGAATAAAAGTAATCAAAATAATGTCAAAAAAAATAATGCAATTACAGGAGTTTGTTTTCGCTTCTATTTCTGACATTATATTGTAGTTGTGAATTTGTCACTTTTTTATCTTTAATATTTTTATATCAGACATATGAAAATTAAGTATGTTTCAGTAACACAAACATAATTCATTTTACATCTTTTGTAACACATATTCAGCATTAACATCTACTTATAGACTGAATGGAAAGGTGTAGAAGGGAGTTAAAATTCATGTATGATCAAGGACATGTGCCACTCACTATGTCATCAGATAATATTGTTGAAAGTTTCATTTTGTTGGATGTTTTTTAAGATGATAAATCTATTCTTAGTAGGTCAGACTGAAACACAATGAAGGTAAGTATAAGTCCTTAAATATCCACTAACCTTCTTTCTAACAGATTCATCTGAGCTGTTAAGTTTTAGTATCACTGGAGACAGGAATTTTCCCAGTGCTGTCTGGAACTGTTCATCTGTTTCCGCAGATCCGATACGGAGGAACACTCTCTCAATCAGGGCTAAACAGTAATACATATAAATTATCAGATATCGTCATCTATACCGTTGATGGTTATTAATAATTTTATACTGCATTGCTGCTCTTCATAATTGATATCACCACAGGTTTGATCTGCACACATGACTACTGGATGTTATTTACCTTCACATGTAGTACTCAATCTGGACACAAATAATATAAATTTAATATAAATGGGACAGAGTGTGAATGGAAATGAAGGGAAGTGTTTTGTATTGTGTTACTTACCAGTAGTTTATAATCAAAGACTGCAATTATTTTATTTGAGCTTTTGTCACACACTATATTGTTCCTGAACAGACTGAGTTTGAGTACAGAAATGGCCATTTTGCAATTTACAAAGAAAAAAATAAGTTCCATAGCGCATCAAAACATTCCTAAAAAGAACCTTGTTTTATGCATTTTGCTTTATGCAAAATGATTTATGGTATATGCTAAATGCCTTATTTTTAATTCTCATTGAAAGATTTTAAGATGACCTATAATCATTATGAAAATATCTTGTAATGCCATTTTAGGGTAATAAATGATTCACAAGCTTATGTTATTATATCATCTACAGATTAATGTTAAGTGCTGTTCCCATTTGTAAATTTTATTTGTAACGGTCTATTCAATTGCATACTTACTTTTCATACTTAGTGTGAATTGTTTTGCTACTTTTTTTTTGGTGAAATGCTGAATGTAAAATGCTTGAAGTGAAATGTTTCTTATGAAATATGTCTTATTGATTTGAGATGCTGAATTAATGTTCTTGAGCTTTATACATGTAGGCATACAAACGACCATGGACACTTTTCATATTTTTTCGAGTTTGATCATAAACTAAGATATTTGATGGTCTAGACTGAGTTTCAGAAGCAATAAACTGACCAATCACAGACTGATGCTCTCCCTTAAATATGACAATGGTATGATACCTAACTTCAAAGCCAGTAAAACATATGATACTGTTATGTTACCTTTGTTGAGATTTGTTTGATGTATATCAATGGATCAAACTGGTCATCTCATTTTATCAACAAGGTATTGTGCATAGAACCTTCAATTTTCCCATGAAATGTTCCAGGGGTGCAGACAGGGTGAGTATAACCCCTGGAGTATTGAGGATGCAGTTCACACTTCACATTATGCTTTTTTTCACTTGAATTATTTCGTATTCAGCATTTAGCAAGTCAAACCAGCTTTCCATAGGAAGCATTTTTCATTCTGGCAATAACAGTCAGTGACTTATGGGATATTTGTGTCCTTGGCTCACCCTGATTTTTTAATAATTATATCATGAAATAATGGGACTCATGAATATTCTGGATTCTGGACATAACTTTTTTAAATCTACAAAAATTACTGTCTATAATAAAATAAGCTTTCTTCACCAAGAACTCAAATGCAATGAAATGTATTATTCACATCACGTTTTGTAGTTCTTTTTTACATCAAAAGTCATGACCAACAGCTGAATCCATCAGCACCTCCAAATTCAAAATTGAGAGTTAAGAACTGGATTGCTGTTAACTATCACAAAGACTAACAGATCCTGGAACATGCAAGTGACATCTTCCCCATTTGAACTTTACACAAGATATCGACTATTAATCATATCTTTCAAAAATTTGAAGATTAATATATATTTTTGTTCTTAGGCTAGTGTGCGAGTACCTTCACCCTGTTTCCTTATGCCTAGTTTTGGCGGCAGACTTGGTGAAACTTCTGTTTCAAATTCAGTCATGATTTGTAATCCGAACTGACTTGTCGAACACACATTGTCAGTGACAGTGTGTGTTATTGTATTAATTATAACATAACCGTAGCTTTTCCACAAGAAGCAGACAAAATTCTCACAATTAACGCAAACAAACATACCACTCTCGTCTTGGCCTGACATGCTGATGGGCATGTACTGTCAATTTTTTTCTTCTTTTTTTTTCTTAAGTCGGTTGCAAGACCTAAACTCTCATCGTCACCGCTAACCGGAAGTACATGTGTTTGTTTACGATAGCCCTAAATTACGACAACTCGTTGAGAACATTTTGTATGACATAAACTTTCAAAACAAAATATTAAAACTAAAACACTTAAATATATGTTATTAGAGGAATCTAGAAATATGTTATCATTTTATACGGTATCACGACACTGATGCAGATTACAAACTTCCGGTAAATATAATCAGCTGACTTCAAGGGATCCCAAATACGAAGTGGGAGGAAATATTGTCATGACGGATTGTGCATTCTATAATTTGATCTACCGGAGTTTTGATTCATTTGAAAAAACTTAATTTCTAATATGCTTTCTGTAGGACTAATAAGTAATTGATACATTTGGAAAGTGATATAAATAATTTCATTTTCATTGGAGACTTGATATGTCGGAAAACCAGGTTAAAAGAAAAGCGGAAGAAATTGAAGTTGGAAAGTCTTCAGACAACTCAGACACTGACGAAGAACAACAACGAAGACCACTACTGCCGAATCGTACAGGTTAGGAACATTTCAAATGACATTGCCGATCATATATATATATATATATAATTATCTCCCCTTGAATTCACACCACAATTAAATTTTATTGCGAACTGTTCGTATACATTGTTGTTTGGAATCTTATTAGGCGATTCAGTTGTAGGTTATGCACATGAAATTTTTCTTATCTCACATTGATGTCTTCTGATAAGTGTATGCATCAATAACTAACAGATTGATCTTGCTCAATTGCGCTGGCACATCCTAAATGGCATTGTCATTTTGATTTTACAAACAACATTCAATATAAAACTTAATAAATAAAGTTGTGTCTGATGCTACCATGTCTGAGTCATTAAGGTGTCAGCCCATCATTATCACTAGCACTTCACCACCTGGTTGCAGATTTGAGGCCAGCATGAATGATGAAGCAGTTGTCAGGTGGTAGCCATAGGTCATTGGTTTTTCTCTGTGAACTCTGGCTTTCCTCCACCAAACAACCTTGTCATGGTTCTTGAATTACCACAGCTGTTAATAGGATGTAAAGCAACAAAAAACTAAACTTAAATTGCATATTAATCTTAATTAATTTCTTTGTTCAATTTTATGAGATAATTAATTTACATCTGTACATAATAACTATTACCAATTACTTTGATATTGGCAAAGTTTAGAAGATATGTCACTTCTTCTGAATAATTACATAGTTAATAATGTGATAATCTTTAGCTGATGTCTACAGTGGATAAATATCAAGTGGAGAGGTCAGGGATGATTTCGGTTATGTGTATGAAACCACAAGAACATGAATCATAATTCAATGTACTAAACTCTATCTAAGTAGCTAGTATAATTTTAAAGTGTCATAAATAAAAGAGAAATTGATAAATATAGACCTTGCCCATAGGCTCTCCAAATATTTCAACCAGATTACCCAGTATATATATGACTTACACAAAATTTACTAATTCTGTGTGTTTGAATCTGTACTACATTTAACAGGTCGGTTGTTTGTACTGATAACTTATATAAGACACTGTAAGGATGATGCTTTTTACATGGCACATTCTTACAGAAAAGAGGTGTTGTGGAACAAACTGTTCATTTTTTTTTCAGATCAGTAGTCATTTTTTTTTCTATTACAATTGATTTCATACCATTTCTTATCATTTAAGAGCTAAAAATTATGGCAGAGAACAATGAACAGCCAGATAACAATGAAAATGATGAGGAAACGTCAGAAAGACAAAACCACCCTCACCTGCTGCGACGAGTCTCCTCATACTATACACCTTACCTGGAGGACAGGCTTCGCAGAAAACTCAAGTTTTATTTCATGGGTCCACATGAAAAGTTTATAGCAAAGAAGAAGTGTCCATGGAAACTATTATTACAGATCCTAAAGATCATCATTGTCACAATACAGGTTTATACTTTGATGAAGTTGTACTTTGAGAGATTTGTGTGTTTTGCACGATGAAAAAACAACCAGTGAATGCGGTCACGTCCCATATAATTAACACCTTTTGTAAAGCAGTGGTCAAGTCCCCTTACTTGCAGTGCCTATTTTTGTCCAAGAGACATAATGTACAATGTACACAAATGATCATGAAAATATTCTTTTGGTAACACCTTTTTTATCAAGCAAAAGCAAAATTGAACGACGAGAATGGTCACTGATTCAGCATACATTGTATATTTAAAATGATAATGTTGGAAGGAAAATGAATATGTACAGTGTACAGTGATACTCCAATTTACCTCTTCCTTTGCAGTGATAGTAATTGTTTCCTTAACCATTGATAAATTACAGTTGGTCATATTTGGATTTGAGCGATCAGAGTTTGTGGGTTATGTAGAGAAGAACAATTTAGCCCTTAAACACCTCTATCTGAAGAATTGGGACTCAAGCTATGAGACTATGCCGTATCCCCCTGCCACTGGAAAATATGCTCTATATGACATTCCAACCCTCGTTGACTATATCAACCACACAGTGATGAAGGTATATGTCTGTTAATGTAAAAAAGTGTTTGTGTAAGCTGTTTATATTATGTGACCATCATGTGATCAAATACATAACACTACATTTTGTGTTTGTGCTTTTTTTTGTCATTACCAATTACTGCTTCAGGTAGCTGTTTGTAACTTTATTCACCTGTCTAGGACAAGGAAGTAGGACATTTCTCTATAAAAATATCAAGATCTTTGACATAGCTGACAGATAAGGTACTATTCAATCAAACTTCCTTTACTACAGAAAAATATATACACCTAGTAATTTGATATGATCTTCGACAGAACATATAAAATCTGTCAGGACTTCCTGTAAAACTGGTTAATCATGTCTATTCAATTTAAGTAAAACTTGTTTTTGTAATTGCAGATATATATCAAGTATATCACATTATGAACAATGACAGTTGGTTTCACTTAAAGATGCACTTAAAGAGTTTACTTAATGATTATAAAAAGGAAATCCTTATCTGTTGATCAACTTACATAATATAAATATAAACTTTATTTATCGTAAAACAATATCAGAACAAATTATTTCAACTTATACTAATCACTCTTGTTGGCCCATATGAAAGTGCACAAGGGGTCTTATTGTGGAAGGAAACCAGAGTCTCCAGGATGGGACAGGTGACCCCTCACATTTTCACACCCGTTCCGGGAAAAGAACCTAGAGCAGTTAGGTAAAAGGAGACTGCATTACCCCTACACCACCCAACCACCCTTCTGTTGATCAACAGTTTGGATGTGTAAATTTTTGTGTCATATCTGATAAGGCAAGCACACAAACACTGTCACATGGAAATAAAAATGGCAACCCACCTGAATCGGTCATAACGATGATGGCAATTAATGTCACTGAATTCACAATTCTGAATTTGCATATTTATCAAATACATTTGCCACACCCATGATAAAATCCATTTTACTTGCTGTGTCACTACTGTCACTGTAATTTCTGCTTACCATCATGTGTTCATGTTTACATAATGAACTGACTCATTTTTAAAACTATCGCCTGACATTAAGGCTAAATATTAGTGGTGTTTTCTACATCAAAGAAGTAGTCAAGCAGGACATTCAAAATCAACTGTGAACATCAGTATAGAGTAGAAATTTTACTGGAAGTATAAAAAATCTGTACAATCAATAGCAAAATTAATGTATTTACTGTGATGTTCACTTAAGTCATTAGTGGCAATCATAGGGTTAGAGTTCAGAGGTCATGGTCAATATTTTACACCCTTGCTTTAGAAAAAGTTTTTAGTACATTTGTATAATCATTTGCCTTACGTGAGTGTACTTTAGTCTGTCCCATGGCATATTTCCAACATTTTTTTCATTATTATACACAGTTATGATAAAAAGAATCACAGAAAAACATTTTGGTGAAGGGCAGGCTTTTTTAGTTTTCCTGATTTGTATTTTAACTGATATATTGTGTGTTTCAGTTCAACAAAACAGAAGAACAAGCCCTTGGATCAGTGAGATTTGTTCATGACAAACATGGTCATGTCCTTCCAATGACTTTCTGCAGTATCCATTATCTTAAGGGGGAAATCTTTGAGAACAACGATACTTATGCCTTGGATTCACAAACAGTTACAAGTAAGGGATCTAGAGCACCTGGATTATATACTGAATTCTGTCATTTCTACTCGTGTAATACTGGTCTGCCAAGGGCAATACACCCAGTTTCACTGCCACACCCACCCATGCAGACACTTTTGATATGTCCCTTATCAGTTGTCATCGTCACATGATACAATGTATACACAGTTGTGTACAAACAGTTATTTGCTATGACTGTTTTTTTTTTAATAATTTTCTAAGGTAAACTTTATTTGCCAAAACTATGCATGGCGAATTCATGTTCTATGTCAATTAATTGCATCATAAGAAAATATTTTTGTGTAATATGGCATCTGCTTTAGTACATTGGCAACGTCTGAAGCTATTTTTTCCCCCGAAATTTTAGAATGAGAAATGAGAGATAAATACTCTTTCATATGGCAGGGTGAATGATATGATATTTCACCTTTGAGGTTATAAAATGTGGTCAAACCCTTGGCAAAACTTGGGCCTTTACGACATCTTGTGACCTTTTTAGTGGAATATTCCTATCCTACACCCTGACGTATGAAAGAGTCTTATGGTATTTAGCAATTTCATTATTTTTTAATTAGAATAGTACTGTAAGATATGTTCATAACACCATCAGTTTCACTTTATTCATTTGAGAGCAAGTCCTCATATTTCTCTATATGATATTTGACATAATTACCAGAATTGTGCGAGTCTGTTTGTAACTTTCCAAATTTCTGTGATAAATGATGAAAAACAAGAAATCAGCATAACACATAACTTTTTTTAAGTGAGCTAGATAAGTTTTAAACAGAAATGGGATACTTTGACCAGAACCAGGACAAACTAAGTTCTTTTATATTGAACAATATGTACTTGCTCTGTTAAAAACAGTAATAGGACTAGAACTACAAGGAAGGCTTTGTTGATTACTCAGTGAATAATTCAACAAATATTAAGTGAATTTCTCATGGAATATTCATTTGACTGTTAGATGAATACATATTCAATAGATATGTTGATATTACGTGTATTATAGTTGTACCTAATTCATTGTTCTAGATGTAATTTTGTCACACACATGTCATCTCATTTTCTCGAGAACACTATTCACACTGGTACCCTGAGAGAAAATTTTATCTATATTTCCTATTTGTTTTCAGACTGTACAGACCTGGTCTTAACCAATAGCAGCCATGATTTTGATATAATGGAATATCTGAAGAATAAAAATATTACTCTAAAATTCGACAGGTAAGACAACCTGTATTCCCCTACATACTACATTTAGACATTAAAGATTTGGGTATTTAGAAGTTAAAGATTTGTATATTTGAAAATTTATGGTTTGTGTATATAACATAATGAGATGTCATTTACTAATACATGTACCACTTTACTGTAAACTCAAGGCATTTACACCAACTATCAATGCAATGTAGATGCCAGTGTCATTATTATCATCATAACACAGTAGAAAAAAAATTAACAATGAACACTATTTATGCTAAAATTTTCTTTTTTAAGCCATTTAATTCATTTTATACATACATTTAGATTTAGGTATACTTATTTTCTCTGAACTGATCTTTTCATTTAGAATTTTATGATCCTTTATAATGTTCAGGAAAAATATTTTATTTCAAAATACTTGATGCTTATGTTTCAGTTTGACACTGTGAAAATGTGGCATTGAACTCACTTCAAATGCTTTTTTAGATAATCTAAAACATTTTGTAATTTATTTGTTTGACAGAATTTTGAAAATTGAGCTAAGGTTTCACCTGAAGTCTTACCATTTAGATATTGACAATGGCCTGACAGCTCCAGAATGCTTTAGAGTTACAGGAAAGGTAAAGTGTTAGAGCTTAAGTCACAGGAAAACTCAGGTGTCAGAGTTACATGTAAAACATTGTTGACAAATAAAGAAAGAGTTTCCTTAGCAAGTTTGACTTTTTGGAAGGAAAGATAAAGAGAGATTATGTGTGAACCATAGGTTTCAGTTTTCTTTAAAGGATAGTTTATGATCCTGACATTTGCCTGTGTTATGTTACAGGTGGTGTTTGATGACAGTACTAGAAACGGTCAGATGTTGATAGATCTGGTGACCACTCTTCATGAATTTGACTGCAATGGAGAATATTCCTTCAAAGGTACATATGTTGTAGGAGTCTGACTCAATGAACATGAGGAAGATGCGGAATCCCAAAAAGGACAAAAAAAATCACTAGATCAGAGTAAAAACATTCTCAGTCCCAGATCATATCATTGACTAGGAAAATTCCAAAATAGTCAACAAGGAACACAACCTTTTCAGGCAGTTTATTAATGAAGCCATCTTGATACAGTAGGCTAATACTAAACAGGGACGAGGGGGACCACAGTCTCTCATACATCTATGATCAAGTGTTCAACAGAGTGTAGCTGAAATGATTACAGTACATTGTTACCATATTGTGTATTTTTTGGTCTATAATCTGTTTACCATCTCGTCACACCATTTTAGACCCTAGTGTATATAGGATTCTGAACCATCTTGTACACTACATACATCAGTGCTTGTATGCTCCATACTGATTATTTGTCTGATGCAGATGATGATGTAATCATCAAAACATCACACTCTAATCTTCTACTGGTTATGTTATAAGAACTTCTTTTCTACTGATACAAATCTATTCATATGCACTCTGATATAGACTTAAGTAGTCAAATTCCTCAATATTTGTAATTTGATTTAGCTATATAAACACCTACTTCTAGTTATTATTTATATGTAAACTCTATTTTCATTAGATTTTAAGTTTTTCAATTAAAATTGGTTATGTATTCAATTGCATTAAAGTTTCCTTTCTGTATGTCTAGTTATTTTTGACAATTTACATGTAGGCTGGAATATACAACTGTCTGTTTTAGTTAAAGAATGGAGAAACAGTTCAGTCCTTAAATAAAAATGGAAGATTTTGAAAAAAAAAAACCTTCAATAATGTTTAATTTGAGTTTATTCTGCAGGATGCATTGGCACTGATCCATAATTCTACCTCCTCCAAAGAATCTCTGCTGTATATATCCCAGACATTCACTGTCTTATGCATGTCTTTCTATCTTCAAAACCTATGTCAACCTGAGACTCTCTTTATCTCCCATACCTAAATGCCCCAAAAAAACCTTTATACCTCCAGGACCTTCACCCTACAGAGAATAGCTTTATCTCCCATATAAGTGGTTCTCATTCCAGTGTAATTATGTATACAGAGCAAACTTTTACATTTATAATGCCTTTGTTTGTTTGGCAGAAGCTGAATCAAACGAAAGGATCAAAAACACACTTTTTGATGTGTTTGTAATACTGATTAGTGTATTGTCCAGTGTGTTGTGTACACGGTCAGTGGTAAGAGGTCTACTGTTACAAAAGGTAAGATGTAGTAATATGATGTTTTAATTTTGCTGCTGAAGTGAGAATTTGAAAAAGTTACATAATTGTTTTTAACATTTGGGGAAAGAATACCTTGATATAATTTGTATGCAACATGTTTGTAGTATGCTATAAAACAGAGATATTATACGAAGGTTTTTGTTCCATTCACATTACTCTGCAGAAAATGTTTCACACTAAAATTCTTAATTGAATAAATAGCAGAAGGAGGAATAAAACTAATGAAAATAGATATAACCTACATGGTGTATGTTAGTAAGTATTCCAGTTGATCAATATCATATTGGAATTAGTGATTCTGTAAAGTAGATTTATCAGTAATATGCTGGAATGTTGGTGTATAAATTTGGGATCTGAAATTTTTACAGGAAACGGTTAAATTTTTCAAGAAGCGTTACAGAAAAGATTTGCCTACTTCTGACAAGCTGGAGTTTGTTAATTTCTGGTATATAATGATCATTCTCAATGATATTTTAACTGTGGTGGGATCATCACTGAAGATAACTATTGAGAACAGGGTAAGTAACTTTGAGCTGACCCTATTTATGGTAACACACCAGTATGGATCATATATATTCACTTTGAGCTTGTCTTTAATTCTTTTGACCTTCTGTATGATGCATGCATTTAAAAGTCTCAGAAAAGTGTATTTATGAAGTATAGTTTCACAAACTAATAATCTAATACAACATGATAGTTTAAGCTGCTTTTTACTGGTAAGAAAACTGAATTTAGAAAATCATAAACTATTCAGAAGTTTAATTAAAGTCTGAGATGGGGGCCAGTAATTAAGAATCTCAGAAGTTTAATTAAAGTCTGAGATGGGGGCCAGTAATTAAGAATCTCCCTTTAACATTGGTCTGTCAATGTTCTGAGCTGTCCTCTGAGGTCCATGGACATGTTTCACAAAACTACGTGAACAGTGTCTGTTGGTGTTCATTGATGTCCTCAGACTTTGTCTATTTGTGCTTTCCATGGATGTCTGCTGACATATTCCACAAACATATTGTGGGATGTTTCATTGTCTACTATATCACTATGTCTATTATGACAATGGCTATTTTCTCTGTGATGTCACTTTGGCTATTACATCAGCATCTTTGTGATGTCACATTGACTTATTATGTCAGCATCTCTATGATGTCACCATCTCTATGATGTCACCATCACTATTATGTCAGCATATCTATTATGTTGCAATGACAGTTCCATTAGCATTTCTGTGAATTCACCTTGGCTATTATGTCACATTTTTGTAATGTCACCTTGGCTATTTAGCAGAATCTTTGTGATGTCACATTTACTTATCATGTCTCTGGCTTTTACATCAGCATATTCGAGATGTCACCATGGCTATTACTGCAGAATTTTTGTGATGTCACCTTGGCTTTTACATCAGCATCTTTCTGATGTCACAATTACTTATTAGGTCAACATATCAGTGATGTCACCATGGCTAATATGTCAGCTTCTCTGTGATGTCACTGTGACTGTTATGTCAGCATATTTGATGTCACAATAACTCTGATGTCTGAATATCTGTTAAATCTAACTATACTCAACAAAAAAAGAAACGCACTTAGCTCTAAAGAGATAATGGAATATTTGGTCAGGTATTACATCAAGAATGATATCCCTTCTCAACAATCTACCCCTAGAATCAGCTAAGCATGACAATTTAATGTCTTTAGTCCAAATCAGGTGGCCTGACTAAACCAAGCCTGATTTTCTCAAACAAGTAATTTCAATTAATACTTGAAGTTCAGCCTCATTAATGTTTCAAGTTGGCATTTTGATTTTGCCACTGACTGAGATACCATGCTTAATGTAGATTTAGAGGGGTAGAGCAATTGCGATGTTGATGGATGGTTATAGCTAAACTGCTGACACAAGAAAGTTTGGCAAGCTCTGTGTACAATTAACCATCTCTATACACATTTCCATGCTAATGGGTTAGTTTCTGATCTTCCCAGGAGTGGTCGTCTGTGTGTAACAACCTCACAACAGGGCAAATCAATTGTTGCACTTGCACAATAGATTCAATACAGTTGTAAAGACTGTGTCACATACCTTAGGAACTAATGGCAGACCCTTAAGTGCTCAAACTGCCAGGAGCCGCTTGCGTGCCAAGAGAATCATTGTGCGCAGACCTTATGTCAGGCTACCTTTGACACCACGGAGATGGCAAGTGCATCTTGACATGGCCCAAATAGTTTTTGGATGAATGGTAGAGGAGTGTGATGTTTACCGACGAGTCTAGATTCTGTCTGTATTGCTCAGTTTGAAGAAAAAGGGTATATCGCAGATGTGATGAGCATTTCACCAACACATGCATTGGTGAACATGATAAATTTGGTGTGGCTTCTGTAATTGTTTTGGGGGCATCTCCCATGGAGTAAAATTACCCTTAGCGGTCCTAGACCCAAACCTCAATACCGTTCGATACAGAGACCAAATCCTCCAACCACATGTCCTTCCACTTTCTAGGCGCCACAACCTAATTTTCCAGGGAAACAATGCTCGACTTCATATTGCCAGAGTCTGTAGTAATTTGCTCATGGCAAACATTGTTCAGCCTCTTGAATTGTATTGTAAAAAGAAGACTTGTCCCATCACATTGATATAAAATTTTATACAAATTTCCCAAAATATCATATTGATACCATAATTTTATTGTGCGTTTCTTTTTTTGTTGAGTATTTGATGTCACAAAGCATGTGATTTCATTTCAGAATATTATCACATAAAAATCAAACAAATAAAAGAAAAAACATTTCCTTTAGTACTGATGTCTATCTCCATTTTAGACAAACAGGACTGCCACCTGTCAGGTTTGAATTATCCATGATTTCCAGCCCTAATATCACTGTTGGGATAGCATGTGTTCACATTAATATGCAGTTCTGCTGTATGATATCTGATACAAGGGCGCATTATATATAATTGTTCTGGAATAATGAATAAGTAGCTTTATTAAATTGATGGTATTCAATTCTGCTACTCTGATGTCAAGTGGGCTTATCAACTTTAAGTTGGGGCTACCAATGATTTTTTATAAAATCTTAGTTGTTAGACTTTTTCCCATTTCTGCATATGGATTAGTGCATGTACATTGTATACTCAATATATACAGTATGCCATACCTCTACTAATATTTACTCCTTGTAAATATATTCCCAATACTTCTAGTGAATTAGTTATATACCATAGTAAAGAGACATTGTCATCTTATACAATGGACTATCCACTACTTATACACAATGTCCTTTCTCATTATGTTTCACTATAAAATAATTACCGGTACTTCATGACTTTAGACACCAATATTATCTTTGTCAGCTGCATAACTTATGTGTCACCTACATTCACTAAATTGTTGTTCTGTAGAAACATTGAGTCTCATCCTCTAAAAATTACTAATTAAAGAAGTCAGCTATGACAAAACCTCAATTCAGTTTGTTTCAGGGTACCAATGCCTAGATCACTGTCACTGTTTATAGATAAATCAAATTTAAAACTCATTCAGTTGTAAAGATCTAGTGACATTGTTCCTGATATATTTGTATTACGAGAACAAGAGTTAGTGTTTGATGGTTCTAATATAATAAGTAATATGATATAATAACTTGTATATGAGTCGGGGCTTTCTCACCATTATGTCCATAGAAACAGGTAGTTAATGCCTCTCCTCACCATTGTCCTGATAGAGCAATAGGTGATTAAAAAAATGAATGCCACTTCTCACCATTAAGTCCATAACAGCATGTGGTTCTTGCCACTTCTCACTATGAATTCCATAGCAACTGATTGTGAATGCCTCTTCGCTCCATTGTATCGTTAGTGGTGGTTGATGTCACTTGTGACAATCATGTTCATAGCAATTGATGGTAAATACCACTTCTAGTCATTGTGTCCATAGCAACAGGTCGTTGATTCCATTTCTCACTGTCTTCTACATATTGATTGATACTGTTTACTTTCCTTATGTAAGTGACAACTTTAAATGTGCTACCACTTGATCCCTTATTAACCAATAATGATATTTCATCAATGATTTAACCTCTTTTTTTTCCTTTTTTTTCAAATTTTCAGACATCTAAGGTTCAGATATTTGAAATAGAAGTATACTTGATACCATGGATACTGAACCATGATTTTCTTGATCTGTATTGGTTAAGCAACAACACTCCTTTATCCTTAATTTTGATTTTCGTTTTCATGAAGGACTTTAAACTTTCTTATATGGTAACTTTCTTAATTGATTTCACCTTCTTATACACATGCTGTGGCACTTTTTCCCAATTAACTGCTTTGTCTGTAGAAGTACTTGCAGAAAAATATTTTTTCAATTCAATAGATACATTTTACTTGTTAATATCAGCATGTGCGTATGATTCAAATTGTTTGACTTTGTATTCAATTTCATAAACATTTCTCAATAATCCTGACATCAACAAATGTATAATAAAGTGGTATATTAAAATCAAACATGTCCTGTTGTAATACATGGTATAAATTACTAACATATTGCTTATACATTTATGATTTAATTGATATAAATGTGCAAATGAATCTTTTAATCTACTAGCAAGGCAAAAGTTAAACTGTGTTCTTTCTCTCTGTTTTTAACTAATTTGTTGATCCCGGAATTTGTAACACTGCATTTGCACGCTGAAGTCTTGTGATTATATAAACATGCATTTATATTAACATGCACATAATATATTAGCCGCACTCCTGTATAACATGCATGCTAATTACTGATCTCTAATTTGCAATGCCTGTCTCAATATTTCAGTTACTAAGTTGTAACTAGTTAACCATCAGATTGACAATATGGAGACAATGCCTCATTTTTATATATCAGTTTTATAAAGCTAGCTTAGGCCTTAAAATCTGTGTAAAATTTAGATTAATTTTACATTAAGAATGAGAAAAAAGGTTTACTAATTCAGTACAACTGGCATGACATTTGCAAATATCTAAAACAATGATTGTTTTTTATTTATTTTTGGTAAAATAAACCTTTTGAAAGTTCTTCTATATGTGATTTTTTTCTCAGAAACCTGTTGACTTGGTGTGTTCATTCAACAACAAAAAATCTTGCAATAAACGTTCTCATTCATTTTAATAAGCGTGAAGAAAATATACATTTAATTATTTCCCTTTATGATATTGTTCAGTACCTTCAAGTTGGTGCATTGATACCGAGTTAATTAAATGTAGATATATGATACAGGATATGTTGTTTATTTCAGTAGATATGGCAATTTAAATAACAAATCAATTACCTCCAGTTTTTGAAAGACATTTTGACTAGAGGTCGGCAGTTTTGACCCTTTGACTTTGCTGAGTTTTGACTTAAAGATACCATAAAAACTTTCGTAAAAATCTACAGTTGTTTAAATTTTTTCAATAATCTGTAGGGGATAATTCATGTTATGTCTAAACATGTCTACCAAAACATAGGAAGAAATTAACCTTTTCATCAAATGTGTATGTTTCAGCATGCTTCAAGCTCGTCAGAGAACTATGACCTCTGTGGACTTATGTTAGGTACAGGAAATCTCCTGGTGTGGCTAGGAGTCTTACGATATATTGGTTTCTTCAAGACTTTCAATGTAAGTCAACATTTTATGTGATAGTGGTATAGATCATATGAGGAGAAAATATTATTCAGACACATACACAACATATGTTTAGGCCTATTATCTTTTCTTCCTTCATGGCCAAAAATTCTAATTAAACATATGGTCTTATTCTCCTTGTACTTTTTCAGGAGCCTCTGTGTAAATTTTTCTTTTGTTCGTATTTTGCCCTAGTTTTATTGAATTTAGATTATGATTATGTTGACATGTTGGTATTTTCTTGTTCTTTTTTCCAACATGTCACAAAATTATATACATGTGAAAACATGCTTTGCATGCCATTTTTAGCATGATTTTAACATAAATATGCTAAACACAAGTGATTTTCAGTTATTTAGATAATATCACAGACAAGGGGATATTCTATATACCTTTGATGGCTAACAGTTATGATGTGTGGCTACTTCTATGACATCAAATTGCTGTACTAAATGACTGCTTTATTCCTAATTACAGATTCTGGTGATTGTACTAAAGAAGGCATTCCCAGATATCATTAGATTCCTTGTATGTGCTCTCATTATCTACGCCGGCTTCATGTTCGCGGGATGGGTAGTACTTGGACCCTACCACATAAAGGTAATGTTAGACTGAAAATTTCTGTCTCTAAGATACTGATTTAATGTCAGTATTTACATTTATTATTTATTGAGCTCATCTAAAAGTGTAGTCAATAAAAATGTAAATATCAGTAAAAGCATGATAAATGTGAATACTGTCTTTAAAGTATTATTAAAGAAAGTTGGGGTCAAAGGTAAGGTTAGAGGGGAGCAAAATGTCGGAAACATTCACTAAGTGTGAATATTGAAGGTCCTTTTTGTTAGGTCACATTTATTCACAGCTAAATTCGATTGATAATGAAAAGAAATTTAATTCTTGAGTATTTTATTATGGAAAGGGGTACCATTCACTCATTGGATAACGAGCTTATTTAACAAGTGATGTCTTGATAGGCTGACTCTGTCAGTAAGAAAGTATGAAAACTGGACTAGTATCAGCTGTATAGTGGTGGTGTCTGGATTTTTCATGATTGAAAATTAGTGATGTCCAAGTTACATGTTGAGTCTATAGTGTGATAATTACACAATTACTTGTTTAGAAATAATCTTTTAAAGCATAATGATATTTATCCATTTTCTCTCTTTTCAGTTCCGACATATAAGCACAGCATCGGAGTGTTTGTTTTCTCTCCTCAATGGCGACGACATGTTTGTGACATTCTCAGCCACAGTAACAGACAACAATCTTGTCTGGTACTATAGTAGGATTTACCTGTATCTGTTTATATTGCTCTTCATCTGCGCCGTACTCAACCTCTTCACAGGTGTTATACTTGACACCTATGAAATCATCAAGGTAAATACCGAGGATTGATACTCAACACTTACTAAACTGTCATAGTAATTTTACTGTTATAATACTCAACACCTACAAAAACATCAAGGATTGATACTCAACACTTACTAAACTGTCATAGTAATTTTACTGTTATAATACTCAACACCTACAAAAACATCAAGGTAAGTACACAGGTATGATAATGGACACCTACATTATCATCAAAGTACCTAACAACACAGGTGTTATACTGGACATAACGTGATTAACAGAAAAAGGGTGTGCAAAATTTGTAAAGTTTTAATTGATATCAGTAGTTGTAGAAATATATCGAAATTTTTTTTTATTATTATTTTTTTCAATGTTTTTCATTGTAGGAGTATGCTAAGGAAGACTCGTTCCCCAAAAGTGCCTTGGATTTGTTCATAGAGGAGTGCAGTGACCCACCGTCATCACATGCCTACAGACGAGAGGATCACAGCTGTAATCCACTAGCCTGTCTATGTTGTTGTGTTAAGTACGTAAGCCTCCATTGTTATGAGATTTTGTTTAATTTCAAAGCATAAATTACTGTGAGATGTTTGAAATTCAAAATTTTTACAAGTTAATGATTATATTTTTTAATGATATAATTTGAAAAACATAAATACTTGACTAATTTCTTTATCATGGTGGCAATTACAAAGAAATATATAAAGAAAAACACTAATTTTAAGATCAATTATTCAATCACTTGTTCTGTAGGATTTTATCAAACTCATTGGGAAAATTTCTTTTCTATTTTAGGCGTGATCCAGACAGACCCAATGAATACACAAGTTTGTTGAACTAAATGTTATATTGTACATGTCGTACAGACTGAACAATCACAGGTGTTGTACAGACAGAACAAATATACAGGTGTCCTGTAGTATTTCATCACAGGTGTTGTACAGACAGAACAAATACACAGGTGTCCTGAAGTATTTCATCACAGGTGTTGTACAGACAGAACAAATACACAGGTATCCTGAAGTATTTCATGGCAGGTGTTGTACAGACAGAATAAATACACAGGTGTCCTGAAGTATTTCATTGCAGGTGTCGTACAGACGAAATAAATACACAAGTGTCCTGAAGTATTTCATCACAGGTGTTGTACAGACAGAACAAATACACAGGTGTCCTGAAGTATTTCATCACAGGTGTTGTACAGACAAAACAAATACACAGGTATCCTGAAGTATTTCATGGCAGGTGTTGTACAGACAGAATAAATACACAGGTGTCCTGAAGTATTTCATTGCAGGTGTCATACAGACGAAATAAATACACAAGTGTCCTGAAGTATTTCATCACAGGTGTTGTACAGACAGAACAAATACACAGGTGTCCTGAAGTATTTCATCGCAGGTGTCGTACAGACAGAACAAATACACAAGTGTCCTGAAGTGTTTCATCGCAGGTGTTGTACAGACAGAACAAATACACAAGTGTCCTGAAGTGTTTCATCGCAGGTGTTGTACAGACAGAACAAATACACAAGTGTCCTGAAGTATTTAATCGCAGGTGTTGTACAGACAGAACAAATACAAAAGTGTCCTGAAGTATTTCATCACAGGTGTCGTACAGACGGAACAAATACACAAGTGTCCTGAAGTATTTCATCGCAGGTGTCGTACAGACGGAACAAATACAAAAGTGTTCTGAAGCACTCCATTGATGGATCATCAAACTGAAATTACGATAGGAATACAGAGGATAGGAGTAGAATACATCAATCATTCCCAAGTATGAGGTTGTCCCTCATATACCTGGTTATTCTTAGAAATCTTTATCATTAGAAGATTTGTCTCCACATGTTATTGAATCATCGTGCAATTTTCGTCTATATAATACCAACTGATTTATTTATGTTTGTGTTTATGTGAAGTACACATTTAAAGTTAAAGGTTTTGCAAAAATCTCCTGTTGTCAGTATATCCAGTTAAGTATAAGCATACCTTTGTGTAAATAGTTCATGGCTAAACTTAGTTTCTACCATACCCCTGTAGTATATTATGGAATGCTAGCTAAATGTTGTTGTCCATAAAATGTTTAAAACATTTACATTTCGTATTGTCTTTATAGATAAAGTATTGTGAAGAGCCTAAACGTAAAGTGGAATCATTTTTCACAGAAGTCATGAGACAGACTTTATTTTGATTTATTGATTTTCCTGTCAAAGTATCTGTTTCCATCAATTTTATAGCATCTTCCGAAACATCAAAACATCAAACCCCTCAAAATTTACAAACCTTTATATAGTTAATAGTTAATTACAGAGATATTTAATCATTCAACATACTAAGTGAGTTTACCACTAGGGTCACTTTCTCATAAGAGGTTGAAATGTTGGACATTCTGAACCTGTTAGAGAAATGCCAGGCACAGATCGGAACTGAGGATGGACTATGTCATATTTGGAACATGCAGTTTGAGGAGTCCAGATGTATTTGTCCGAAGCTAACTGGCTGAATGTTATTAATTTTCACAATTTCTTCCTAGAGCAGGATTTGGTGCAAATATATATTTCCTGAAATGTTACACTGTGTGTGTTATCAAAGTCATAGAAGATTTTTTTATAATCAGTTCATGGTTTATGTTCGACAGGAAATTCTAAAACTGTGCATTATGAACTTTACATAATATTTCTTGTACAATATATACTGTACAGGTGTAACCCTGGTAAATACTAGCTGCAATATATATCACTCGGCTAGAGAGAATTTCTCTTTAGCTTACTCGGTTGAGTGTTAGACTAGCAAGCCAGGGGTCCCAGGTTGGATTCCTAGTGGAGGCATTGAAAAAAATAATGACACAGGTACATTTATTTATCATAGAATAATTCCAGGCAACCTGAATGTTTCAGCCACGCTACTCGAAAGTGTAGAATTAAATTGTACTGGTTACCTGTACAGTCTAATATATAGTATTAATGTATTGTTCATCTATTACCCTTGTACCTATTAAAAGTGCTAAATTACTTAATGTGATATATAATGTCAGAAGCTTTAAAGTGCCAATAAGTATTTATACAATATATATATTGCAGTCTTGTCAATGTTGTTTGAAAATGGTAGTAAAACTCTAAGGGTATTCAGAATGGAACCTCGTTTAATTTTTCAAGGTTTATTTTATTACTACACCTTAGACAAAAATGAGCATTGCAGAGAGAGATTACCAAGTATAATGAGTTATGAAATAAACAAGTATCAATTTATGATTCATACAAAGAAAAGGTTACTGTGAATATGTCATTAAGACTGTGGTCTGCCATGGTGGATGCATCGAGAAGGTAGACATTTTCAAACAATCTTGAGAATTTACTTTCTTATGCATGAAAAAATCATGGTTTTTATAAGCATTTCATAAATAGAACAAGTAGTTTGCCATTGACTGGAAGGGCGGATGGGCAGCCCACAAGCTGTGTAAAAATATTTTCGTCTGGAGTATGACTTTATTTGTATTTTACCTACTGGTAATTCCATCAACTTTGTCACACATTTACATCATAGGATGTCAAAGTGTCTCACCAAGAGATCAGGTTTTGTGCTCCTCTTTTGCAGAGTTATGGTCTTCTGGTCTATTTTTTTCTTGCCTAGACCATAATTATGATAGTTCATCATCTACAATTTCCGTATCTTTTTCATATATCATCTTATTGGATATTACTGAAGTTATTATCTATCACCTTCTTCATACAAGGGAGAATTGGATTACAAATTAATGTGTATTAGTTTACCACTTGCCAACAATCTATTCCCTCAGGTAGAAAATCTATTGCCTCTTATTGTGTTCTAAATTGGTAAAGCTTTTTAAGTCTTTTTGTGTTATCTGTATAAGGCTTTCGAAGGTTGTAAAGGTCTCTATATTAGTTGCTTTAATCTGTAAAGGCAATAAATCTATTTCTTTTAAAGTCATCAGTCTCGTTTGTCCTCATACAGCTTTGCACTGATACATATCATTTCTTCTATTGTCCTCAGAAGTGAACATGTGAAGATAAATGTATCTGATCACAACATGTCATTTGATTGTATGCTGTAAACATAGTGATCACAATCAAATTTTAGTGTGTATCACTTTTTGGCAAAATCGCTCATTGATAGATTTGTGCAACAAGGATTGCTATATAACAACTTTAAAACTGCAGTTAGTTCAGTCATGTTTTAGTGCAACACTTTCACTGTGGAGCACAAGAAGATCACTGCTAGAACATTTATGTGTACAGTATAACCAATATATAAGATACTCCCACTACACTAATGTGTCTGAAGGTGCTATTTTTAAGTTTAAAAGAAATGTTTTGGTTACTATCAATAATGTGTGGCAAAAATGTTTTCTACTTTTCAATCTTTGCTTTTTCAAGTTATGGATATTTTCTTAAGTTTCACATGAAATCAAAATAATTCTTTTTTATTATCATTATAATATTTTAGATGTTTGTGATGGTAATTGTTTGGTAAAAATAATATGTGTGTATTAAGAAAAAGAAAGAGCGAGAGATGAATGTTTGCTTCAGAACCTGACAGGTATATGAGTCTTAGAGCTAACAAAACTGCTTAAAAGTTTATTCTTTGTATAATTTTCCTCAATTAGAAAAACTTATGAAACCATTTACACTTCTTTTCATGTGTTTGTTTTACTTATTTTGTTTTATTGTTAATGGCATATTTACAAATTTGCAGAGTAGAATAAAACATATTAATGGGTATTATAAGCTGAGGCAGATATATATGACAGTAAAATAAAACATATTAATGGGTATTATAAGCTGAGGTAGATATATATGACAGTAAAATAAAACATATTAATGGGTATTATAAGCTGAGGTAGATATATATGACAGTAAAATAAAACATATTAATGGGTATTATAAGCTGAGGTAGATATATATGACAGTAAAATAAAACATATTAATGGGTATTATAAGCTGAGGTAGATATATATGACAGTAAAATAAAACATATTAATGGGTATTATAAGCTGAGGTAGATATATATGATTCGGTCAGTGTGTTGTGATGCAAGTTTTTATCATAAGACCACCATGTTATACAGAGTATAATACATGTATATAAATGTGGGGATTTATGCTTCAAATTTGTCTGTTACTTTTTAGCCTCAACTTGTGAAACTGAAAAGGGGGGATCTAGAGAAGGGATGGTGGCGAAGTTAATTGTCAGTAATCAGTTCACTAGAAATGCATTGCATTCATACCTTATAAAATAGTGTGTCTTCTCTACTCTCATCTCATAAAATCTGAAAAGTAAAACGTAAAGTTGAGTAAGCCAGTGTGAACATGTAAGTAGTGTCATCTATACATGTGAATCGTGTTTATGTTTCCAATAGATAATGATGGGCTTATTACGACGCAAAGGCTCATTAATAAACATGGTTAAATATTTAGGTGTTCTTTATTATCAAACTGTTCATATTACAACCATTATTGATATACAGACAGCAGATTTTAACCATTGATGGGGTTCAGTTTATTCTAATTTGTAGCACCATGACTTTCTACTAGTTATAACCAGACGGACCATCACATATTGTGTTCAGTTTATTTATATATCTCACGATATAAGGAAGTATATGTCTGATGTTGTAAATTCATCTGAATATTAAAGAGTTTGTTTGTTTTGAAGTACATAATTATGTATTTGTTACATTAGACAAGACAGCAGCAGTTGCAAATCTACCTTAGAGGCATTTTCAACTTTATTTTATATTTTAACCATATGGTTGTGAATTTTCTGTTTTTTCTTTGATTTATAAAACATTCCAGAAATTAAACACATTGACTTAGTTATAAAAAAAGTGTATACATGTACACCAATCATCTGTACCCTCATTGTAAACTGTTAATCAACTAAATGTTACTGTTGTCTTCCAAACATTGAAACCTACAGACCTGAAAAAAGTTTTCAGTGAAAAAATGTCACATGACAACCACATGACCTCACCTGGCACATATTAGTCAAGTGACAATATGTTAATAGACACAGTATTTCCAAGCATCCTGTTGGGATGGATGGTAATCAAAAGAATATTAATGACTGTGATACTAACCAAGGCTTGAGTGCTACTCTTTTTTTAAGAAATAGGTTAATATTATTTTTTATGCTGTTGTCATAGATAATGTCACGATGGGATATTGGGTTTTTTCTTTCAATCTGTCATGTGTGTTCATAAAAATACATGAGTTCTTAATGTAGAATCATAGCAGTTAAATACTGTATACAACTTAATGATACACTATGTGCTTATGAAAATACAAGGTAACCTTAATGACACTACTCACAGAAAAAATAATTCACATGTAGAGTTAGACATGGAAGAAAAAAACTGAAGCATCTTAAAAGAAAATTCAGTTATTTAGTTGTTGGGTATACGAGGGAAGATTTGAAAGGTTGAACTAACATTTGAATAGGTTTAAGGGTACACGAATAGAGACAGTTGTGTTTATAAGGTAAAATATAATACAACTATTTTATGTCAATGTGATTACCTGAGAAAGCTGTCATTATCCATGATTTGTGTTAATATATCTTTCACAGGTTTATATGAGCAATAATTGACCGCGGCAAAAGACTAAAAATGGTCAGAAATACACTCTCACTTGACCGTTTATCTATGCAATGTAACATTTTTTCAGAAGGGGGGTATAAATATTGACTATTTTGCAGTGAGAAACGTTGTCAATTAAACATAAATAGTTTTTAGCAAAGATATTAAACAAAATTGGTGCAAAATGTCACATGTATGGCCTGCCACTGACAATGTCACATGTATGGCTTGCCACTGACAATGTCAAATGTATGGCCAGCCACTGACGATGTCACATGTATGGCCAGCCACTGACAATGTCACATGTATGGCCTGCCACTGACGATGTCACATGTATGGCCTGCCACTGACGATGTCACATGTATGGCCTGCCACTGACGATGTCACATGTATTGCCTGCCACTGACTATGTCACATGTATGGCTGCCACTGACTATGTCACATGTATGGCCTGCCACTGACGATGTCACATGTATGGCTGCCACTGACTATGTCACATGTATGGCCTGCCACTGACGATGTCACATGTATGGCCTGCCACTGACGATGTCACATGTATGGCCTGCCACTGACTATGTCACATGTATGGCCTGCCACTGACGATGTCACATGTATGGCCTGCCACTGACGATGTCACATGTATTGCCTGCCACTGACAATGTCACATGTATGGCCTGCCACTGACTATGTCACATGTATGGCTGCCACTGACTATGTCACATGTATGGCCTGCCACTGACGATGTCACATGTATGGCCTGCCACTGACGATGTCACATGTATGGCTGCCACTGACAATGTCACATGTATGGCCTGCCACTGACTATGTCACATGTATGGCCTGCCACTGACTATGTCACATGTATGGCCTGCCACTGACTATGTCACATGTATGGCCTGCCACTGACGATGTCACATGTATGGCTGCCACTGACTATGTCACATGTATGGCCTGCCACTGACGATGTCACATGTATGGCTGCCACTGACTATGTCACATGTATGACCTGCCACTGACTATGTCACATGTATAGCCTGCCACTGACGATGTCACATGTATGGCCTGCCACTGACGATGTCACATGTATTGCCTGCCACTGACAATGTCACATGTATGGCCTGCCACTGACTATGTCACATGTATGGCTGCCACTGACTATGTCACATGTATGGCCTGCCACTGACGATGTCACATGTATGGCCTGCCACTGACGATGTCACATGTATGGCTGCCACTGACAATGTCACATGTATGGCCTGCCACTGACTATGTCACATGTATGGCCTGCCACTGACTATGTCACATGTATGGCCTGCCACTGACTATGTCACATGTATGGCCTGCCACTGACGATGTCACATGTATGGCTGCCACTGACTATGTCACATGTATGGCCTGCCACTGACGATGTCACATGTATGGCTGCCACTGACTATGTCACATGTATGACCTGCCACTGACTATGTCACATGTATAGCCTGCCACTGAGTGGTTATTAATGCCTAACATATGTTGGAAGCTTAAGCTTTATGCGAGTTGTCAGCTGTTTATCCTGTTTGTGATAATGTTAATGTTGTACTTGTATACTGTCAAATATAGCAGTCTTAAGAAATGTTGGGAAAATAAAGAAACTATTCTATTGTGAAGATTATTGAAATAGGTACACAAGTTTAATTCTTGGTATATGATTATGACTTTACTGGTACAGTATATTGACGTTTGATGTCTATATAATATGCCATTTCTGATACTAAATATGCTATTGCCAAATAAATATTTGAATTGAGAATATTGTTTTATGTTCCTTCTACACAAAACAAACATTTGTAATACATTGTAACTGTTTTCTTTCAGACAATTTGGTATTTTCTGTAAAATCATAAAATATCTTGGCTTATCAATTTCATGATTTTTCAAAACATTGTTTTTTTTTTGCCCTTGATCTCATGAAACAATAACAAATGAATTGTAATTACTGAGATTTAGTTTAATGAACTAACAGAAACACCCACAGAAATTATCGGTTTTACATTATGGTTGATTGCTCTGCGATGGATTTTGCAAATAGCACATAAATTATTGTACATTTCAATACTAATTTAAAATCAGATACAGTAGAACTGCATCATACAGCTGTGGTGCCCATCTGGCACCTCTCAGTAATGCAAGGTTTGAGGCTTTATGTGTAGGAATCTATGAAATATGTGATATATACAACCCTGTAAAATCAGAATTGACAAGATTTATAAATAACATGAAGTACATGTATATTATCAGTCTGAACACTTTGAGATTATTTTGTAAGATAATAAATAACCTGCTTCCACCGTCGCTGTTCCTAATTCAGGAAAAATACAAGATATCTATACTATATCATATTTGTAAGATTAAATAAGGAAGGATCAATCTCAACAGGATAGAGGCGGGTTCTCCAATCTTGTATTAGGTAGTATTTCTACCGGTTTCGCTCTTTATGTTGAGATTGATCCTTCCTGATTTAAGCTCACCCCTTCTTATCAATCCCCTTCATATCCTCGGGTATCCAGGCTAAAGTTGTAGGACCATTGATTCACTACCTTTAGAGAAGCAGTGGCGTTGGCTCAACTTCTGATATATTTATAAGATTGTCGATACTTGTACTACAGACCAGTGCACATACTTATTTGACATTGCTGCCATCTTAATATGTCCCCTTCAGACCACATGTACAACTCCACAATCTCAACTTACAGGTACATCATTGTTATACTTCGTAAAGAAAATTTTTCTCTATACTGAAGAAATTACTTGACTTCAATACCCCATCCTTTCTTTGATTTTTTATTTTCCTTAAATGTCTTCAAATGAATAACAGAATATCAACATTTTGGAACATTTTCTTCGAGTTGGCAATGTCAATAGAACAGAAGTTCTTAAATCACAACCAGTAGAAGATCTGAGTGTGAATTTTCGATGACTACAGATTCATCTTCAGACAAATGACCAGTGTGGAACGTACTAGCACTGACGTACATAGTGTACGAGATGTAAACACAGGGATTAGAGCCAACATCGTAGTGCTAGGTGTAGATTAGGGTGTTCCTGATATCCCTTGCTTGGATACCACCCGGTATGCAGGTGTACGAGATGGTACGGAATCTTATGTACACTAAAGTTGAAAATATTGTGACAAGAAGGTTTAACAGTTTATAGACCAAAATACACACCAGATGGTAACACAGTGTACTATAGTCAATTCAGAACGTCACACTCTAGTCTTCTACTGGTTGTGTTATAAGAACTTCTATTCAACAGACTATCAACTCTAATGCCCCAGACAAATTACACATGGAGTTAAGTTGACCAATCTGGTGGTGATTATATGTTATATGACATCAGCTTCTGCAACTTTTATGGGCAATAATAATGTAAAAAAATCCATAAATACGTACGCAGGACTTGGTACAGCAATCATCAAACAGAGTCTACTTCTTAACCCTTTTTACTAAAAAATTACACTGCTGAAAATTGATATTTGGCAAGTGAAGTTAAAATTCTAATAATCTCTCTAACATGTGACTTAATCACGAACCTAATGGCCATTTTCTAATAAAATCATAGAAGTAATGTTTACAGCAGAAATGTGACGTTGTGATAATGCCATAAATAATACATCACATTTAGATAACTATATATATATACTATAGCTAAGTCTGTGGTTGAGGCGATTGAGGATTTTTTGGTGTAAGGGAGATAACTCGAAAAGACAAGTGTCCGGCGCCAAAGATGAACGTGGGAAGCTGCGGAGTACGAAGGCCATCGTTATCTTCATGTCGGTCTGACAACATCTAAGGGTCATCATATATGTCAGAAGTACGTGGTGAGAAGGCTGGAACGCTGTTCCGCGATTATAATGGTCACGGGTGATAAACATAGAGTCTGACGAAACAAATGGCAGGAGGCGTTCGATGAATGAGCGTTTTCATATTCACGATATCGTCTGCTGAAAGACCGAAATGTCGTAATTCATATTGATAAGAATTAAGTGGTTGAGCAAGATTCTGATCTGAAGGTCGGTTATACCTTCAGTCACTGTACAATGTAGCAGATTTAGCCTTACAAGTTCATCACAGGGACGTGTAGGTCTATCGAGTGTGTAGAATTGGCATTTGGGTGAGTAGGCCTACCTCCTGATATCTTATAATACCATCATCGGTCATTGGCGAGTGAGACATTTAATCAATCAAAGTCCTTGATTAAATTCCTTCACCTGAAAATTGTTCAATACGACCTCTTTACATGTCATGGATGCCTGAAACATATTATGTTCCTGTGTAGGAAACCTTTCAGTGAGTCATGCATGAGTGCTTGTCCCTGAGGAAGTTATATAAATATACATGACGACAGGATACATGTCTAACATACTTACTCATGTGGAATAGAGCAGATCAGGGTTAAAACAACCCTCCCCTCCTCACCACGTTCCAAAAATTAGCAAATAAATAGATAGAAAAATAAGTCAAATCAACAAATTAAATAAACAAAAGACAATTTATCACAATTTTACATATACATGTTATTTATTGATTCCTTTGACCCGAGACATATATAACACATATGTATACATCTCTGCTTTGACCATTGTTCCTGACAGTTAATAGTGTGTGGAAATACTAAGTGAAATTTCAGTACTTAAAAAATTATCAAAAATATATTTACCATTACATCAGTATCTAAATAATGTACATGCAACAATGTCTAAAATTTTCTGAAAATATTAATTAATCTTCATATCATGTGAAGATTTAGCTTGTGAAATACATGTAATGCTATAAGATTGTGTCTGTAACTAAGTGCTGCAGCATGAAAATAATGAGTAATTTTACACACAGAGTTTCACACTTAACACTACATGAGACATTGAGTCATGAATAACCAGAGGGTACTAGGTAAATAAAATTTTACACCGCACTTGTGGTGAAGTTAAATCTGTTTGATATCCTAACAACTTTAATAGCAGCTCATTTAATCTGAAATTTGTCCACCAGGTAGATTGTATTTGTACTCCACAGCTGTTGTTTAAGGTTTGTAGTTTATCTTAATACTTCTGTGTGTACGTTATTTAAAATGTCAAGATTCACAGTCAAATAACTTGATTGTTTCACCTGATTGATAGTTTTCTTAGTTTTGTAATTGTCAAATGATTATGTGTGTTAAGTCTCATCTATCTAACATTTTTATCCGAAATTCAAGATAAGCATTTCTTTTGGGAAAATGTCAAGAAAATAATAGGAAGGTGTAATGATAAGTTACCCTGGTCCCAACCTGGACTCAAACTAAGGACCCTTCGTTCTCTTGACAGACACCATACTGCCTGACTAAAGGGAAGTTTCCACCTTTCAAAACTGGAAAGATGACCTGTTCTCTCTAATTCTACAATTGTCTTTTTAATTTGCTAATTTGATATTTTGTTCATTTGCTTTTAGGCTACACCTAACAGATAGCAGGCATTTTGCTGCCAACGTTGAGTGAAAGTTACCTTCTTTGCAACTTTTGTTTTGCAATATCAATTTAGCTAATTTTTGTGATCAATTTTTGTCACATCACCAGGGCTTCATTAACGTGTTATTTATTGCAGATTGTCGCCAAATTTCACTTTGTGACACTCCTGCGAAAAAAAGTTCTGAAAGTGAGACTTTGTTGTTATTTTTTGGAAGCAGTTCACTAGCATTTCACTTATAGCTTACACATGCATCATTTACAGAATATCTTCCAGATTTTATGGTCCATCAATCTTAAAAATTAGGAGTGCTGAGAAGCTGGACTTCAAAGTCCCACAATGGAAAATTGAACTATTTTCAGAAATTATATGAGTGACATGAAAATTCTATGAGTACAGGTCTTAGGACTTTTTGTGAACTTTTTGAGCACTGTGATGTGCATGCTTACTGTTATACAAGAGAGACATTCATCTCTTTTGTGATATGGAGCAACATGGATGAGGAAATAATTTATTTACAATATTAAAGAGCATTTAATCAACACAATATCAGGTAATGAATGGCATCCTGGAAAAATTTTGTTTCCAAACTACAACTAGTGGTACAATAACAACCTCGGCATTCAAATTGGAATTTGGGTCTTTATTTAAAGATATCCTCAGAGGAAATTCTCTAAAAGAATTAGGAATGATTCATGATCAGTTAATCTCAGATGTCCAGCTCTGTTTGAATTCATTTACCTGGTACATATTGATTCATGTTAATAGAATTTTTGTTCTACCAGAATGTTTATATAATTAGTAATGCTAATACACTGTGTCATTTTTATGTTGGGTATACCTTGTATTTATTCTTATTGCACTTTAAAATTATAAACAATACAATGTAAACATACTTATCAAAATTGAGGTAGATGGTATGATTTTTTTATTTAGGGCCTCGCATGAAAGTGTGGGTGTCCTATAGTAATCACAATGTTTGTCCGTCCGTCCATCTGTCTGACCATCCATCATCACTTTGGTTTCTGTGCAATAACTTTAGGTTCCTTGGGCCGATCAAGCAAAATCCTCATACATTGCTTCTTTCTTGAATGTGCTTGCATAGGATTCCTTTTCTTCTTCAAAGGTCAAGGTCACTGTTGCTATAATGGAAAATCCACTTTGTAGAATAACTTGTTTGCTTTAGCCAATCTAACTCAAACTAGATGCAACGCTTCTTAACCAAAAGTGCTGGGTTGAGATAGATTGCCATTCAGGTCCAAAGGTCATAGGTAATTGTAACTATAAGTTAAAATCAGTATTTGTGTGATAATTTTAGTTTGCTTTGCCCAATCTAAATCAAACTTCATACAATGCCTCCTTACCAAAAGTGCTTGATTGGGATATTTCTTTTTATATCCAAAGTTCTAAGGTCAAGGTCATTTTTATTATGCCTACACACAGATTGTTGAATATATTTGTTAGTATGTGTTTTGTTCTTGTAACAGACTTGTGGCAGAGTCTTAGCTAATTTGTCAGTGTTCTATTTTTTTCCTGTACCTGAAAGTCCTCTTCTCTGATTTTGTTGTTTAGGTTACCATCCATTTGAAGGATGTTTCAGTTTCTCTATCTTGGCTTTCTTCTGTCCCTGTTACTTCTGTTGGTCTCCATGGTGAGATCAGCTGATGTGTTACATGATGTGTCATCTGAACCTGAGTGGGATGACAGAGGTTACATATTGTTCTGTCTCTGTATGGGTAAGTACATATAAAAATCAACAAGATACTTGCATGCATTTAATCTTTTTTTAAATAAGAAGTTACAATACTCACAGTGATTGATTTGACCGGTATAACTTGGTTTTCATTAGTTCAGGAAACATTGATGATATAATGTCCATGCATCCCAGGAATTCAGAAGTCAATATGTATTTAAAAACAAAAGTGTCCAAAAATATGAAATTATTCAGTTTTTCACAAGTAGGATATTAAAAGGATTGCATTATAAACTGTAACAATGGGGATAAATCATTGTAAATTATGGTGACTTGTCATCAGAACAATACCTTAGTTTGCTATTATATACTGGTAATATCAATAGAGTCCTATAGTAAAGGTTACTGGTATTTCAAATAGAAGGGCCATGATAGCCCAGTCAGTTGTCATTCCCTTCTCATGGCAGTTTTGATTTCTTAGTAAGCCAAGAGACAGAAGTTAGCTGTAGTGTTACATGGACGTTACCAGTATTATGAATGGAGTGGCAGCAAAAATCATATCCTCTCTATAATTAATGAAGTTTTTGAATCAGTTATCTTCTAGGTTGATGCATGCTGTTATATAACCACTTGATTCCTTCTACAGGGCGGTTTGGGAACCAAGCAGAACACTTTCTGGGTGGTCTGGAATTTGCTAAAGCTGTTGACAGGACCTTAATTCTGCCTCCTTGGCGCACATATGTAAGTAAACAAATAAAATTGTACATACATGCTATCCCATCCCATCTATCCCTTTCCCATCCCTAATTAATTTTATTAATTATTAATTATTAATTATTTCCATAGGAACATCATTTCATATGAGCTTATGATCAAACATTCTAAAGGTCAGAGAACACTTCAGAAGGGAGTGTGGTTCAGGATTAACAGGTCAAGGTTTAGGTCACTATTACAAAATACTAAATTTAATAGATCATCATTAACAAATTCAGACAGGATGTAAGCAAATCCATCACAAAGGTCAAAACAATGTAACGAGAATACCTTGAATGAGTACGTGCTCCAAAGTTTCTGCTACTATTGATAGAAATTTGTTAATTTTACACATGAGGAAAGTGATCATAAGAAATACTGTTCTATTTCAGAAAAATGTTCCGTTTGAGGAGTGGTTTGATGTGGCTACTGTTGGAGAATACCACAGAGTGATCACAGCTGAGAGCTTTATGGAGAAACTGGCCCCAAAATATTGGCCCCAGGGGAACAGGACAGGATACTGCTTTGGTTACCCAGGATCAGACATTCCGTGTAAGATGAAAGAAGGTAAGTAAAAACATACTGTTTTAAAGGGAACAAGGGTACAATTAAGTTCCCACAGTCATATCAAGTGATAATCAAACTTACAAAAAGATTCATGGAGCCCATAAGTGATCCTTTGTCCTTTAATACGTGCCCAGGCCATAACATGATTTGCTGGAAGTAAATTGATGCAATTTCACAGATATAAATATTTGTAGGATGATAAGGCTATGTATTTCATACTCCTCATTCAGGTATATGACAAAGATGAAAGTCACAATGAAGTTCAAGGTCAAATTCAATGTCTGTCATAAGTACTTTCCCACTTTCAAAATAAGTAAATAAATTTATATCATCATAGTGTCATGCACAGTTTCAGGGTCTGTATAACTATGATTAAGTCACATGCAAGATAAAAAATAAATTCATTTTTCATTTCTCGTTTTTCAATTCATTGAAGATAGGGAAATTAAATTTCATTTCATAAACTTCATTTGATTCACATCAATTGTGATACAAAAGTTTCAACTTCCATCAATCACTGCGGATGGAAGTGTGCAGAGGGTCTTGTTGTTGGAGGAGACTGGAGTACCCAGGGAAAACCCATGTTGCCTGGCAGGTGACCCCCTTACTTTTTCTCATCTGTTCAGTAAATCAAACTCTTGACAGCTACAATGTAGGTGAAAGGCGAGTGTTTTACCACATACAGGATGACAAGATGGCTTGTTGCAGAACATTTCTTGCGCTGTATGTCTAAGGACTTGATCGAGGTTAAAGGTCAAATTCATTATTTTTGCCATAATTTCTCACTTGGTAAAGGCAGGCCTGTGAGTTGTATGTAGAATAAGGATGTCGTGTTGAAATCTTTATTTTTTTGTTTTATATACCTGATTCAATATCAAAATGGATGAGTGATTTTCATTGGCAATTAGTCAATGGGAAAAGCAGATGTTTTTCTATGTAATTCCATTTATTTGTAAAATTAAACAAAACTATGAAGAAAAAAGTCAGGAGGTAAGTTTGTGTGTCCTAGATTGAAAACTAATACAACAAAACAAGATTTTTATTCACTGTGCTGTACGTACCTCTGTGATAGTGTTATGTGCGTAATGTCAGAAACTATCCGAATGAAAAAAGTATATCTGGATTTTAACGGTAATTCTTTTAATCATGTCTAGTTAAGTACACTTACTGTTGGTAACAATTTCAGCAAAACATTTGCCGAATAACAACATTTCATTCACAACTGAACCTTACGGAATTAAAGCCTTATACACATTGTGTGAACACTCCATGAAAAGTTTTGAAAATATCCTATGTAATTTTTATGAACTAGTAAATTTATCTGGACAAGTACTTTCAACAAGGACACTGATCTGACTGATGGGTCCTTCTTAAAGTTATAGGTTGGCCCTGACCTAACTGTGAAACCAATATAAAGGTTAACATGAGGTCAAAGGTCAAATTTGTTTATTTCATCCATAAGGTTCATAGAAGGTAAATCTGTGAAATTTATAGATTTTTGGTGACTAGCAATGTTTCATGTATCACTTTGGTACCTTATGCATATGGTCTAGGTCTCTTTAATAGCCAGGTCATTTAAGGATGTACCATGCGCAAAGTTTTCGGTGAAGGCAAGTCAGAGCTTCCAGAATAAAAACACCAACCTGCAGACATCCCTGGCAACTACCCCATGTAGGCCTTGAACTGGGGAGGGGGGAAGGGTTAGTGATAATGACAAACACTGTAATTACTTAATCACTTGGCCACCCCACTCTCCTTCTATATTGCTAATGGTTGATAAATTCAGTGGTATGCAATATAAATGCCTACACAGATTCCAATGCATCCACTTTTCAGGAAACACACTCCATGATTTTGTAACTTGTATTTATAGATATGTACTATCTACTGGTGATTATTCTCTATGCCAATAGGAAATCCTTTTGGACCATTCTGGGATGGTCTGGGAGTGGAATTTGACAACAGTGAGTCGTATTATGTGATGTATACAGATCATACTGAATGGAAAGAAAGGTAAATATGTTAGTATAAACATATGTTGTAACTCTTCTGGTGTAATATTGTGACTTAAGAACTCAACACCATTCTACCTGTGTAATGACTCTGCTTAATATTAAACCAATACTTTTCAAACTTGAACAATCTGATTTTCCTTAGGAGAGACTGCTTGAATGTAAAACTTGCAACAACTTTGTCATTCAGTATTATAAAGGACTGTTTTATCCCATTAGCATCAGTCTCTCAAAATCACCCTTACTTTGTTGTCCTTCACTGTTGTAAGTCGTTCTTAATATCACTACTTGATGAGAAATATTGGATGGATAATTTTCAGAAGTTCATACGTATGTTCCCCATGGTCCCTGGTTGTAAATTGTCTCATTTTGGGACTTATCCAAAAACCAAACTGGCCGACAGACAACCATTTTGGATTTTGACAGTTAAAATTTGTATATGCCATTTTAGGAAAAGTGTATGATGGATCATACTTAAATGTCATATATAGGGTCACCCATTTCCTCTAGCTGTACTTAGTCTTTGACTGATCAGAAATTAAGATCCACTTAAATTTTTATCATCCATGATTTTTTTTTTTTTTTTTTTGTTATTGTTATTTCTGGAGAGGTATTGGAGGGTCTTGTTGACGTTGTGCCCTTTTGATTTTTGGAAAAATTAAGAATGAAAATGAAATGGCTAACAGACAGGTTCCCCTTGATCCTTTGTTGTGCCCTTTTGATATAGGAATTCATCAGAAAAACAACATGACTGACAGGTGGCCATCTTGGATTTTGACTAGGGAAGATTTTTATTGCTATTTCTTAAAAGTTTAGACTGATTTCATAAATAAGTTGCCCCTGGTCCCTAATTGTACCCTTTTGATTTCGGATTGATCAGGAAAACAAAATGGCAGACAGAAACTATCATTTGACCATTATAGATTTTAAGAGGAAATTTTCAAACTTGATATAAGAGCAAAAAGAGAGGAAAACAGAGAAAAGAAGGAAAAGATCCAAATTTTAAAGAAGAAATAAAGATCAAACCGTAATGGGGGACAAGATCCCTCTGGGATCTCTTGTAAATGGGCTGTGAAAAGTGTAAGTTAAACATTGTTCATTGCACTAATTCTTTTGAGCAAAAAAAAAAAGAAACAGGGAATTTTTCTTCTTTTAACCATTAAAATGATAGTACATATACTCAAAACTGGACTATGTTAATTGTGTAACACCATTTTTGCCTTGGAAAGTGGTGAAATTTTCCCTTTATACAGTATATACCTTTCAAATGACGAAGTGTTGGTGAAAATTGATGATGAATCCGTCATGAATATCACTGTTATTGGATGTTACTGTTTGTGGTTTTCTTGGTTGTGGTAGGAACATAGAAATATATAACATGAATTAAGTTCATAAACTGTCTTTAACTGCAAGTAAGATATTTACAAACATTTCTTCTTTTACAGTTCTTTGCTGGATTTAAAAACGAAGTGAAACTACAGAGCATCAAAAAATGATTTCATCAAATGCACTGTAAATTTTGTAGGCATTCATAAATGATATTGTATTGTCCAATCCATCCTCCATAGTTTGTCTGTATTATTGTAATCACTTACTCAATATGATATTTTATTGTGTTGTAAATGGTAATGTTGATTAGCCGAAAGCCTAAGACCAATCAACTACAAAACTGTTAAACAGTTAAAGTAAAATGATAGTAATAGGATTTTGAATTGTCATATCCATTCTTCTCCTCCTTCAGGAAAACAATTATTGTACACCTGAAATGATGAATGTTGGTAGGTTTCCTGCCGATAAGAATCCAGTCGTGGCCCTCAAGGGAGCTCCAGCACCTTACCCCATGGCAGAAGCCACTGTCCCTCTTCAGAAATACCTTAGATGGTCGTCAACAATAGAGGCTGAAGTTCAAAGTCATATCAACAAAATGTTTGGGGGAGAAAAGTTCATTGGAATACATCTTCGCAACGGTATAGATTGGGTAAGATTTTAAATATGGGTGTTATTCTTATCACTCTGTTTAAAGCAAATTTGCAAAAGGTATCAGATTTAGTTTTGTAAAAATGCCAACAAAAGAAAATCTGTATAGATTTATATCTTATATCTTAAACTGGCAAAAATTTGACAATCAAAAGGAGCAATATGTAGTCTTCATAGCCTTTATTTGTCATGGTTTAAAAAAAGTTCTGTTTATTCCTGTCACACACTCAGATGAACCAATAACACCTTCCTCGGACCAGTGCTTGGTTGTTTAAAACTCTCATTAAGTTAACAATGTTGTTAAACTATGATTAGCAAGTCAATAAAGTTCAGTGACATTGTTAACAATTGTTAAAAATAACATAACATCTAACAACATGCTAATTGATTGCTGACATTCATCATTCATAAAGATTTAGTGACATTATTAACTATTTCTAAGAATAACATAAAATTTAACAACCTGCTAATTAATCACTATAATCAACATGTCACCAAATATTGCTACCTTTGGTGTCTAATATTATGCTTCCTCAGAAGAAATAGGGCTTTTTTTCGTCATCAGTCTATTTTTCAAAAATATTTACAAGAAAACCATGTTAGTCAAGACACTGAATCTTGAATTAGTTTTCCAGCCTGTACAGTAAATCAAAGTAAATTCATTTTCTGTATACAGTACTGTGTACAACCTGATTCTCTGTTTTCATCTTCTTCATCAACTTTATAACAAAAATCATAATTTTTCTTTTATGTGTTTTTATTATATAAAAATAAAGTGAAAGGTAAACATTGTGGACGGTGAAATAATCCACTTTGACATTAAATTGTTATGATACAATTATTTCATAAAGTTTACGATTATACAGGAATATTGTTCATATTATAAAATTATTATTATAAACTGTGGTTAGATATTACAAAATACTTTCCACTTTGTCCATGACTTAAGACTGGATTAAATTGGATTAATATTACTTTCTTTTCCAGGTTATAAGCCGCAAGGCCAGTTTTTAGAGATTTTGGTTATGTGATCCACGTATAAGCCACACCAGAATATAAGCTGACCCTTTCTTATAATATGGTGACAAATATATTGTTGATGTTTGATATACCACCAACAGAACTGAAAGCAGTAGTAACTGTTATGTTGACCAAAGTTTGGTGATATAACAGACTACAAAAAGCAGTTTATCATGATAATCAGTGAAACATTTTATAGTATGTAAATCAATTATACACAGATAATCCTTTATTCTATTGATGTATTTAATAAAAGGTAAAATAGCAAATATCGAACTTGTTTGGCTTGGATGCCTTCACAGATTGTCTACATACAGATATAGGGCCTGATGTTACGTACGGTTTACAAAACAATCTCTCCATTGTTGTCTGTACTGCTGAATATGAACGAAGGCCTTTGCATGCTGACCAAATTCTTATAGCCCCATATTATTTCTTGTAAGTTATACAGTGACATTCATATTGTAAACAAGTATGGCATTCTAGAATTTGGCCTATAACCTGACAACCTATCAATCCCAGGATGTAAAAGGCTATTGTAACCTCCGCTACGGCTTTGAAGTAACTGTGAAATTCAAAAGATATTATTATGATTCATATTAAAAAGTATGAGTAATTAAATCCACCAGAATGTTATTTTTATTTCAATCTTCAAATCATCCTGTATACAATTGCACATGACAGTTCAAGATGATCTGTTTCAGTCACAAACATGTAATGGGCAGGTAATTTTTTTCATCTACATATACCGCATCGGTATATATGCCACACTCCAAAAAAAGTGTGGTTTATAATCCAAAAAATATGATAAATACTTGCTGTAGGCAGGCAAATTCATGGAATCTCATAGGCGTCCACTTAACACAGACTTGACTATATGTCCTCAGATTTGCAAAACTAAATCCTAGAATTGATATATGAAATATGGAGTTGGGGATGATTTCCAAACAGTTTCTGTCTTCCTTATATCAAGAAAAGATAAGACTTTGTAAGAAAGAATCTCAGAAGCTGTGAAATATAGAGTGGAGTCAGTAATATTGTTTTTATCTATCTTGATATTGTGCCCATCATAGCTCATTCATAACATATTCAAACCTGTCTATAAAGGCCACTCAAGGAAACAGGGGAAAATGGCCATTGTAGACAGGTGGCATTTGTATAAAGTGGCCTTTAAAGACAGATTCAGCTGTTCATGTATTGGATGTAAACAACCAAATTTAATACATGTATGTACTTTTTTAATAAATCACATTTTTTTTCTTTTCTAGAACAATGCCTGTAGGAATGTAGAGGGAGAAAGTAAATTCATGGCTTCTCCACAGTGCCTTGGGTATGAAGGCAAGAATAAAATTTCTGCACAGATGTGCTTCCCTTCTGACGATGAGATATTAAGGTAAATTAGGAAATGGCCTAATATCTCTTCCAGTAAAGTTTAGGGAAAATTTACTATCTTTTAAGATGTGGAAATTCTTCAATTTTGTTTAAACATCAGATTTGTTGACATAAGATTCTGTTGTATTTTGATAAGCCATATTACTAATGCATACCCTTATCGTTTAAGCTTACTAACTAGTTAGCACTAATTGTTTATGATAAGCACATATGAATGGGCTGACTTCTTCCATTCTTCATTACTTATCAATCAGTTGTAGTGAATTACACATTTTTGCACATTTAACAGCAAGCCATTTCGTTCATTACTCCTCACCACCAGGTTGTGTCACACTATATGTGCAGTAAGTTTAGTATGTTGTTTTATTGTGTGACAACATTTTTGTCATGAGTTATGAAATATATCTACAAAGCATGAGATATTATCATTATACGACTTCACCATAGGTGTCAAACACTGATGTCCATCTATCACGCACCATTCTCAAACAATGTCATACCTTGAGAATCTCACAATAGATTTGGGTCATATTTACTCCATATTGATAAGGTGATCATCGTCAAGGTTAAAGGGACAAAGGTCACATCTGACAACTTCTGCAAATTCATCAAACGATGATGCTTATTTATATTGGAGCAGGGGCATTCAATTATGCCCTACAAACATTTTCTAGTTTTATGATATTAATGTATATTGGATTCTCATCAGAATTTCTTTTTTGCTCTAGGTTATTGAAAAATGTTGCTGAAGTCTCAGATATCAAACAAATATATGTGGCTACTGACAAGAACCCTATGACGAAAGAAATTGAAACACATTTAAAAAAACTTCAGGTAAGAAAAATGGTGAAAGAAATTGAAACACATGCAAAAAAAACTTCTGGTAAGAAAAATGATAATAAGTATTTACATAAAAATTGATTGAACTGTACTTCAAGAACACATTTAATTTACGATGAACACTGGAAGAGGTTAAGATTGTTGATTTATCCATTGATACAAATCTCCAATGCCTGTATTGTCTCCAACAAATTGAAATGAACTTTGACCATTGTTTATATTAAATTGCAATGTTATATTTTGATTTTTCATTTCACAAAGATTTATTTAAAAAAATTATGGGTATTGGGCAATAGGCACTACTTTGATGGAAGGAAGTGAATGATTATCAGAAAGAAATCAGTTTGTACTTTGATGTGACTTTTTGCAAAATTTATGTACAAAGTTATGTTTTGTATCATTAAAGATGATTCCAAGGCATCATACTGTTAAATGGATGTAGGGTAAAATACCAGATTATTTTTATGGAGATGAAACATTTGCTATTTTGTTGGCATAAATCTGATCGCTAAAATTTAATCTGTGAAAAAATAAGACTTTACATTGACATTCTAATATAACAGGGGGGAGGAGGGGGGGGTCGCTTGACAGTTACAAAGTTACAATTGTTTGGAATAGGGTGAATGGTATGTCATACAGGCAATTTGTTACATGTAATTGTAGAATACTTGTATTTATAAGCAAATATCATTATCAAATCTTGTTCAATTATACTGGTGCTTGATTGAGAAATCATCAATCAGGAAATTTAATCTTGATATTGGAGCAATATTTGTGAAAATTAGGTATTCCATTATATTCAGATCATAAAATTGTGAAATTGGATTTTCTCGTTTTAAACAAAAAACTTAGACTCACAAAAAAATATACAAGGTTTAGCTTTGGCACAAGACAGAAAGAGGAAAATTGACACCCAAATGCATACCATAGTTGTCTTTCCATAATCTCTTCACAAAAAAAAAAAAAAACCTATATTGTTTGATACAAAGCTATCATGCACCCATAGTTAAGATAAGTTTATTGTGAGTTCATCAGAATGTCAATGACACCAGTGGAAAAGTTCTGTTGGTACATGTGTTCATTTCCACTCCTTTGTACAGGTGCTGACACCCACTCCTATAGATAATTCTTACTTACGATATTGAACTGTTTATCACATGTACAGTAGGACTGGCATGTGTGTTTTTAGGAGATGATAAGCAAGCCCCTAATTATTACTGTAAAGATGATTATCACAGGGAAATAAGTGATAATTACTATCACAGTTAGATGTGTTAGAATTGGCTAGGGAAAAGCATTGATTCACCCCAGGGTTATAGTTATATATTGGCTGTGAAAGTAGAAGACCCAAGCCATACTTTTGTGGATAAAAGCTCAATATGTTTTACCTTATATAAATGCATGTGGATAGCATTGTTTTTGTGCTGTCCATCTGTTAACTTTGGTTTCCTTGCAAAAACCTCTGGTTCTTTTAAGTTGATCATGTATGGAGGTGACACATGGATATTTTCCTTTTCTGTTTTGTAGGTCAATGGTCTCATAATTCATGACTAAAAGTAGAGATACAGTGACACTTTGATTTCAGTGCAAATACTTCTGTTTATTTCGGCCAAGCTAGCTAGCTATCATTACCATATTTTGTACACGTTTCTTTTGTTCAGTGGTTGCATTAGCTCACTATTCAGATCCTAGGGTTAAAGGTCATGTGATCTGCCATTAAGAATAGAATTACAGACAAGTTTCAGTTCCTGTACAACAAGTTCTTAATTTTCTTTTATTCATTTATGCCCATATTTGATACACAGGTCGCTTGTTCAAAAGGTATGTGAGTTGTGCTAAAGATATAATTACAGTCATGCATTTGGTTCTCATGCAGTAACATCAGTTCTTATTGGCCTGTCATGATCATGTTTATTACAACCAAAACCAGACGTCTGAGAGGCAGGATATTTGGTGGAAAGTGTTTCTAGGTCAAAGCCTGAGAAAAAGCAGGAAAAAATAGATATGGCATTTACATAGAATTCAGGTCATAACTGTAACTAAGAGCAGGATGTTAGAAGCTTAAATTAGCTGTGAAAATCTGTAAAATTGATTGGATGTGCCCACATTGAATGCCAATGGTGTATGTGATAATGTATTTGTGATAAACACTGATTCTATTTTTTAGGAACGATGAATACCAGGTGAGTGATGCAGGCCCTTTGGGCCTCTTGTTGCATTTTGGGTACTTTTAGATTGAGATTTAAAGTAGGGATGGTATGGCAATTAATTCAGCTGAATTGTGGTTTTATATTGCAGGTCAACGTTCATCACCTAGATCCTTGGTTACCACAGATTGATCTTGCCATATTAGGAAAATCATGGCAATTAATTCCTTCACTGCTTTTGTTGCCAATTGTGTTTTATTGATAAGCAGTTGACACAAACCAACAGAAAACACCATACAATGACACTATTCTATCTCCATGTATAAAGATTAAAAGTATCAATTTTTGTTCTTCAAAAAATAAATCTATGTTAGAATGTATTCATATTTTTCATTGTTTTGTGAATTCTCTAGCATACAAGTGTATACCCAAACTTCCTTGTCACTCACTAGGGTTGCGACAGGGATCCCTCAACCATTAAGATTCAGATAAAATATCACAACAACAATGCAACCAGATGCTTGAACACACCATAACTACTTATTGTAGACAAGAGTCTAATTGAATGAGACTACTGATATTAAGACTACTGACATCCTAATATTCTACAATTGCATATATTGTTAATTCTTGGGTAGTTCCAAAGAGAGTTGTCTTGAAAATAAAAACAAATCACTGTCAGGTTACTCAGAGACAGCTCCTTAAGTTTTTAAAGACCTAGTTAGCTTTGTGTTTCACAACTTTTAACATATATGTATCTGGTTACAATATTGTCTTCTTGAATTTTCTCTTTATACCATTTATACATATTCCTTGTGACCATATATACTAGTGGTTTAGAATTTGAAACATGGATAATGAAGAGTGATTTGGAGAATTAAATCTTCATTCAGATGCAATATTCATGTAAAGCAGTCAGGTGTTTGTTCTTCAAATATCTTGAGGTTGTAAATCAAGGGTAATAATATTTCTTGTGAAATATGTCATACATATTATGTTTGTAATTAAAAGAGTTTTTTAGAGGCAAGATATCTCACTGATGTATAAATAACATACCTCTTTACAGCAGCAGTTTTGTTTGTACTAAATATCAGGTAGTAGAAAACCAGGTTGAGGTCAAACTGTTCAACAAAAAACTCTTTAAAGTTGTTCCATCCAACTTAATTAGATTCTACCTAGTCTCAGGGAGAATTAGCTTTATTTACTCTCAGAATTGGTTTCCTCATGTGTGGACAGTTATGTAATTATGATACTGCATGGAGAATTCTCACTGATTAAAATCACCCATCAGAATGATCTTACATGTTGTAAACACTCATTGACAGAGATACATGTATTGATAATCAAAATGTCCTGTAAGACAGATTTTGCACTGAGATGCTGAATTTGACCTACATTCTGGGCTTCATTACTTTGGTTATTGTCTGGTTAAGAAGATTACCAGCAGTGCAAACATGCGTATGGGAACTTATAATCCCTGAAGGGTTTGTACTTAACTAAACTGCTGTAAATATTCTTATTTTACAGACCTGTAGTTTCAAACTGTTGATGCATTTGTATTACCATAAAATATGCTACATAGTAGTGTCATTTCCAAGCAGATAGAATGGGGACTGTTGATGACAGTTTCCTCCAGTTTGTCTTTGGAACAAAGATACTTTGATAAATCAGTAAATCATCAGACCTCGCAATCTTAGGTGAAGATCATGCATGTATGGTCCAATTCCTATACCTGGGATGGTTTGTGTTCATCATGAAAGTGAAATCACGGACTGTCCTGTGCTGTCATGGCATTGTCCTTCGATAAAGAAATTTACCTTGATAATGATCTGGTAAGTATGTGGTTGGCCTCTTATTAGGTATTCAGAGAGGTAGCCACCAGCTATTAAGTGGAGACTCCACCTTAGAATGACCTTACCATGTTCACAGAGCAACCAGCTTTGAAACAGGTTTCTACTTCAGTACTTCTATTTCATTCCAGAAAGTTTATGTTCCAGAGTTTAAAAAAAAAAATTCAGAAATGTTCATATATTGTCTTTATCAAACAACAAGCACCCAGATATTATGTTTTAGGTTAAATACTTATGCTATATATATAATAGTTGATATCAAGAACAAGACCTCCAAGTACTTGAGTATGTTCGTCTTCATCCTACTCAATATGGAGTTATGCCATAGTGTGAAATGTTTACATGAAGAGAAACCAAAAGTGGATTTTTTTATTTTTTATTTTTGTTTTTTATACTAAAATGTTTTATATTGATATAGCTAATGCATTTACTTCTATACTGGGGTTGGCGTTCAACCCAATTACTTTGAAGTCCAATGAACAAAAAATGCAGCTGCATCATTTGATTTCAATTCTATTCGATAATTTACAAATGATTCACTATAATAGTCTTTTTTAAAGTTTTATTATACCTATGTTACAGACAAATGAAATATGTAAACATTAATTATGATTGATTATGCAGTATGCAGTAGGTTCATGTAAATAAAAGAATTCAGAATCCAAAAAGCAGTGTTCTCATTTACTTATAACTACTATTCAGCTTACGGTAGGATTTCCACTGTTAGGGTAAGGGTTGATTTTTGGAAAAGTTTAATACTAAGTTATCAGGTTCCTTTTAAATTAAATTTTTGCATTCTTTTTTTTTTTTAACCTCTTGCTCAGTTGAAATCATCAGATACAATTGATGGATTACTGGCTTATTTCAGAATCACCACTTTTTGCACTTTAAAGGAAATTGATCATGTATTGAGATACGTATTCAAAGGAATGCAGAGATCGCCTATATTTCCATGTGGGCCTCTGACGAAATTTCACTTGAATGTTGGAATTTCCCTGTTCTTTGATTTCACCAGAACTTCTTGGCATAGAAGATTACCTTGAGTGTGTTGGGGATGTAGAGAAAAGCTTATAGATTATTCTTTTTATTATTATTTTTATAATTAGAATTTAGTGGAGAGGTGTGTCTAGGGAAGCACTGTTTACAATGGCCACAGTGACGACATTCTATTGGACAAGGGGTGAAGGTGTCATTTGTTTCAGGTATTTGAAATTTTGATTGTTCAATTTTCAGAATCGACTCTCAATAGGGGCTCTGGTCAGGGATATAAAAAATATGTACATGATTTATGTTCAAGAGATTTGTTTCCAAGAGGATTTCTAGAATGTAAATTAACACATTTAATTTACATGCTTTTACAAAATTACACATTAGCTCTGTTGTACTGACAAACGTATAAAAAGTACATGAAATGGCAATATTTGGTGTATGGTCATTTAATTACCACATATTGTCAAGGACCTAAATATAAAGGTATATTACAAATTATTTCAACCCCATACCTCAATATATACATTCTTCAATCATTTAACATGGACCTTTGTTACCGCGTATGTAAATATAAGCATTTAATGCATCAAAAGCTCCATTTTGATCGGAAAAGCGTTTTAGAATAATAACGGCCTGTAATCTAAAGCGAGGAGTACGCAGCCTTAATATGTGTATGCAAGAGTTATCTCCCTGCGTAGTGTACATATGTTGCTAATGGTGACGTCAAGTTGGACTTATCTGTCAAGCACGAAGCGAAAATAGCGCGCCGTTGCTTGTTGCAGGAAGTGCTTTTACCGACTACGTGAAAAATTGGATTTGCGGTTTGTTCCTTTATTCTGCCTGGTAAGTATATCACAAACCTCTTCTACTGTCGTGTTTGGTTCACTGTAATGAGCAAAGGGTAAAATTGTATTGCGCTGGAGCACGCTTATGGATTCTCCTCATCCTGACCATGAGTGTGTCATAATCCCACACGGCGGTGGGATTGTTACAGTACTAAACAGTTAGCATATACATCTCACAGCTTTTCTTCCCTGTCAACAGATTGTCAACTGTCAGTATATATAATAGTTAATGTTAGCCTCCATTGAAACATTACGTGAAAGGATGATGCCTATTAGCCATGTAACATTAACCATTTCTAGATTGGGATGCTAGTGTAACGCGTGGTTATATTCATAATATTCACATACTGCTGTTTTTTCATATATCTTTATAGTGTCACATAGAATTTTCACCAATTAAAAGTACAAAATCTGCTAATAAGATTTTGTCGTTTCCTTAGAATGATACTGAATGTGAACAACAAAAAATGTTGGCCTATTTATTGATTTCTCTAAGTACACATATATAGGCTGTGTGCCAAAGATACATTCAGATAAAAAAAATCTCAGAAACACTCTGTAGTACCATGCATGTAAGTTTTGTAAAAAATTTCACGAGCCATGCCATTTTGATATTTACAAATTTTGTAAATTATAATGTTGACAGTCGGTGGCTCATATTTTGTTTTGTGTTGAAAAAATAATTCGATATTAGGACTTGCTTAAAACAGTTGACTAAATGAATCACATTGAAGTTTCAGAATGATATGCTAATGACTGATATTATTGCAAAGTCAGTTTAAATTCAATAAATTATGTCTTGTATTAACGTTGGAGAGTGAAGTTCATGTTTTTGGCCCCAGTAATATTGTACTGCAGATTTTCAAGTTTACTAAATAGTTCACAACTTCAAAGATCCTATTAGTCAAGCAGATTAATGACATTATCATCATCTGGAGAACATAATGTTCATCAAAACGAAGTCTGTGTTATAAAACTTGTATAATACAAATTCTCCCTCATGGAAACTTAAAAAAAGCAATTCATCATTGAATTAAATAGCAATAATTATGTAATGTCCAATTACAGAAGTTTTACTTGAAAGTTGAAAAGAATAGGAATGGAATTTTATAAGAGCATAGTGAATCTATCAGTCAGCTAGGCCTTTGATAAATTATTCCTAAACAGCGTGACTCAAGTTTAAATATGTGCCAGTAATAGCATCAGTTATTTTATTCTCCACCTTAAGTCAACAAGATGGCACTTGGCATACATTTAGTGTGAGAGTGATCATGTCACCAGCAATACACATATATTATACTCCAAAATATGACCCTCACATACTCAAGGGAGTAGGTGAGTTCAATTCGGTTTTTAAGTTTAATTTTGAACATGTTGGATTGCTGGGTTCATTTCCTCACAGCCACAGGTCATGTTGAGGCAGGGGTTTCCTTGTAGTAACTGATGGTTACCTCAATGTACACTATTGAGGAAACCAATAGCATGTTATCCAAAACAATATGAGGGTAAAATGTCTTGCCATAGTGCAAACCCATGACAGCACTGGATGGTCCGTGATTTCTGCTTCTTAAGAAACTTTCATGTACAA